CGGTTCCCGTTCATTTAAACCCACGACAATATCTCCTGCATACTATTGCACCTATGAAATTTTTTTTGTTTTGCAGATATTTGAACCCATACTAACCCTAACCCATGGGTTTTAGCATCCGCATATAGATTGAACCCGCAGATATACACATGGGTTCAAATGTACGGTCACCGCCATTCTGTCAGTTTAATGATGGAAAAGCATGCCGAAAACCCCAATGGGCTGTGTATTATAGATATTCACAATAGTGTTTGACATATATTAGCAAAACAATCCACGCAATGGTTTTCCCCTTCAAATTGCAAAAATTTTCTTTTTAACAGTTGCCTTTATATTCAAATTTTCTGTGATGTGGGGAATTACTTTTTAAAAAGCTTGCAAATAATCATTACTATTAGACATCTTGAAAGATTAGAGCCCACTTCTTCTACGTCAAAAACACACTGCCAATTCGTTACCCTCACAATTTCTTACTCAAGTTTGACAAGTACTGCAGCCAAGCAGATGAGTCATCACCCATATCTTCCATTTAGTTTTTCACTAATGTGTATATTAACTGTGGTATTTTTTCTATATATATATTGCGCATTTTAAGAGCACAACAAGTGCGCATCATAGCTTGGTAACCTTCATAGTTTTCTGTGACAATGTCCATTGTGAATTCGCATGACGATTAGGTGAATACTACCGCTTGAAAATAGATGAAATACTTCAGTAATATAACAAAAATAACATTTATTATATAGTGTGTGAAATACGCAAATACACAAAATTTCTTTTTGAAAATAACAAACACTAACTTGGCAATGTATATGAAATTAGGAAATAATGGATTACAAAAAGCACCATAAGCAAGTGGATGTGTATATTTAGATATCTTTACAAGAAGAGTAGAAAGCAAAAATTGGTTCCGTTCAACATTTCAACTCAAATTGTGGAATTAATAAATATCAAGTTGTGTATGGCACATTGAGATTTTGCGTTTGAAATCATTTGTCTAAAAAAAAGCATAGTATATGTCCCATTGGTCAAAATAACTAATAAAATTTCTTTAATTAATTATTGTCAAAACCATGAAAGCGATATTTACCACCTATTTTCATATTAGGATAAAAAGCAGCAAAGTAAAAAAGTGTACAGGCATACAGTGACACATTTCAAGAAAATATAACTAATTCTGTGTATGAGAACAGTGTGTAGCGAGTAAACTACAAATGTATATGAATATAAAAGAGCCATTTAGAGTTAAAGCACCCGAATCTGCTTAATCTGAGTACGATTATTTTTATTCGAATTTAATCTTTGTATTTGTTAGAATATATGATATTATTTTGCTAATTCTTATTAATATGTGTCATTCTAGCAATTCGAATATAACATTATTTATAAAATTGACTCCAGTCACAACACTCGGATCTTTTCATGTATGTTTCTCATAGATACGTTTGATAGAAATTGAAAGCAGAATTGTCTTTGGGAAATGCATAAAATTTATCACGCAATAGGTAAAATTAAGATTCCTTGTCTTGGTTCTTTTTTCTCCTTAATTTTCTATTTCTTTCATATTTTATTGTTTCGCTCTCCAAAATACTTAAGTCTGTTAAACGTTGTTGAAATGATGGTGGAGCAGATATACAAGGATCCTGAAAAAAGAGAAAAAACATAATATCAAAATATATTAATATAAAAATCAAGATGCAGATGGACTGACTAATTTGAAAAGTGAACCACAAGTATGTGTTACGCCATTTAACATGATGACAATTATTAGTGTCATATTCAGTCAATTCAGTATAAATTTCTAAATGCTTCAAAATAAATTTCATGATGATCTGAGATGAGTATCGTATACACTTAACAACCCATGCTTATTATAGGAATGATTCATTGATTAAATGATGTAGGAATGCGTATGTGAAATAAACTAAAAAATAATGGCCAAAATGTTAAGCAACTACATAAGATATATTTATATTAATAACAAGTAAAAGTTCTATTAATTGATCTATTTAAAAGTAAATTAAATTTCTTACCGAAAAACTTGGAACTGGGTTTGAATCATTTTTACTAGTATATCTGCTTGACAACCTTGATCTGGAAATGAGATAATATTACATTACAATTTATTCTACTATCAAACACAGTATTACCAATATGACCAAATTCTCACCCACATGTGATTAAATTCTGATAAAATAAATCTTCACAATTGATCAATGAAAAAGGAAAACAATGTTCAATGTAATACAGGTACTACTGGTATTGCTTAGCAAGAATCTCACTTGTATTTACCCAAAGTTGAATTGAACCCCTCAATTTTATTTATGGAAAAAGTTGTCTCATAGCAAACATGGATTGGTTAGTAGTGACATAGGAGTCCGAATAAACGAAATGCTAAAATCTACATTCAAAAAATTGGGGATATTGATATAATGCTTGACAATGTTTTTATAAAACAACTTTACTCAATATGATAGCGTATTCCTATTAAATATGAGTACAACAACAAAATTGCTTTCCACAATGCCTTTATAGTCGTATACATAAAACTATAAACTTGGTATCATCATTGAACATCTATGTATTGTATAAGAGAAAAGAACTTACTTAGGAGCAACAGAAATTCTTTCTCTTGTTAAAGAACGTTGTGTAGTTGAACTTATGGAAGTCATATTCAGTGAAGTTATTGAATCAAGATCAGGTCTTGCATTTGAATTCACAGTTGATGAATAATATCCGCCACCACTTATTGCAAGCTCTGAAAAAGGGATAATTTTTCAATAAAATATCATATATTACAAATATTCTGTGCCTGGAAGGTTATATTTTAAAATTCCACTTTGCACTTAATATAAACTTAATAGAAACGGGTATTTTGCGGTGAAATTATGAAAGAAGGATACTTTCGAGAGCAAAAGATTTGATATACAGTCTAATCGAAAAAGAAGATTGGGATCTAGAAATATACTGGATATGAAAAACCATCCTTTCTTTCTGTAAGGTTTATTAATTTTTATCATGTATACTATGAAAAATACCAAGTAGGCAGTAGGGGAACATGTTCAAGACAAACTAAACTGATACATTCTCCTCATAAGCTTCTTGCTTTCATATTTATAATAAAAATTTCAAAATGAGTCAACAATTTTATTTCTATCTATTATTTCTAAAGCTATATGTCACACTTTTCCACTTGAATCTTCCTATACTGACAGTTCCATCGATACACTATAATAACCAAATATCCGACAAACAAAGCGATTGTCAGCTTTTGTTTTGTTAGCTCATTGAATTATTAATAAGTCTGAAATTTGTAGAAAATATCAAATTTATAGCTTTTAAAGTGCGATATGAATCGCCGGCAAAATAGTTTACTTTTGTTCACACTCAATCAATTCTAATTCTGTAGCATTAATCTTTTACAAAATAATCACAGAATTCAGATGCATAAAACTCATAGTATTGATTATTGTGAAATAGGAAAAAGGCTTTCCCCAATCTTAAAGCTATGCGGTTTGTCGCACAACAAAACAATGTATAATACTAATGACAAATATGAGGTTAAGCATAGGAATGGCCTCCATGTGGGTCAGGTTTGATTTCAAGGGAAGGTACACAAGGCGTGTATTGCCAGGATACATTAATATAGATAACAAATTCATGCCAGCGTATGATAAATCGAGTAGGTTATGCTAAAAAAATAGATTACTTTTGCCTTTCAACCCTGAAGGTCACGTTATATAAAAATATGCCAGTCTAAAGCCTTTCCCAAAAGTTGTCTCATCGACAAAATATTCAGCCGCCATAATCAAACACATTAAAATTTTTTCGAAATCTTCGGTCAAACGGTTTTCTCGATCACTCGAACTGTTTGATGAAGTCTAACATCTGAGTGACGTTGCTCTGAGCAAATTTTCAAAATAAAAACTATCGTTCAACAACATTTTTACCTCCAAGTCTATAATTCCAATTTTGTTTTTCCTTGTGAAGTCTAAACATTATATTTCCTCCTGCAGTGGTGATGGTTGTGTTGGATGGATTCTGTCTAGAAGCGCTCGGTGGAGGAATAAAAGATGATGTTGATGTAGGAGCAGCAATTGCAGGTGACATAGCAGGTGATGAAGGAGATGATGCTGGAGGTAGATCGGCTGCAACTGAGAGATAATTTGTTTTGTTATGACTTCGACTCGAGGAACTGAATCTATTTGAATCGGACAGTCGCCACGCCAGACATATGACTGATGATATGGCATATGGCTCAATTATTAAGATTGTGCGTAAGCCAATACACATGCATACTCGGATCAACTTACATTTGAAGAAAAACTTTGGAGCTTCCGAAGGATGTGCACTAAGATGGCGCACAACCTCAACATAGTATGTGTACCAGGTTTGGGTTCAGGTTGCGCGCCATCATGGTGCACATACTTCCGGAGCGCAAATAGTAATTTGTTTTCTATTTTATGAGTTAGGTAACTTTATATTAAAATATGAAGCAGGCAAATTAATCCCACCATAGACACGGCGTGGAGCTGGTTAAAATGGTTCCAGCACCCTACATTGGATTTTTTATCTCGAAACAGGGCCCCAGCCTGATAGCTAATTTTGGTACGACCTACTACCAATAAGAATCGCTAAATTCTAAATTTATTCATTACGTTTTAATTATACAAATTTATCTCATAACTTATAAATTATTATTAGAAATTTTGAATATATCAATTTTATCATTTGTATGAATTATTAGAAAATTTCAATGTGAAAAAATAATTAGATAGTTAAGAAGCTGGAGCTACCAAAACTCATCGTAGCTCAGGTCCCAGTTCCATCTGTTATGGTAAGCTTGATTCCAGCCGAGGACCCCCAGCCCTGACTATAAATGTAAAATGAATTTTACAAAATTTAAGGGTAATTATGATTATCAGCCTTAGAATAATACCTTCACATTAGATAACACTATCAAATATTATAAACTAAAAGTAAACCAAATGAAAACCTACATCTCTCGTCCATCCTTATTAAAGACAACGGCACAGTTTCCTTGAAAGAAATATTGTTATTATTGCTTGTATTCGTCATGTTGTTGCTATGTTCTCTGTTGTTCACAGTGATACGTCCTTCGTGTCTCATTTGACTGCAAAAGATATTTTAAGTAGAAATGTAATTAATTTATTAAAACTTTTTTTTTCTGGCAAAAGCTTTTTTCAGTCAAACTTAGAGAGTGATTTTGAAAACTCGAAAATGTAATCTCACTAACCTGGCAGAATTAGATGCTCATTGGTTCTTGCTAACACTGTTGAATTGAATTGATTCGTGATTCCGTTAATATTAGGATTACGAGATCTTCTTTTCCTTTCCCTAAATTATGAGGGAAATCTGTTGTACGATACCTTGATCCTTCATCAAAGGAAACATCGTGAGTCAGTCGATAGGAGGTTGTACCTGGATCAGGTAATATTGCAGCAGAGCTGAAAGAAATGGAATTGGATTATTATTTCCACAAATATAGTTAAATGGGACACACACACAAATCGTGGTAATTTTGACAGTCACTTTTAACGTTATCCCAACCAAATTCTATGATAGCAACCAGTTATACAGATTGCTACAAGGTGAAACAGACATTCTGTAAAACTTTGGCTGCTTGAGGTACTAAGCATGGGTGCATTCTTCAATATCATATAGATTGATAAATTAGACAAAAAGTTTCTACAAAATTGGAAAAAATAACTTAGGAAATAGATGGAAGCAATACTGGGTGTCATCAATTTTATGTCATTAAATAACTTGATATTCAAGATTCGACTTGATAAAAAATGTTATTGCTAATATTCATTAGTCAACTGATATAGCGGATTTAATTGTGTAAGATTGTTAAACCCTACCAAGGAAAATATCACATTCGCTGTTTTGGATTTATTAGACAGCCCCAACGATACCCTAAAATCATCATACTGCTGTTTAAAGACTTTCCAAGCTTGAAACTCCAAAAAAAGCTTAGACAGCTGTTATGTAGGCAGCTGCTTATTTCTAGGACCTGTATGTTTCAAGTCTGCATCCTAATAATTTATTACTTTGTTGAGTGAGCGCGGCACCGAAATTAAGATTCTAACGTAAGATTTTATGTCCAATAGGCTTTGTGTAAACTTACTGAAGATTGTTTTTCAAAATTGAATTTAAAAGTTCATCACATTCTGTATTTTCAAGATTAACACTATGCGTTTGCTCGAATTCGGAAATATCCACAGTCGGAACTTCAGGAAGAGTGAAAATTGCGTAACCGGATTTATGCGGGTGTCGAAGTACAAGACTATTATTTACAATCAAAGTGTCGTGAATTTGTTAGGAATTGAGTCTGAGCAAGACTTGGTACTACGCTTCGTAAATGTTTCTCATTAGATTTCAGCTCAAAATTCAAATCAGTAATTGTTAACGATTTCGTACTAACGTATCGCTGTTATTAGATGAGTGTGACTTCACGGATTTAACTGTTGGTTTCGATATAGATCCAATTGGAATGATCTTCGTTTCGGATCCGGCCACAGATAATGTAATTTAATTTCAGATTGTTTTTTAGGTAAATCACTCGGGTGATGGGTCTGAACAACATGTTCAAATGCATCTTCTTGTTTGATTGGATATCCAGATGAGAACATAGTATAAGTTGTCGGCTTTTTATTCGTCTTCTATGCATTGAATTAAACTTCTTTAACATCGTTGCAAACTTAAAAGGGTCAGTTTCAATCGTAGCCTCTCGAATTCCGATACAGAAGTTGAATTTTTCGCTTTCTGTTTAGGTGGCCGGTGCGTAAAATTCATTTCTTGATTTCTCTCGGGTAATAATAAGTCGTCTTGCATTAAACGAAGAAAGGTATCCGATCTTGTTTCATTTGTTGTTGTTGTCTGAATAGCATACTATAGTGCGCTGCATTAGCTTTAAATCCCCCGCCAGTTGTTTTTATGTTAACATGCTGCAATTGAGGAGGGATGCTGGTACTACCAATCGTTTCATCCTTTTTCTTCTTTTTAAATCCTTTTTCGTTTTTCTTTTTGTTATTTCTGATGTCTCGACTTTGCTACCTCTGCGTAAAATTGCAGCCGTTTTTTTAGTTTGTTCTTTACCAGAAGCTTCTTTTTGAGCATCTGTCTCATCTTGTTCAAGAATTGGGCTTTTAGTTGTTTTATGCGAACTTTTATTCAAAGCACCATACCGAGGATATGTTTGTGAAACTGCCTCTCTTGAAAGTTCTTGTGGTACTTGAGAATGGTGAAAGAAAACAACGACGGTACGATCGGCATCTGTTTTACTTGATGGATTCCGTTAAATTTATGGAATGTTATTTCTTTTGAATCATTTACTTGATTAGATACAATTTCATTTACGTTCTCATTTTGATTATCATCACCATCATAAGAAAACTGGGGTTTTTCCTCATCTATCAAAGGCATAATTGGTCCCGTATACGAGGGATGACGGACGGAAAATGTTACTGGGTCCGAAACAAGATGAACCGGGCTTTGATTAGCGGTATCGATAATTCCGCTTGTTCGCGCAAGAATGAATTTACTTCTTTGCATTTCACGCTTCAGTGACATTAACGGTGCAAGTTTTCCCGTAGATTTTTGATGGGGTTTACTTGTTATTGCAGAATTTACTAATTCACTATTATTCTCTCCTGAAAAGGTTGCTTTGATTTGATCACAAAGCTCTCATTGGCGTTAAATACAGGTTCCTGAGCAAGATTATTATTTTTGTCTTGTAACTCTATATTATCTGCTTTGCTAGCTGGTTCTTTATCCTTCTTATCAACTTTTTTATCAGTTTTTCCTCCTTTTAAAGATTTTTCTTTGTTTTCCTCTTCATTTTTGACCACAATATTCTCTTCTGTTGCGTTCGGTACACAAGAACGTCCTTGTACTCCTGTATCAAGTTTTAGATCTTTATTTTCAGTAATTAATTTTTTTATTCTACCGTGTCGTCCAGTCATAGGCTTTCTATGTCTGTGACCCTCTTTTGGTTTTCCTAGATCTTTCCTAGCACTAGCATAGGAATACTGACGAGGATCAGTTTCAGGTGTCTTTTTAATGGGAGATGGCCGTCTGCTATTCGGTGTGGGTGGTGGAGGGCTAATAAAATGGCTACTCAGTGGTGACAAAACTTGGACATGTGAGGCGCTTCGCGTACGGAAGGTGGGGGCGGAGATAACACCAACTCAGGCGTTGATTTTGAAACATCCGTGCCTGTTGTGCTTCTTACGGAACTCAGCGGTGTACCACGACGCTTTGGATAAGTTGTGGTGTAATAACTGTTTGCGGAAATTAAATCAGGTCTAATACTAGACACAGATTTTGACTGTGCATTGTAAGAGTCGATTTCTTCCACTGGGCGTACAAATCTCGGCATTTTTATTACCGGAGCTTCCTCAACATGAGTGAATTTATCAGTAATTTCCTTATCACTTTGAGGAGAATGTTTTATCTGAATCGGCTTTAATTTTTTCATCAAATTTATCTTTATCATTGACTAGTTTGTCATCAATTGATTGACGTGGAGACATATCAACTACTGTAGCAGTAGGTGGTGATCGTACCGATACATGGCGCCGAGGTCTCTTTTTACTTTTTATTGCCACATTAGACGGTAATTTTTCTAATCGTATCTGATCTTTATTCGACTGAGAATCACTTATACTCTCTACAACAGGAAGGACAACTTTTTTCTGAAGTTTTGAAGTCTCTGAAATTTTATCTTGAATATTTTCAGATTTAAGACTCTTAACAGAATCAAATTTTTCTTTCGTAAAAACTACGCTCGGACGAATTCCTGCCTGCTGCTGCTCATGTGTAAAAGACTTTTGTTTGCTTGGCTTTTTACGAGAAAGGTTAAAATCGCGATTGTGTTTGCTTTTACAGTATCTCCAATCCACATCCCTTTGTTCTGACTTGTGGTATTATGAACAATTGCTTTGTTTAAATTAGACCTAATATCTTTCGCGATATCAATAGTTGATTTTTCAACGCTTCTGTCAGCAGTAAAAGTATGTTGACGCATGACGCCTATTTTTCTCGATTCTTTTCCACCATTTGCGATGATATATTTATGAGAAGACGCGAGTGCCTCGTGATACAAACTACTCTCATTTCTAGGAAAGGAGGAGGTTGATGAAATGAGTATTTTATATCCTCTTGAGGCACTGAATGCAAAACATTCTCTTCAGATAAAGAATCTTTGAGTCTAAAGACACTCACACCAATTCCTTTCCCTGAGTGTAATTTTGCTTGGAGTGTTTCACTCACTTTATCAGAGTCTTTCAGAGTAGGTTTCATACTAGCAGAAGACTTTTTCTGGCCATTTTTCTTAGACTTTATTTGAGCAAGAGCAGGAATAGGTTTTGGAATTACAATGTTTTCTCTTTGCTAATTTCACTCGTATTTTTGATTGGTGTTAATGACCTTGCAGGAAAGTTTTTTCTCTGTGAAAAGATTTCCTCTTTGTTTCATAAAGTCCGCTTAATGTGTGAAATCGTTCCATTAAATCTGTTAGTTTTTTGACATCTCGATTTTCAGAAAAATTTCCTCTCTTTATTGTGTTTGTTTTTAACGACGTCATAACAATTGGTACTTTTAGTTTTGTATGTTTGAATTATTAGATGATGACACATCAGCCCTTGTAATAGCACCCTCCCTATCTTTACCCACAGCCATTTACATACTGATTTATCACACAACATTAGCTTAAAAACACAAAGGTTTACGGTCATTCATTATATGTTGAAATTGTAGTAATCATGATATTAATTGAAATCAATCAGTTATATCTTGACAGAGATTGAATATTCAAATATTATCCAAAATGAATATATTTTATTATTAGCCAGTATATCATACTAAATTTCCTACACTTTGGCCAATGATTCTGATAAAATACATCAAATAACGATAGTTTATTTACTTCTTCCCGTACATAAATGACATAGATATTTCTTCGATTATAAAATTATTCTAAATCAAACTATTTCCCAAGCTGATAAAATTTGCTCACAATACCGCCGACCTGTACATATTTCAATCATTGAATAGGATATCCTTAACAAATAACCATTATATCTGTGCATAGTGACGTTCTTATGACATTGTTAAGCCCATAATAAAACCCCTTTGTCAACATTATCCAAGGTATCGGTAGAAATGCAAACATACTCAGCTTAGCTCAAACTTGGTTTCAAAGTCCCGGATGGAATTGATTTAGATAATGAATGATACTGAGTTTAAGATACGACATAAAAGAAAATTGAATTGAGGTATTTAACTTGAGCAAATATGGTCAAAAATTGTGAAACTTGTCCTAATATTTGGAAATCGGAGTACATATTCTATCAATGGTCGCTAAGTAATAAGAGGGCAAATGCAACGCTAAAGCGAGAAAATCACTCACATTGCAGAGAAGTATTTATATATATACAATAAAAAAATTTTAATATACTGTAGTGAGCTAGATATTCAGATTTCAAACGCTATAATTATATCCAAATAGCAACACAGAATTCTCAAATACCATATTTACATATATGCGAACAACAGTAATTCTATGCTGTAACCTTTCGCCTATCCCATCTCAGTAAGCTCACAAATCAATAAATCTACTATATAGCGTAACTTTCCCTGTGATTCTTACTGGAGTGCACACTAGAATGCCGTGCTTGTACTTAGGTCGTCACGAGTGTCTCTGATCTACAGACAATCTGTCGATTAAGACTAAACAAGAGTATTAAAAAATTTTTGTGCCAAGTATTCAAGTAAGTGTCATTTCGAACTGTTAGCATAGCTTCTTAGATAAACACTTTTCTCTTTAATAGAATATTTTAATGTGAATTTGAGATTAAATTGGTACAATGGTAAATAATGATAAGTATCTGTGTATTTGTCAAAATATTAGTATTTGCAGAGGTGAGATGTAGCATTGAAACAACAATGGAAAATATTTGATATACCTCGAACCAGGGATTGCAAAAATCATATAAACTACTATTAAAAATTAAATTTTTCAATATGGAGTGTAGGAGTATCGTACATCTCTGCATATCAAGCCGAGTTTGAAACTAAAATAAGTTGCCAAAATAAGGAGTCTGCTTATATGCACAGAACTCTCTTATCGCACTCAAACAAAATGACATTATGCTAACTTAATTCTAACAGCTACAACTCAGAACATGCTTAGTTCTCACGATAAGAGTGTACGATTTGTAGGGTCGGCTAATATGCGGATTTTTATAAATTCACCGTTTTTAGGGGTCGGCTTACATGCGAGGATATATGGTAGTTAAATAGAGTAATGTTCAAAAAGGGAGATATATAAGTTAATGAGTTTGAATTCGGAAAAGCATTGAAATTAACACAAACAATAATCTGATTAATTTTTTTTTTTACTTTTGGAAAGTAATTAAGACTTTTGTCATACTGAAATATGTTTTAAAATGAAATTATTCTAAAATATTCTTAGAATTAAAAATTTAAAATATTTTATTTATAATCTTATAATTTTAATATATTATATCGGAATAGCGAAGAATGTCTTGATAATATTGGAACTACTCGCTTTACGAAAACAACATCCATCGCTTTTCAAACAAACTCTGCTCAATGCTCTCTCCTTCACAGGTATAAATTTCAAATAGCTACATCCTATCTCTTATTAGCAACAAAATACAAAAAAATTATAATTATTTAAATGAAATACTTTTTTAAAATTCTCATTCAGAGATAAAAAATACCCGTACTTTCAACTCTATGCTTCGCTGGTACAATACAAAAACTTCCTAATAAATAGAGTCTCACATGTACATAATCTTGTAAGTCAGTCAAGAGTGTGGTGAGTTACAATCCTTGAGTAGCTCTTGAGGTTGTGAATGAGATTTAGACTTGAACAAGGACATTATGACAAGTATTTCGTAATAGTGCTTACAAGCTATTGGTCTACTATAGAAAAAATTCTTTAAATTCACTGTGATTTTATTATCAGTAAGATACCAAAGTAAGATACCAATTATATAGGAAGAGCTAAATTATAGAAAAAAGTATAAATAGCTAAGAATGTCCAAACTTGATTATACTAATATTGTTGAATATAAAGTTTAGGAATTCCATCAATTTTACTACAATTTTTATATCAATAGCCCACAAGATCATTGTTGCATCTGAGAATTTCCAAATCAAAATAGGTGGATTTTGTTCAATTTTACTCTGTAATAATTTCAATTAAAAAAAAGCTGAAGCTAAGATATTAGAAGATTTGAAATCTGACAATTATTTTGCTGCAATACTCTAAATTTTACTGTCAACTGTACTTCTGAATATTCAAACTGAGTACCGGTATATTAATTTTAAATTTCATTGAACTAAATTCCATAAACAGCCTCCATTCGAGAATAAAATTAAAAATCCTTCAATGTTTTACCCTCACTACTATACGAAAACCTACTATAAAATTAAAATCTTTCTTTCTATATCCTTTCCACAAACTTCGGTATATGCCTGCAAACTGTGGCACCGTTCGACTACTAGGAAGGTAGGCATATCGTGTGACACGAGAGACACTGCCGGTAGATAATAGCTTGAATATAATATGTCATATTTCATTAGAAAAGAATGTCCAGGTCAAAAGTGTAAACATTACATTGAATAATTGACGTATAAAACAAGAACAATCCAAGGACAAAAAAGCGGTTTATTCCACGATGATGACAGACCAAATAACAGTTTGTTACGACATCGCTCAGAATAAGGCTCTGAAAAGAAAATCGTTTAAGGAAATTATGCTATTAAGGTTTTGAAATTATTGGGTGAACCTATGATAAAGACAAAACTAGCCTGAAGTCCACTAAATTTATTTGGAATGCTGTGCTTGGATTGGTCTGGTGCTCAAATACAGGAGTCAAACTTCTAAAAACGTAAACATTGTATCCTAGTTGAAAAATTCAACACTAATTTTCAATTAATATCAGCTCTGTGTTGTTTAATTCTTCATTTATAATTTTATTGAATGTTCAAAAATAAAATAAGTACCGTAAGCCAGTCGAAAATAAATACCGTAATATAACCAAGGTTGCTTTCGTAGATTGATCAAAAAATAAACTCATTTTAAGACCATGCCTCATGATTTGCTGGAAGTGGACAAGACAGAGAATCAGGAATAAAATTTCGGCAAAAATATGTGGCTCTCCGAGATAAAAATGTTACTAGAATACATATTCAAAATTGGTGAAAACGATCATTTCTACTCAACAATTATTTCAAAAAGTTCATTCTCACTTCCAATCACCGCACCTATGCAGAGTTCTGTCTAATTATCTAAATTCCCTCTCTAAATTTTCAATGATCTGCATCATAAATATGGTATCAAGCTTTCTAGAAGTTAACTTCCAAGTTGGTATCAAGCTTTCTAGAAGTTAACTTCCAAGTTTCCATACTAAAAACTCTACTTAACATTTAAAGCAACTACTGAATGAGTACACTCAAAACCATTGAGGATATTTCTCAAGTCTAATCTATTTAAACATCTGAAAATACCTCAACTGATATATATATATTGAATTCAAATTTTGATCAGACTACCAGAGCAGTCCTGACCTACTCTAGCAAAATCTTTCACTAAATTCATTTAAGGACATCACATCTGTGACCAATCTTTCAGCTCCTTTTTTATCGGACGTAAAACCTGTTGCCACATATTATACACAATGTAACAAAAACAGTAGGCGGGAACAAAAATACTAGCTTATGAAAAAGGGTCGAATGTGTACATATTCCACAGGGTGGTGTTTGGTTACGTTTGGCTCGAGTAAAATCGCTGTAAGACGTAAGACAAACACAGCTGGATTTGATTATATATTTGTACATCTTTTTGGTTATGATGACAATAGCTTTTATCCCATGTCCATAGTAAGTTCATAAGAAGTGGAATTTTATACAAATTTAAGTAAATAGAAGTTTTTTATCCAACTTTTTGTGCTATGGAGAAAAGAATTGAATCCTCAATGATTATACATTCAATAATCTATGATCATGTTTTATATTACAACAACTGAATACAAAGTACATCTTTACCATGGTAGTTGAACGACTCGACACTCGCACACAATTCAGTAGTCAACAAAAAAATTTGAGTCAAGAATGCCGCATTACATGAATGGAAATTGGGAGCTATAACACCCGAGCAAGCTGCTGGGTGAGATGAAGCCACTTGTTTCGGTACTCGAACAAATCGGTGGTCGAACATCAATCCCAAACTACCTATGTTCGACTACCGAGGTGTCGCTGTATTTCATTTTTAAGAATGTTGTCAATTGTAATATCTAATTACCAATTCCAAGCTTTTATACATAAGTCATTGTATTTTACCCTTTGACCCAAAATACTAAGGTGCCTCAATGTCAATATCCACAGCATGTATTGCGCAAGAGAAAGTTTTTTTGTGCATTCACACCTCAGTTTCCGTGTCTGTTCACACTCACAACAACAGGATTTGGTGCGGATTTCCGGTTTCAGAACCTCATAAGGAAGAACATGACCCTAATTTATAATTTATTGGTTATAAAATATTGCAAATGAAAATCAGTGATCAAAAGCCACCATTCGAAGATGCTAGTGAACAAGAGGTGCAAAAAGACAGTCAAATGTGAAATTCTGGTGAATAAATAACACATCTTTTTTGATAGACAGATGATTTGAAATATCTCTAAGTTGCTTTGTCAAGTGGAAAATTTCAGACAAATTTCAGTAAATTAAGTAGACAAAATACTCACAATTCTGAGGTAGAGATGTCGTACAATTTGGTGATGTTGCCCTGATTTTTGTTGACACCAAGAGGTTCTACATAAAGATGGAAATGTAAGATATTATTAGCATGATATCATTCATAAACAAAGATATACTTGATGTGTTATCGGTTTCGAAATGTGCACTCTTTGGCCAATATTAGGGATATTTTGAGACTGCGATGTCGCTTTGGGTATTTCTGAAAGAAGATATAGGCAAAGTACGCTGACTCAGGAAATGAATTTACACCTCAGCCCAACATATTAAAAAGATACAATTTGACTGAAAGCTAACACCGGTCTATTATTACATTGGTCAGATAATATATATATGATTATCATTCTTGCGTAATCAATACCAGACATCATTATTAATATTTTTCTATAAATTATTATATCAGCGGTAAACTCTCTTATTAAGAAGGAGATGGTTGAGAAGGTACAGTAACCAATTTAAAGTTTCTATCACTGGCGTTTACAGTTCCTATTCCCCTAAAATGAGAAACTAACTTACTAAGCATTTTCATTTTTTGTCTATCGAGATATTTTCTTTGTTGTCTTTGGCCAGTGTTGCATTGGGACTGTTGTCTCTGTGCACTTCGATGATTATCACTCATTAATTGAAGACTTTCCAATGGTCCCCCATGAAATGAACTCTGAACAGAAAGAATTGAGAACAATAATTAAAAAACTGGTTAAAAGCACCATATTATAGGCTTTTGTTTTAAACTACAATGGACCTTTCCCCGACCTTTGACCCCCGGAAAATTCTTCCTATACTTTACCATTGCAAAATTTTCAGTGCTATTTTAGGAGTGCTTTTGCGAGTTGGCGCCTGTAAAATGGGGTATGTGTTTCAAACCATCATTATGATTCATTGCACACAACAATCGGTTTTTTCAAAGTACCGGTAAAGAATTTCAGGCTAGTCTATCACAGCTATTTCTACTTTTATTACTGCAATTAAATTAAAACTCCTAGGAAGACAGAGTGATCATTGAATTATCTGATTTTTATTTAAGTTACCGAAACACAACTGAAAACTAACGAATAGAGTTCAAAAACGCGAAAACGAGGTAATGTTTACAACCACGCTTGAAAATTTGTCTGAGTGAGAAAAGTGTCTGAGCGGATGCAAAAAGGGGGCATTGTTACGTCACTTTTTTCATCTTGCTGATTGGCCAATGTCACGAAGTGAACAAGGAAGTCGATGCTCGGGGGAAGGTACATAGTGCTGAATTTACTCATATAAACAACTCAGATTTCATATTTAAAAAAATCATGAAAAAAAAATTCAAAAGAAAATTTAACGATTAAAAATCCCAAAGTCATCATGAAATTCAGAAAAATCCAGAGATTCTACATAACATAATAATAATACTAAACTACCGGTACGTAAAAACGTGCTAATTTTTTTGTTTTTTGTTTATCACTCAACTGACCATTCTGTTCTAAGTATGTGCATTATATTTCTACAACAAATCTGCTGTATCAAAAATACTTCAATTCTACTTCAAGGAACAAACTGAACCTAACACATATTACTATTTGCAAAAACCCATATAAAGCTTAAATTCTTTTCCTATTCTCAGATATAAACAGATTATAGATTTCATAGAATGAGGAAAAACAAATCAACTATTGACTTTGTTGAGTTATCTAAACACTGCTAACTAAGTTCTAACTATAAATCAAAATAATTCCTTATATAAGAAAAATATTGATGCTCCACATGAGCCATCTTGAACGTAAACAACACAGTATACATTCCTGATAAATATGAATATTAGAGAATAGAAATCAATTAAGTAGGACACTCAAGCGATGAAAATCGACAGTGCCTCAATGTAAGAGTCAATTATCATTCGATAATAATTTTTCGCATGTGACAATAGGATGTCTGAAGAGTTTAGATTAGAGTAAATAAAAAAGAAATGTTAAAAAAGGTGTATATACAGAGTATATACAGAAGGAAAATTTTTGTCGTTCAATGTTCAAGAAGGCGTATATAACGACTGTATACAGAACACAAAATTTTTGTTTTTTCAGTGAAACCATGTTCATTAATGTATGGTACCTTGCGAAGCAAAATTACAGAGCTAGATGTTAAGCAAAAATTTAACCAGGTGAAAACTCAAACTTTCATCGCGTGTAATCACTTTTTCGATGAACGAAGCAATAACAATTAATATAAATTAAATAAACAATCCTTCTTTAGTACTTTAATATATTATTTTTGACTGAAATATAAATAGTAGGCCTACTTTGCAATTAAAAATGAAAAAATTTAAAAATGAACAATATATTTGATTATGAAGGCACAATTGAAACAATTTACTTGTATATTGGCCTTTACAAGAGGCAACGGTATCTTCACATTCATTTCGAGTACTCTTGTACGTCCCATGAATTATACTTATAGTTTATAGCTGAATATCTATGAAATTATACCTAAAGTAGATTCATCAAGTTGAATGGACAAACGAAAAAATAAATGAAATAATGAAAAATTCATATGAACAAATTTAAAGCCTTCAGAATAGTTGAGATAGAAATGTGAACATAATTATGCTAAAATTGGTTTCCGATTCCAACATGCTATTTTGATCATTAAATGCAAATAACTTTGCATGTTCTACAATAGCTTCTATTTTAATTTATCCCAAATATTTGTTGTTTGATATACTGGATTAGCCGCCAGTTCTCAACCCTTCTAATTAAAGGTACTGTACTGGCACATAAACATCATTATTCATTATAACTCTATAAAGTTTCAAGGGTTCTCCAATTGTCAACAGTAATTTTATGTACGCTGATTCATTCCAAGAACTTGAACTTTATAACCCTTTTTTTAAATAACCATACATAAATATAACATAAATTATTTTCTAATAGAAAGAACTCATATGGAGAATGGAGATAGTATCACATTGCAGCATCGTCATTAATAACATTTGAAAAATTGGCCTCACAATCACTTTGACTATTATCACATTCAAGTTATACTGCTATGTGAGAGTTCTATACCTGATATAAGCTTATAAAAACTTTAAAAAAATTCATAAAAACGAATACTGTGTTTTCAAATATTCCGTTCAGATGAAAAAATCTATTACAATATCAATATAATACTTTCAAAGACTCGTTCTAACTAATCTTTTTGGCACACATAAAAAGTTAAACAAACATAACAAGTAGATCTTAGGCTTTTTTGTTGCGTATAATCCTATAACTAAAAAACACATTCGTTTGAAGTATATCCAAATCCCAGTGCTCTTTGGTGAGCTAGCTAAAGTGCTTTTGAAAAGTAAGATTGTAAAAACAAGATATTTTTAGATCCTGGCATTGTGAAGTTCATTAATTCAATGCTTTCATAAATCGAATATTTTTAATTGTTCTCAAATATTGACATTCTATATGCTAAAAATTAAAATCTACAAACGAGGGTTTTAAAACATATATTAGACATAAATGAATAATTTGAAAAAATCAATTTGATTGTCTAATCATGAAAAGAAAATTTTTTTTCGATAAACTATACCATTATTTTGTATTCTATAAATATTTTTCTATTGCTTCTCAAAAATTAAAACTTTCTTAAAAATACAACCAAGTAGAACTACTTTCACAAATCAAAATTCAAATTCAATTAGTAAAATTTTACAAAATCTTTTTAAAAAAAGCTATCTACACTTTGCTTGAACACTCGTAAATCAAGCCTCAAGATAAGGCAATGCTTGAAAACTACTGACAACAAATGACCAGAAAAATTCCTCAATCCACATATCAACATCTAGTATTACAAATCGGGTCAAGAGGACCATCTGAAACGCTTGGAAATGTTCCCAATTTCTTTTTCTATCCTCCTTTCACAAAGGAAATCAATACAAAATATTCACAAAAAGTGAACATTATTTTTTTATTATAATCGGTATAGTGGGAATAATAAACAGATGAGTGTTATTTGAACCCCATTGTCTGCGAAGCTTACTCGCGTCAGAAATAAAAGGAGAAATAATAAACGCCGCAATGATTGATACGCTACCTGATATCATTGATTATTTTCTAATGTGAGGAGGTCAAAATATTTATATAAGTTGTTATGACTGATTGATGAGACAAGGGCATTGTCAATGTGTGAACAACAAAAGAAAATTTTAAGCTAAAAGACCCAGGTATCCCACAATAGTGAATTTTCAAATAATACTTCTCAGACATTTTACTCTGTTTTTGAGATCGAAATCGAAGTACCAAATGTCATTATTTTTTTTATAGAAAAGTTGTTAGAAATGAGTACATTTTCAAAAACCTTGCTAATAAATATGCCGATCGACTTCTGACCCAACAGCAGTAGCGCAACTAGCGGGGGAGTTACGGGGGTCATTTTTTTATTTTATTTTGTTCTTCGTTCAAACAACGTCATCCTACGGTCATAATACTCCGGTGAAAACTACTTTTTTTGAGTGCTTCATCATCTCAACGTAATTTTACACCGCCCGACTTCAATCATACCTTATTCTTGTTAGTTACCTAATATTGCTGCTATCCCCGCGCATATGTTCGTATTCAAAAATGAGATATGTTACCTCAAAAAAGTAGAAATCGCGCGCTGTCGATGCGAATTGGACGCGACAATAGCATCACACTCTCTTGTGACGAATACTCTCGCGCTTCATCATCTTGACGCAATTTAACGCCACTCGTCTTCATGTTATAATAATGTAGTAAAAACTCTGGATACGAAAAATCCAACTTACGAAAATTCTTTTCGGAAAAATATTGCTTCGACTAACGTAACATTTTCTACATATGAAAGGCCAAAAACCGAAAACTTAAAAAACGTGTGTGATGATTTTGGTTTATTTTAGGTTAATTTAATGCAGGGATGTCCAATTCAAATTTAATATCGAATATCGTTTTTCATGTTTTTAAGGATACGGCGCACTTATCCTACCGCCATCGTCCACGTTTTGATTCAAGACATTTCACAATTATTTCATTTTTTATCGCAGTCGAAAGCAGCCGAAAGCTGTGTGGCCCCTCAATAACTTAGTCGTCATGAAATTATTTCAATAAACTCCGACTTGAAGTGCTTATAAGACATTGAGGACGTTTTTGGTTGAAAATATTTCACATTTATAATTATATATTTCAATTTAGTCAAGATGGGTCGTGCTGCGTCGGCAATGTCCCAACTCCCAATGGCACCTACTTATGTAGAAAAATCAAAATATTCACTAAATTTTTGTTATCCTACTGTATAAGTACTAAGAGGCCTGTAGCAGTACATAATCAGCTTCGAAAAACATATTGCTAAGAATCATTCATTGGGACATTCTGCTGCCCCCTGTTGGTATTTAATATGTCCACTTTACAATTTCCATTGTTAAGGATGTCATTTTCCAATTAATTAATTTGAGTTTTTGGTTGTATTAAAACCATTTCCAACAGTTTAACTTGAATTAAATTAAACTTGTAATGCTCCATTTGTGGATATTAGATTTACAATAAATTGAGATACTAAGAAACTGCACATTAGACTTCCCAACAGCAATGGAATACACAAACATAACCAGGGCCAATTGATGGCGCCAGGTCAAACAATGTTTTAACCCAAGAACTCAAGATTAGATAACACCTCGAGTTTTAGCTTCTTACTTATTACAGCAATTTTTTTGCAATAAACAAATTGCAATTTACAGATTTATACTTACAGAGCTAGGAACTGCTGGAGTTGTAACTGGTGAAGACTGCACTCTGTTTCCAAGACCATAAGGTAATATAAAACTTGAAGAAAAATTATTCGCAATTCTTGGACGCGGACGGCCAGTATGATATTGAAGTTGAGCTTGTGAGCCTTTTTGATTAGTGGCTGCAGAGAAACAATAGGTATTTATGATAATGATAAAATAAGATGATCCTGAGTGCTATTCAAAATGAAAATAAGGTATGGTCCGTATGGATATGTATACAAGTTGAATAGTTTATTAGCAGAACCAATATGACAGATGGACTGGCCTTATCATTATATGTAGCAATTTTCATTTTTGTTCAATATGGTAATAGGTACCAGTAGTTATCAGTAGGTATGTTTCACCAAAAATGCTGCTGCTTTTTTAATCAAAGAGTAAAACTTTTTCATCTTGCCATGCCTCCATCATGCTTGCCGGAGGAACTTTTATTTAACTCGGTGAACTAAGGCCCTACCGTTCCCTTATTCAATTAATTGAATACCTCGTTAAAAAGTATCACTGAGGCATGTTGGTCCAAACATTCCAACATATACCACTTTCATAGTGATAGATTGCAAAAAGATGTTAACTACTATTAGTAGATTAACCTTTCATATGTTGTTTATTTTTTGCATTCATTGCCTTTGCAAAAGATGACATTAAATCGAGACTGTCGAAATCTTGACTCTTTGATAAATCAGCATGAGATGCTGGCAGTGAAGCAGAATCTGAAGCAACGTCAATATTATCTGCAACGTCGAACGATATATTCGCTAAGTCTGATGTTGTCAGACCTTTCAAACAATTCCACCCTGATGACGAAGACCTCAGTGAAGACAAAGACTTATTACTCTTCTGAAACTTACCGCTGTAAATAAAAGGAATATTAATGAAGATCTTTTTGAATTGCTCCGATAAAACGTAATCAAATGATACCATGATACCAACTCTTTGTCCTGCAATGCACCATAGGCTCATTTGTTGCTACATAGTTACTATTTGTATGGATTTTCAAATTGATTTCATAACATCTCACCTTATATTCAATAAAGTAGGGGAAGTATTTGATACAGAATGAGAACTTATGCTTGTAAAAGGGTTTCTGCAATATGGAACACGTGCTGCACCACGACTTTGACGAATAGTAAAAGGAGATTGATTAGAGTGCGTTGGTAAAGTGTTGCAATGTTGTTGTCCTCTCCAACGATTTAAGGGCAGTGAGGAAAACTTCCGAGCACAGTTACGTGCAAGTGCAATATCATTGTTGTAGAATCGAACAACATTTGGAAATTCTGAAGCAAGGGTTTGGCTGCAAGATAATACACTGGAATCGAATCTGAAAAAGAAAAGAAATAAGTGAAATTCATGTCGCTTTCCTCAAAGTGCTCATACTCATACATGTCTATCACATGAGAGTACATGAGTTTGCTAACGGGAAATTACTAACATTTTAAACACAAGGATAAACCTATTTAGACCTAAATGTGTTTATAGTTACTCTTTGTATCTTCAGTTCATGCATCTGAAACAAATAATTGGCTAACAAATCCCATACCCGATATGGATTGGTAACCAGACGAGAGGTCGTAGATCGCCATACGATTATGCAGTCTTATCTTCTTTTCTCTGCCTCAGGGTATTTAGGTAATGCTATCCTAGTTGAGGACAAACGATCTTGCTTTGAGTGAACTTGTAAGTTATAGAATGTTGTAGCTGGTCTAGTATACTATGTTACCTCACTTGCATAAGCATTTGAAAATCACCCTAACAAAAGTGTGATCATTCTGCCAGCTTAGAAATATCACTCTTTATTACCGGTAATAAGGGTAAGTAATAGCATAATTCAGATTCTGTACAAAAGTCTGGTATTTAACCAAAGGGGTATCATGTCGCACTTTTGTGTTTTCGGCCGGCATAGTCTTGTGGATAAATCCAGCATTGCATCATAATAATTGCAAACCTATCTACATATCTCATCATAACACGACTTACAAACTGCTAAACTAGACCATATTATATCTATTCCCGAACAGAAGATGATAGATATATCTTGGAAAATATTTCTTGCAATATAGTAAATTAATCCTACTGTATATATATATACATTTCAATTTTTTATGAGGTATTCCTCTCCTTCTGTAAACAAATTTGATGTAGGACTTCCAAATCAGTCAAACAAAATAGTGCCAATATTATTTTACTACTTACATCGGATGTTCAAACAAGGATATTTTGTTCAGATAATTCAATTATGCGGGTGTGGTGGCCTAGCGGTCAACTATGATGGCGGGAAAGAAGTGGAGGTGTGACATAACCGTATAAAAAAAATTCCACACTGTTATATTCGTACCCTATGTCAGACTTTTCATACAAAGTTGATAGCACTAAATTCGGACTGCTATGATTTCTTTCTATATGTTCAAGCTCTTTAGTCTTCGATGATGAGATTTCAGCAACTTTCTGTTTTTCTTTTCTCTGTTTTTCTATTAGATGTAACTTTTTCGTTGCTGTCTTAATGAATCTACGAGGCTGGGGAATCGGAGCAACCACTGCTGTGAACTGACTCTTGTGTTCTTTGTTTGCCTTTGGTCGCTGAAAAAGTGAAATTCAAACCTTCAGAATAATATATTTGTGTTAAAAGTTTTTATTTGCTTTGAAAAGGATTCTGCACAAGCATAACATTGGGCACATTGTGCACTGTGACAAAACCTACCCTAAAATTTAAATTCTGGGTAATAGACTCCTTGAGGTCAAGGTTGAAATCGAAACAGAAATATGAATTCTCTGAGTTAGAATTTGAGGCTTTTGATGATGATATATAAGTCAAAATTTCTGACAGACGCTCAAAAAGTATTTAGTTGACACCTAACTGGACATTTTCAACAGATGATCATAGAAAGCTTAATAAGACCTACCGGTACATATCAAACAGTTTTTGTTACTAAATCCTTCATATTTGAAGTTTGGAACTGGAAGAATTAAGTTCCTCAACCTGGAGTAAGTTTCTCAACCTGGAGTTGGAGCCAACATTTTCGTCAAGCCAGAGTCGAGCGTCATTTTATTGAATATCACAGAGTTTGGAGCCAGAGTGTGGTGTAAATTTCTCAAACTTCGAAGCCCGGCTAACACTGGCTTACAATTATAGGAAGAACCTAAGACATTCCAATAGTATCATTGACATGACTACATTTACAGTAGTTTATTATTTACCAGTATCTGATATTTATTCGATCTAAAAATTGCAAATTATTCACCTGATCTCCGATTTTAAAATTTTCAATAAGAAGATCACTCGGACGTGACCGGTTGAGCAAAGGAGTAAGACCAGCAAAATTGGTTGACAATCTAAAAATAAGGAAACAACATTTTCAACCAAGTTTTAATTAGGTTGGCACATATTTGCTTAATCTGGACAGTGTATGGAAGTTACAGTCAAAAAAAAGCAGAACCGGACATACAACATTGAGATAGAAACGCATGATAATGGTACACAACACTACTTACCGTAGTATTATTAAACACTACAAGTACTTAATATTATTAAAAAACTTATTAATAAAAAAGACAACCAGAAAACCATTCGAAAAAGAATGGATTGAAACCCCATGCACAGCACCTGACAAGTAGGTAATGCTGAACTGAATAGATTCTGGTATTCTCAAAAAGTATCTCTGTGCATATCAGTGAGTGGAGCCCCTTGTTCAAAGTGAAGGCAAGAAAATGTTGTATACAAAAAAAATTCTACTTTTTGGTAGCAGTGTAAAGTAACAACTAAAAAGTACCGTTTTGTCTTTTAGGATAAAACGTATACACCACAAAAAATTCATTTTGAATATTAAAAAAATTTTTTTTTTATACGATGACATTATTGAAAACCGAACGTAAAACTATTCAATTATTGCTTGGTCAAACAGAAAATAGTGAATTAAAAACAAGCCCTTACTTCTTTTGTAGTACAGACAGAGAGGAAGCACTGAGATTGGTCTTTTGACCAGCAGTTTGTTTTTTCTTTTTACCAACCCTGGTAAGGCTATTTGGTGGAGTTGTGACAGCCTTTTTCCGCTTTATTCTCCTGGATTTTTTTTCGTCGAGACTGGACTTAGATAGTTTTACTGCAGTGCACACCTCAGTATTTTCTTCTTTGTTTTGTGTTTTTTCTTTTAAATTTGAATCACAAATCTGAAATAATGATTGTTCGAGGATTAAATTGGTTGACTACGTAGAAAAGAATGCGTAAAAAAATGACGCAGCCCAGCAAACATTTCAGCTGAGCATAGCCGACATAGCTGGTTAGTGTCTGCATGAGAACAATTTAAAATAAGTGACAAAGAAAAAATTTACGATAAACAAAAATTTAAATATGGGTATTCTTATCCACAGATTGGTTTCCATATCTGGCTAAACACTTACTTTAGTCATAATAGACACAAAACATTTTTTGCTTCAAATTGTCCAACATTAGTACCAGTTCAAAATTTTACTCATTAATTACATATTACCCTAAAAAAAATATTTAAATAAACCTAAATCAAGAAACAGTTTAATGAAGATTTGCTAAAACATGAAGAGGAGTCAGTTTACTACAAATTAACTCATTTTACAGTGAGGAATGAACACCGCATTATACAAATTGAAGAAAATGTTTTAACAAATTAAGCACCAAATACCTTTTCAACTATTGAATAGAGATGATAATTGATAAAAAGTCTGAAAGTTTTTCAGTATGAATAACTCAAAGCAAGGTGAGGCACCCTCGCACAGACGTGGATGAGACTCATCTCTGAGCAAAGTTATAGGCGACCAATTAAAATGCCAGGAACATGGTGCATTACTTGCGATCTATGCCGAATAACATTATACTTGGCACAATTCAACTTAATTTAATCTGGAAAACATCTAGTGATTGTGAATTCCACATTGATTGATTACATCTCAGATTCAGTTCAAAATGTATGCCACAGAGAACTTTGTGACATAGATATTGAAGAGGAGCAGGTAAACAATGCCACCTTATTAATAGCTTAATTTGAAATTGGCAACTAAAATATAATACACAATGCCTTGGAAAAACTGATTACTTGACTAAAATATTAAAAATTTTGTACAGGTATTATATATTATTTGCTCTTTCTAAATACGTGGCAAATCAACTGGAATCGACATGTGTTAAATTTTAATAAAAAAAAAGTAGTGACTAATAAAATATGCAATACCAAAATTCAAACAGACAATATAGAGTAATAATTCTTATAAATTATTTAATAGTACTAGCCTATAGAAATTTCAAGAAGTTCAGCTGCAATAAAATTTGTTTGTGAAAGTTTTTTTCGAGCCTTGGATTTTCAAAGTTAATATTTCCAATGCAGAGAAAAATTTTGAATAAATCTTGATTTTGAGGTGAAATACACCAATTTAAATTAGTTGACATGTGAAATTCTAGAATACCAAAATGAAGGATATATAGTTTATATCTTAATAACTACAGTGTGATCTTGAATCAAAAATCAGGTATGAAATCTATATCTACGGTAAGTAACAGTAATATCAATAAATATTGCAAATTGATTGTTGCAAAGAAAATTAATGAAGTTGAAAAATAAATGCTATTAAATTTGAAGAAAAATTTCGATACAACAAATCACCATTGAGGTTTTTATTTGCGGATGTCATAAATTCAAATTTGCAAACATTTATTTTTACAACTTTTTCAACTATTAAAAACACAGAGTAAAACATAAAATATTGGACCCTTTCGGACATCAAATTATCATATTAGAAGTGGGAGAATCATGAAATATTATTGCAAACATTCTCTTATTGAAGCAATAAAATACATTTTTATACTTTTTGGGTTTAGTATTTATCAAATTATGGAAGAATCTGGTATAAAGTTAATCATGATTGTCCGAAACAATAACAACATAATACACTTTAAAAAGATTGAGGTATGGCCATCCCTTCAAGTATGGTAAAAGGAGCTTCATGTTTCTAGTATCCACGCATGCTTTTGTTTTACTCTGCAAGAGGTAATATGTAATTACCAAAGGTTTATGTCTTTTTAGGGACAAATTTTAACGAGGCAGAGAATATTCAAAATCGTGATTTGCCATTCGGTCCATTTTTCAAAAATTCATGTCCGAGCTCATTTCCACATTTTGCACAAGAAATTTTTAGTGCAGTTGGTGATTCATTGTATTTGCTAAGGCTGTCCTGGTGGATCACTTCTGAAAAAGCCGGCCATGGAGACGAATGTTCAAACTTTGAGTTGCTGGAAAATAGCTCATATTCACATTTTGAGCATGCATAAATTCCGGGCGTGAAATGATCTTTGTATTTTTCGCCATTATTAAATGAACAAAACGACATAGTTATGACAAAAGATAGTAACTTAGATAAATATACAGTGGAAGACACAGTACTGTCAAAAGCTTTAAGCTAGAAATCTGAATTTAATGAGAAATAATTGAGTTATACAGGTCTATTTATAATTATATCTGAGTATAATATTGGAGTAGGCAGAATATGGCAACAGCGTTGGAAAAAGATAAATCAGTGAACTTCTATTAATAGACTCTGTCTTCCTGATATCACATTAAATATGCAGATATGAGAAAAACGTTCTTTTTCTGTAACCTGTAATTTGTAAAGCTAGCCTTTTATACAATTCCTGAATTCTACCATGTCCTCATGTTGCGCTATATTCTGATATGGATTACAGCGCTAGAATAATCTGATGTACGATTGGAAATCTGATCTCTTGCTATTACATTATGAACATAATTAATCATACAAAACACACGCAAATCAGCATATTATACCCAAAGGCAGAAAGGAAAATATATGGCAACGACGGAATACAGGAAAATGTATGGCACATGCGATCGCTGTACATTGTTAAGTGGGAGCGACGTATATGTTTTAACAATAATACTGAATTATATCTCAAGGTTTCTCATGATAAATCACAATACCTTAAATACAGCTTCCGTCTATCTGAACTTTTTGTATTTCGTTCATATCGGTACTTGATCGGTACAAAAGAAGACGAATTTACTGTGTCGTTCATGCGTGAACGGATCGATTTATTTGTAGTTTTGTTTTGTATGTCAAAGTCTGCAAATTTGTTCAGCCAAATCGATCGTGCATCGTGTATATGTATGTATTGTACTATCGGTACCGTATGCAATGCGACATATCTGGCGAAGGTTTCACAGTATGAGGGCGCAGAGCAATGCTTCCAGAGCAGATAGCAGACCTTGGAAAGACGCAGCGTCTCTTATAATAGCCACCCCGGCCGATAAAACTAATTCAACGAAATACCCTTCCGATTATAATATTCTTTTCTTAAAACGAATTGCGAAATCGTCGTTCTTTCCGAATGCCTACGTGTATCCAGGAGGTGCTCTCGATCCAGCAGACAAGCATTCCCGGTGGATAGAAATATTTCAAAACATAGATCCACAATTTTGTGACAATGTTGAAAAAGAATTCTTTGTGTACCAAAAAGACGGAAAACGATCGCCATTATTTCCTGGCGACAGAGATGCATTAAGTCAAGGCGTTTTACCAAACGAAATTGTTTTTCGAATCTGTGCAATACGTGAGACATTCGAGGAGAGTGGTCTACTTTTACTGACAAACGATGTCCAAAGCCGTAGATTAAAACCAAACAGTGTCCATGCCTCTTCTGTATCACACTTACTGACATCAGATATTATTGAAAAATGGAGGAATAAAGTTCATAATGATGCCAATGAATTCATAAATCTGTGTATTGAGCTCAACAAAGTACCTGATATCTGGAGTTTGAAAGAGTGGTCTGAATGGTTGACGCCCGTACTGAGTAAAAATAAAGCCGGAAAACGGTATGTTAAGTATTTAAATTTCACCTCATTGATTATATAAATTGAGCTTTTGATAGATAATTCATTTTACTAATTCTGTGATTATTCACATAACCTTCCATCTTTTTCAAATTCTGATAAATAGGATTGTCACAACATAAAAAAGCATTTACTGAATTTGTTCAATAAAATGTATGAAGGTAAAAGTCATTTTGCTGTTTGTAAAATAGTCAATGAAGAAAATATTTAATTTACTTCAATTTACTGTCTGAAATATTTAAAATTTACTTTTTTTAGGTATGATACTGTATTTTATTCATGTTGTCTGCAAGAAAAACCACAATACCTTGCCCATGATAAAGTGGAGATGTCAGAATCTATATGGATTTCACCTGCAGAGATATTACGAAGGTTAATAATTTTTTTTCTCTCTCTGATTTATGGTGTAATTATACAACATGTCATGATCACAAGGCTGTTATGGTAATCAGAATTGTCAAGGCTGTTGATGCCTCATGTTATTAATCATTTTCTTGGGCGATTGATTCTGCTTAACATGAGCATATACTGTGTTTCACTACACTCATACAAATTGCAGATATGTTCTTTAAAATGTTCAAATGTCGATTCAATATTGTTTGTCGGAGCACACTTTGTGTGATCAAATGTGATTGTACTATGCTCTTTTACATCCCATTATGTGATAAAATTTTTAATAGATTACATACTTTGTATTCATGTCCATCCAAATAATTTTGGCTTATCTATGGCTATTCACAAACCAATCGTCATTTAAAATGTGAACTTTTTGATTGAAATTGATTTCTATATAAATTCTTAAAGTCCCCAATCTTCAAATACTTTCATTTGGCAACTTGGAATCTGTCAATTAAAATAGTTTGAAGAAGGTATATTCACGATGAGATTAAAATAATAATCAAAGTTTCAGCTTTGAAAACCAGCTATTTATTGATTGTCATACCATAGTTTGTTTGATAGTAAAATTTTCCTAAAATATCAGCTTAATGAATTAACATAACTGTTTAAAATTTTCAAAAATAAAAGAACCAATATTGTTTGGGAGCTAGTTTTGAAGCATTCTGATACTGTATACGATTTGGAAGGTTGTATTTAGTAATTTAAATTCTCACTTTAGATTATGTGTATTTACATTTAACTATGCCATGTAGTGCTACTGTATAATATATTCTATTGTGACTGATTTTATTGTGAAAGTTGCAAATTTGTTTAGGTACTTAACAGAGGATATCTTCTTGGCACCTCCACAAATCCTGGAGACATTGAAGCTGTTAAATTTCAGTACTATTAAAAGCCTAGCTGATTATATGACTAAAAGGGCTATGAAAGGAATGCGAAGGTTAATGCCACATTTCACTTTAACAAAGGATGGACAGATCATAGAATTGTTTCCAGGTTAGTGTCTATTTATCCAGTTAAGGCATTATATTAGGATTTATGGGGGTTACATACTTCTGTTGCCAGGTAATATTCCATAAAGCACGTTTTATCTTGATACTCGAGTTTACCTGTTTACTCATCTTTCAACACAAAAGACAGTATATTTATGTCTGAGACTTCAGGAATGTCTGTGAAACCTTAAAATAAGGTCAAAAGTGGGATTAAAAGAATCTAGTCATAGCTGACCAAAATATTTACTGAACTATCCGAACAGAAACATGTTGATCTTCCAATATTGGGACCAAATTATCAATCAATCAGTTAGTTAGTTTGCGTCAGCCCTTACACAATATGTATTGCACTTAAGTCTTTATTTATTTTTCTCATCTTGCTCAATTTTTCACCAGGTGATAAGCAATATCCGGAAGGTCCAGATGAATTGATCAGAGAAAGAGATCTAACTACACTCGATCAAACTTTTGAAGAAATTCTGAACTCGAAAAACAGGTTCTGTCTTCCTGCAGGGGGGGATCCTGTTGATAGACTTGCCTCTGTATTGTGCAATGTTGAACTGGATTATGATCAAGTAGGACCAGTGACAATTAAGGACATTGCGGATCTTGGCTTGAACTCTAAATTATAATTTTATTACTTATTTAATTATTTGAAAAAATATAATTTCAAGAAATTTGTTTTTCATCACTGTATTGTAATTTAATTCAATATGTTTTCAATAAGAATGTGATAAATGATTGACAGTATTAAATATTTCGTTCTGAGCTATGTATACCAGTGTTAGAGAGACCTAGTCAACTATTTTTGAGGCAATTATTTACTGGAATCTCTGAACCAGTGTCGCCAGCCACCAAACGGTCCAAAAAGTGTTGTATTCACAGAAAAAGGTTGCGCAATAGAGGCTAGTCGTTATTAGAAAATAATTGTTAGCAACCTGTCGCGATGTTCATTTTCCTAATATTTGCAAATCAACAATATATCAAAAGGTGAACAATTGAAATTCCAAGTAAGCTTCCAAAATTCGTAATGGTGAAGCACAGGAAGAGTGTTTCTGGGGTCAGAGGAAAGTCCATTATCTGTGATATAATCAATCCGGTTTCAGTTCCACTTACAAGTGTTAAAACTTATTCTGAATGATGCTGAAACAGAAAATTATTTTATGTACATACATTGTTGAAGTCTATCGCAGAATTTTAGCAAATTATGAACGAATTTATTGATATTCTGTTCTATAATTAATATGATGAGTTCGCGGGTTATAAAAATAACTGTCATCCGCATATAATTTTAGTGCAGTAATATACTGCCTTATAGAATTAAAATCAAATGTCAATAAAACATTTTTAATATTAATAACTTTTCATGACATGTTATGGGTGTGATACTTGCCTCTATATGTTGGGCACACATTGCATCATGAATCTTGAATTAAAAATGGTATATTAAATAGAAAACTTACCACCAATCATGGTCGTGATAACAGTACTGAAACTCAAAAGTACGATATTGTACGGTACTTTGTGCAACAAGAAGCAGGAAAAAAGGTAAGGAATACAATCATTTTATCATCTTCGCGATGTAATTAACGTAGAAGAGTATATGCGAAGCGTAGTTGTACGTCAAGGCTGCCCAACCCGAGGCCCGGCGAAGTGTTTTTTGCGCCTCCCCCCCCCCCCCTATGAAGTTTGTAAGGAGACTTTTTAAATTTTTACATACATTTTACTATACATAAGTATCTTTCGTGATTTTGGTGTAAATATTCCTGCCATCTATCTACGTTCAAATGCCGTTTTTTTTTATTAGGTATGTGTCACTGTCAAATCTTGCCCCCTGGTGGACATCAACGTCATTTTTTTCATTTCTCGCAAAATTGTGCACTCTGCTCGACGAACTATAAAGATATTGTGCAATCATTGGGAACAAACGCTGAGCGCAAATATAGGAATAAACTTGGAGCCTAAGTTTGCAAATTAATTTCATTCTGATTGCTTTCTTTCGTGTCGGCTTTGATCGTCTTTATCGCCAACGTAAAATAAAAAGTCAACAATATGTATGTATGTTTATTCGACTCGTAAAAGCAATATAAAAGAGTAAGTAATTATAAATACTTAAGACGGGATGTATGCCCAAGACCATATTGGCCTAAAACACAAATGTGCGGCATACACCCCTTTTGATATATATAAATTATAATAGGGTAAATCAAATATGTACAATATGGTCCTTTATACAGGCAGTTGTGCAAGGAGGGTGGGTGGGTGTGGTAACAGGGATAAGGGTGGAGTGTACAAAACATTTGCGGCCCGCGACCGATTTCGTCACGTGAAAGTGGTCCGGAAGACGAAAAAGGGTTGGGCAGGCCGGTATGTTAGTCGTTGGGCAGGCCTGTTGTACGTAGTACTAGTAGCGTAGTAGTATATAGGATAGGATTTACATATATTTACGCAATATATGCTCATTGATTTACGGTTTTACCATTGTACGAAATCCTGTCTATATCGGAGTTAACGGAAGAGATTTTGTGACATAAAAGTATCATATCGCATTGTACAACTGTGTCATATGCGAGAAACGTCTTCTACAAGTGTTCGTCTCTACGATCAGCATAATGACGAAATTGTTCTGGATTAGATCAAGGTTGTTGACTCTTTTGATAGCACCGGTTACGGTACTTCATTATCCATTGGACGTTTTCCCGAATAATTATTTTCATAATAATGGACAATCAATGAATTTTAGAAGCCGCTCAGACACCGCTTTTTATTCAGTCAAAGTTTTGGGATAACACCTTCAAATTAGGCGTAAAAAATTTAGAAAGGTAGACGACTGACGAATGTTCTGGGGTCAAGGGTCAGGGAAATGTTGTGTGCAAACTGTTGTAAATCGAAGTTTGTATTATTGTGGTATTAGGAAACGACAGTAATTTTCAAAACATGGAATTATTTACCGAAGGTGGGATACAGGGACAAAATTTAATTTCTAGTCAAAGTAAGCAGACCTTACTACGATATAAATTTATTTCGGCGATTGAATGTGGAAATAACATAACCACATGTTTTCAGTACCGGTATTTGTAAAAAAAATTGTCATGTTACGCCCACTAGAAGTATGTTAGGTAAGAAACTACATGAGACCCCACATATATCTGTATATGAGTTAACATTATTCTGTTATTGTTGTTGTGTTTAAACAACCGCCGAAGCGAATGTAAAAGAAAACCATACCGTAACTCTTGTGTTCGGAATAGTTTGTGGCGGCTTATTATATTTGTGTACTGCAACTAAACAAGTGTAATATAAATAATACACCAAGTTTGTACTATTATTCTTTTTATTTCAGACGTCGCTACAGTAGTAATTGACCCACTCCATCTATATACGGTACCGTACTTTATATGCAGACATGACCCATTTTTGATCTTTTAATTTTGAGTAATTGCCAACAATGTCTTAATATTTCTGTCTTTAAATCAAATAGTAAAGTAACTTAATTAGAATTATACAATTATGGCATTATATCTTTTCAGAACATTTCATTTTGTATAATTGAGCAAACATATTGTAATGGCATCATTTGTTAGTTCTCGAGATCTTGATGCGAAACGAGCAGAAAAAAGAAAAGCAAGACACACATTGCTTGAAGAGGAAAAAAGTAAATTTTTAGCAAAGGAAAGAGCTTTAGAGAGGCACAAAGAGAGTGGAAATGACAAATGGATGCTGCCTGGAATCCAGGAAAGATTGGATAAAGATGCTTCAAAATTAGGATCTCATGAAAAAAAGCACAAAAAACATAAAAAGAAGAAAAAAAAGAAAAAGGTTTCAAGCGAAAGCGAAGATTCAGAAGATTGTTGGGAAGAAAATTCTGCCTCGGCAGTTATACCTTCATCAAAACCAACTGAAAATTTATTGAATTTCGATGAAATTTTAAGTGGAGATCAGATGTATACTTCGAAATCAATGAAAGAGAAACGAAAACAGGAAAAAGAAGAAGAATCTTTGAAAAATAAAGAAGAGGAATTGATAGGTCAGCATCCTAAAGAATTAAATCCATACTGGAAAGAGGGTGGAGAAGGCTTACCACCAGAAAAAATGGAAAAGTTGTCTAAGAATACGTCCAATAAAATATCAAAAGATTGGTTACTAAAATCATTGAAACGTATGAATGAACAAGCAGAAGAACAGGGACGAACTGTGCAGTCAATAGCTGCAGAGCGATATGGCTCATGGGCTGAGTTTCAAAATCTTTTGAGAGAGGCTGAACCACAGAATAAGAGAGAAAAAGATCGTCAGAAAGGTTCGCATAACAAATCAGAAAAAGGTGCATTCATGAAACCACATGATGGCGATAATGAGTATGATCACCGACGATCAAGAGATCACCATCATAGACATGACAAAGAAAGGTATCACCGTAGTGAACGTGATTACAGACCAAAAGAGAAAGGAGATAAAAACCAACGACCATCGTGGAAAAAACCTAAACCAGACTCCGAAAGGAATTTTTCTGAAGATCATCAGCCATCATGGAAAAAGAAAAAAACTGATTCAAAGCATTTGTCTGAAAAAGAATCTTCGCCATTGTTGAAGTCGGAGTCTAAAGATATTATTTTAAAAGATAATAGTAAGCACGAACACGTCAAAACTAAATTATCATCCCCACTGTCTAGAAACATAGACACTGTGAAATCTTCTGATCGTGAACAACATATTGTAAAGGAAAAGCCCCCAGTTGCAAGAGTTGTAATTTTATCTGAAAAGGAGAAAAATGCACTTGCTGCAAAAATACTAAAAGCGGAACTGATGGGAAATGACAACTTAGCTAATAAGCTGAAATTAAAACTGGAAAAGGCGAGGCAAGCTGAAAGCGATACTAAAAAATCCTCCGATACCTCAAAGAAATTGCCTGCTGCTAATTCTGGAAGTTCGTCTGATAGCAGTGATGATGAAACTGTGGTTTTAACAAGGACTGGTAAAGATGGACAATCATGGCCAGTTCAGCATTCAGACATGGCGTATGATTCTGTTTCGAACAAGAAGAGAAAGAAGAAAAAGGTTCCTACTCACAGAGATGGGGAAAGGGAGCGCTACTTTGCCGATGATGACCGTCATAGTTTGAAAGATCTTGTACGTCGTGAAAAAATGGAAGAAGCAGAAGACCAAGATGCCATGTTTTCACGGCTCGCTTCGAAACAATTCAGGGGTACTGATTCTGATGACTTTACTCTTGATGACATGTACGTGTCACAGGCCTCGCAGCAAACTACGCGTACGGAGGAGGAAGCTAAACAAAGACAAAAAGCCATTTCTGATCATAAAAAACTATCAAAGCGTCTTGAAAATTGTCGATTATGCTTTGGTAATCCAGAATTACCAAAACACTTGCTTATTGCAATAGGTAAAAATTCGTACCTATGTCTCCCAGAACACAAACCTCTATCCCAGGGACATTGTTTTATTGTGCCAATGCATCATTGTACCACTGGTACAGGGTTAGACGAAGATGTTTGGGAGGAAATCAAACATTTCATGCGAACATTACAAATTGTACTCAAGGCACAAGAATTAGACTGTGTTTTTATGCAAACTTGCATGGGGCTAAAAAAATCCAGGCATTTTTATATTGATTGCATTCCAATGCCAATTGAGGAGGGTGAAATGGCACCCATATACTTTAAAAAAGCAATTCAAGAATCCGAAAGTGAATGGTCACATAATAAAAAACTTATCGATACTCGAGGCAAGGACGCCAGAAAATGTATTCCTAAAGGACTTCCATACTTTAGCGTCGATTTTGGTTTGGATGGGGGTTTTGCCCATGTAGTGGAAGACGAGGTCTTGTTTCCACATTTTTTTGGCCGAGAGGTAGTTGGTGGGATGCTTGATGTTGAGCCAAGATTATGGCGTCATCCCCCAAAAGATCATTTCACTGAGCAGACAAAACGCTCTATACAGTTTTCTGAGTGGTGGAAACCTTACGACTGGACAGCTAATGTATCCAGCACCTCTTGAATTTAAATCTTTACACTTTTTTCAACGACTTTCACAATTTTTTACTAATAAATATTTTTAACAAAAAGGAGTATCGTTTTCTTATCCTGTCTACCTGACGACCAACATGCAATGATGTCATTATGAAATTAACTGTGCGCGCGATGGTCTGCCTAATGGTTAAGATCAGGATGGCAGTATAGGTTAAAGTCGAATTCTATACCCACCAAGCGTGTAATAAATTGGATAGGCAATGCCAAACTAGAAATAACTTCCAAACTATTTTAGCTCTTTACCAAGCAGTACCTGATTGTGTCGAGCCATGTTTGGAGAAAAAAATATATAAAAAGATAAATTATATGTTTAATATCTTGTATTCTCTTGGCTTGGGGACTTATCTAGAATAGTTTTATTTATATCTGAGCAATGCCTCAGAAAATTCATTTGATGTAAAAAAAAGTTATCCCCCAACTTAATTGCATCTTTGAAACATGGCCCAATTTCTCTCTTTGGAAATAGTGTGTCAATTATATTCGTAATAGTGGATTTTTCACTTTTGGAGATATGCCATGCATCTGCCTGCATGTCATGCCCTGGCATCATAGTATAAATCTGAACCAGGCCCTAATAGCCTATAGTGTCATTGCACTAATTTATATTATAACACCAAGCACTTGTTCTTCCGTTTAATATTGCATAGAAAGACTTCAGTCTGACATAATGATATACAGTAGAGAAACATGATAAATGACACCAGCAGCATATGGCTGTGAAAGACAACAATACTTCAGCGAACTCGAGATGCCATTGAATTATTTCCGTGTCTAAGGAAACGGGCGTTAATATGTAAATTGGCATAGATTCATTGGTATAGTTCAGTAATAAAAGATGAAGTCATTTGTGCTTAGGAAAATACACTGGTTAAATAATTGAAAATATTACAAAATCTGTGACAGGGTATTGCATTCAAATGATGCATCCTTATAGTAATCTCATAGCAACATATGGCAAAGTAAAATAGGAATAAATGTGCAGGCAACTGCATAAGTAATGAACAAACCCGAGTGTTAAATGGCAATATCAGGCAAAAACGTTGCATATTCATGGTATACAAGTATTAATATGATTTATGATTAGGGACTGAATCAAGAAAATAATAAGATGCTGACTGAAGAATTTTTAACGGTTTTTATGATCCGAACAACAAACCTCAAATTACTTTTTCTTTTACACATGGTACAAGGAAGACAAAATCCACAAATTAAAAAGTGAATCTACATCCACGAACACTTTAAATTCAGTAAAATTTCTCACAGCTGGATAGGTTTTAGGTTCAGCCTAAAATGCTGCGTTTTCTCACACAATGTTTACTTACAAAATAGCAACTACTTTATTTCCAATGTGGTTTTTCAGCCACGTTCTTTGTTTCAGATAGAGTTCAAGATAATCATTCACTTTGTCTGGAGCATTACCAGAAATTTTATTCCACTTTTTCCAACTTTTCTTTCTACGTTCTTCATCAAAAGGTTTCAGTTCTTCCAATTGAGGATCATTTCCACTTTTCTTATTGGTACTCGCTACGTTGTGATATTTCTCCATTTTTTGTAGTAATTTCCGCTCGCTTGGAGGTAGGGATGAACGCAATCTTTCAAATTCACTCTCGTCTTCATTCGATCCCAAATGCATCTCGTTTTGATCATTCATTTCGTCATCGTCAGACTTTTCCTCTTCTACATTCTGCTCGCCTAAAATTTTTTGTAGATGTCGGGAGCTTAGATGTTCCGCTACTGCTTCAATCTTGTGTTGCGCAATAATTTTTCTTGGACTTGTTGTTAATTCCATTATAGAAGAAAAGCTGCTCACTAAATAACCTTCGTGCTTAAATTCTTCATCAAATGTTTTTCTAACGGCCAACAGCTTCGTATAAGACAATTTAACAGCAAATGTGTATCTTGCATCATAATGCATCACAGATGGAGGTCTTGCAGAGTGAGGGAAATGACCATTGAAAATAACCGCGCGACCATACATTGGTACGACTTCTGCAACATATTCGTTGTCTGGTGCATTATCATTCGTTTCCATGAATGCTGTTTCACCGTAATCAGCAGCTGTCCAATTTGGACTTAGGTATAACAAAAATGTCATTTCTTTTTCCTTCGAATGGGATGTATCAAGATGAAATCGAGTGTGATCATGTGTTCTTATCAGATTACATGCAACATCATAAGGATACCAGTCGGTGTCATTTTTTGTCACAAACTGTGACATTCTTTTTATGACTGGCCAAAATTGAGTATGGACAAAATCATCAACATTAATACCTGCTATCCATTGCACATTGTCACTGTCAACATCAATTGATCCATCAAAGAAATACGTTCCGTACTTTATGACCCATGAACGCAATAAACTCAGACTTGATTCATCAAACAAACCATCGAATACCGCAACAAAATGGCCATTTCTATTTTCTCGATATAGTGTCATATGCTTATTAAAATCTAAGCTTGAAGCTTTTGAAGTATGGCCAATCCAATTGTTCAAGTATGGAGGATTGTGAAGTTCCGTCAAAAATTTTTGAAAATATGTTAACTTTTGAATATTCTTTCTCTCATCTGCACTGAAAGTAGAAACGATAATTCCTTGGGTTGCCAGCTGAGATATACTTGGTGGACGAAACACATATGTGATTGAGCTATCCCACACTACAATTCGACCAAATTTGTGTCGAATCGGTGCAAAAATTTCCCCATCTTCATCATAAAAAAACAACTCTCCATATGCATTTTTTCTCCAAACAACATTCATATAGATAGCAATCGAATACGAGTTTTCTTCCGCTGTTGCTTCTTGATGCAATTTCGTTCGATCACCCCGTCTGATCAATCCTGCATAAATCTCATTCATTCTAAAACTCAATTGTCGTCCATCATGGGTCTCGGCATCAATCGCTTGAATTAAATTTTTCAGTTGCAACCCTACATTTGTTTTTGCCAATACCGCAGGATCTTTCCATGATTTCCAAGGAATACCATTCCCAGAATCGTAAAGTGTTGCGTTCCTTCCTGAATGAATATCTGGTAACACATATCTGCAAAATGTTGATTGATAATTGTATTGAGGATAAATCACTAGGCCTATTTCTAAAAATACTATGGTGTTTTTATCCATAATCCATTAATCAACTCAAAATGTCTAAATTCACATTAAAATTAACTTAGAATATCAAAGCAAATACTTGCCTCCAATTGTCATTGGTAGACATGAAGATATTCAGAGCCATAATATATTCCTCTGGAATTACTCCATCAAACACAAAAATGTGGCGACCATCTTTTAACGAATACTGCTCAGTGAGATGATCAAAAATTGACCTCTTGCTAGAGATATCACCTCCAAGTATCAAATTTACTTCAAAAAACAGAAGAAAAGTCCCAATGAGAATCAGCCTCATTATTTCTGTGGAATACCCTGGCATAAATAAACTCTCTATGTATTTCTGTAATATGGAAATGCATATCATTATCATGACTGTCAGAAGGTGATATGTTGTAAACCAGTACTGGCAGACAGAGACGAGGTCAAGGCATATACTGATATATTGCAATACTTTGATCTCAGTAGCTCTAAATGTAACAAAAGTTTTCAGATGCAGATAATAAGTATAAGTTTATTTCGACTCCATAATCAGCAATAGACGATAAAAAAATAGATAAAAACAAAAGTAAAAGTAACTGATTATAGAATCGGGGAAGCGAACAAAACCTAGAGTAAGGTTTGAAACGTACAGATTTTAGGTGGAAAGGTATTGATAAAAGAAGTAGTACGTGTTCGCTCACCCAAGATCATAAACATAGAAACTTATTATACAGTTAATGAAAAGATCTTCAACGGACTAGAAAATTACGTGATACATCATCCAAAAATTGTGTCAGACACTGCTACGTCACAATCACAAAATAGAACTTGTCAAAGTACAGCGATGATCACCAGTCATGGTGTCGGCGACTACCTACGTACTCGATAGAATTTTAATATTTAACATGCTGAGATATTACTTGACTAAATTAGACGGTTGCAATATACGAACATAAAAATGTTCAGAATATTATTATTATCTATATAAGTTACAGATATATTTAACACACTGCAACAATACTCTGACACCAGACTCCATGGCAGTGTGGCTAGCGCATTATTTTGTTTGTCTGCGGGCCGCGTGCATCTAAATATCAGGTCATACAGTCGCCAGTCATGCCACGCAAAACGTATTCAAGATGGATCGCTGTTTTAGAAATTAAACCACTCAACACTGCAACAGGAAATCGCTAGACAAATGGAGGATGTTCAACGCATGATATAGAATTATCTTGACACGCCTGATACTGATCAAAGTGACTATTTGTGTGGCTATAGTCACTATGATACTGATAGCCCACGCCGCGACTTTTGCGTTACCGTGGAGATGGTAGTCACTCAAAGTTGTTTAATGTCATTGATCACAGAGACTTTTTTGCCCTTGAATTAGATTGGTATTTATGTATTTGTATTTGCAATTGAGGTATCCATTAGAAAAAATGTCATCGAGAATATTTTCCCAGCGTAAACCCTTTACCCGACAAAATTTCTTTACCGCAATTTTTTCGCTCTCGCGAGATTTATTTTATTTATAAAAGCATCGCATTCATATTAATAAAAATACAACTGCACTTTAAAAAAACGAGGATAGTTTTCCACTTCTTGGTATGAATTGACAGTTCACCATTTTTAGTTGCAATAGTTTTTTCACAAATAATATTAAATTTGTGTCATATATAAAATTGACAAAATTGAGGTCTTTCATTACGAAGTTTACATTTGTATATGAAATACCTGGCACATAATAAAACACAATTTATACCTTGGTTTTGCCCAACGACTAACATACCGGTTTTGCCCTACTCCCAATAAAGTTTCTCCATGTGTCAAATTAAAGTCTAACCCATATTCAACAGTTAGCCATGCATTAACTATCTCCCAAAATTGCTGCACGAATTCACAAAAATAAAATGAACGTTACACAGTTTCAATATGCATATTACAAAATTTACACTTTGGACTTGGTGTTTTTATTGTCACTAGGTGGCGCTAAGTGTTTATATATTTGAGAATAGCTCTCTTGTTTATTCTATATAACAGGTTATTGGTTAGTACTGCTCGCAAAGCAAATTTGACATGAAATGAAATAGAGCAATAGAAAACTTTTCCATGCAGTGTCAACCAATTACATAGGTCAGGGTGGTCCAAGGTTGTCAACTCCGGCGGCCACAAGATTATTTTAGCATTGTTCACGGGCCACAAATAGTGCCAAGAATAGGTAAACAGTGCATTACAAAACAAACACTTTTATTATGCGAACCCATTGATCATTATTTGTCAAGCTTAAACATGAAAAAACCACCAAAAAACTTACTAAAACCTGCATAAGTATTTTTATATCTACATTTAGTGTAAGATTTCGACGGAAAAGGGTACTCCTGTAGTATGTGAATCAAGATGGCGGACACCGGAACGTAGTATGTGTACCAGGTTGGGGTCAGGTCATAATTTCACGTACAAATAGCTAGTCCCCAAACTCACAATATAACTAAATTAAGGAAAATTGGAATAAAATTATGGCCTAGCCCCAATCACCATACACATACCACGTTCCGTTGTCCGCCATCCTGGTACGCATACTGTATGTGTACCGAAAAAAGTGCCATTACACAAGTCAATTCAGTGACATTAGTGATGTAACAATATGTTGAAAGATTTTTCTGGTTAAGTTCATGACAAAACAACACCAAATGCGATTTCTTGATTACCCTCCGATTTCGACGCGTCCACAGATAATGCAGCGGCGGACCACATGTGGCATATATTTTATTAATGCTTTTAATATCTTCGATCAGACTAAGATGCGGATTGGCTTCTGAGGTTTTTGATAAATTAGTTTTTCATTCTTGGTGTATACATTATATAATTTTTAAATACACTTGCATGTCATTATAAAAACTAGAAAAACAACAATAATGAAAAATATACGGAAACATTGAAATTTTTTGTTTAGAATCACAAATACCATCAATAAAACAGATATTTTTACTATTCCAATCATCCATATTTTTATTGAACCACAGAGGTGCATGTAAATGATTTGCATCCCTAATAACCTTGGATTTGAAAATAAACCAACAGTACAAAGAGTATCTCTCAAACATTTTGAATAAATATTATTGATATACACTCCATGCAGATAAATATTTCCATAAAATGAAGCCATTCCTCCATACAAATTTCATAAAAACATTTCTATAGACTTCTACGAGACATAAATTTCGTCATTTATTAAAAATTTAACCCATCTTAATTTTTGACCAATGGAAAATGATTCCACACCAAGCATATTGACTCCCCCCTCCTTTACGGATGCAATTAATGTATTACGTTTGATCCTCACCCATTTTAAACCCCATAAAACTTCATAGCATATCTTATTTACTTCCGTTATAAAACTATTGGGCAGTCTTACTGGTAAGATGGATACTACATAAACTAATGAGCTCAACATTTAAAGATTTGATAACAGTGATTTTTCCGAGGAAATCTAGATTTTCTTCGGACCATATTTGTGCAACCACATTCATTGTTCTCGCGAGTTGGCGCTTACAAACAAGTATCGGTATATGTATATGTTCATAACTTGATAGCTGATGTTAGCTGGTATATCGTATCTTTTTCGGGAACTCCTTGGTAGACAAAATGATATTTGATTTTGAAGCAATTGAAAATGACAAATATTCAGCAAAACTACCAAAATGAAAAATGTTCACTACCATGTCTAAAAACCTGTCTGATTGATTGGAAAGAGTGTCTGACCAGCTGATAAATTTTAAATTTTCGTTATCATCTTGCCGCTTAGTCAATGATACGTAAGTAAACTGGGATGTTGATGCTAAGGGAAACATCCAACCCAGCGATGAAAATGAAGGTGAATTAATCATCATAGCTTCCCGGTATTTATATTGAAAATATGACACCGACTGCCTAGGATTCAGCCTTTATGTCGGTTTTACTAAATATGGACTCAACCACCAACATAAGAAGTAATAAAAAAAAGTTTAAAAAATATTAATTGGCCTATCTAGCTAATTCAAACCTAAAACATGAATGTGTTTATACATTATATAAAAATTGATGCTATAATTTGCCTTCGTGATCTCCAAAGTTGTATTGCATTTCGTTCAAACTTGTTTATTTTTCAAATCCAAATGTCAAACCGGAAGCCAGTTATCATTGAACATATTTAAATATTTTCATCTTAAAATAAATATATATATAATTACATCAAAAACATATAATGTAATCTACTCGCAATTTTGGCTTGAGCGGCCAAACGTTTGAACGGCCAACATCCCAACAGCAGAAAAATATAGAACAAGGTAAAGTTATGACCAGAAAAGTGTTTGTCCGTTTGAGATAGGCGTTACAGAGGGTTAAAGCAAGCGTTTGCATCCGGTACATAGTGCATGCTGGCTGGTCACATTTATATTAATGGCGTATTTGAAACAAAAAATTGAACGGTGATTAGAAATATATTAAGAAAGCAGTGTCACCACCGTATATAATATTTACTTGAGCCGCCCTGAGATAATTGCCGCATTTCTTGAAGATCGGACTTATTTCATTTGTATACGCTTTGCATAAAACGTGTAGCTTAACATTTGTAAACTTGACGTTTAAATTCGTGAAATTAGCGCATTTAAGAAACAAAAGAATAGAACGCCACTCTCGACCGCCCATTCTACCACAACCAGGCCTTTGCTGTATCATAATCAATTTTTAAATGCCTTCCGCTTGATTTTATCTTACGGGAAAACAACTAGGTCAAATTATCACTCAGCTAAGTTTGATGAAGTGTGGCTTTCACGTAGGATCTATTGAACTAATCGATGTAGCTTTATCTCACGTAAAAGCAGGATCATTGGCCCTAGAAGAGAGGGCGTAACACTCAGACCTATATGTATGTTTTATGTTGTTAGAGAAGTCATAAAACATGAATGATCGGTTCGCACGCGGGACTTCAAGCAAGGGGAAGAACATCTAGACGTAAGTGAAATCTAGAAACAAATTTAACTTTTAAATGTGAAATTTCAAATCAAATAGAACCTTGCACAGTAAACGAGGAAGAATACACCGTGCATAACTAAATTTTCCCAAATTGAGGTCACGCTCACTCACACAAGAGTAAATGAGATTCATTAGCAAAGTTACAGGTGACCACGAAATTCCAAGAAGAGTTAATAATGTATAATATAGCGCATTGATCGCTTGGACTTTTTAGAAGAGCTGTAAAATGATCATGTGAGAAAATGTGTGTATAAAAAGTTCCTTAGTTCCAAAATCATTTTTTATGCGACGCCGCACCAGGCTTTTTGAAAGAATCAGAATTTTTAACACCATTGAGATTTTGAGCCACTGGGGTGGTGGGCATGGGATTTGAACCTGAGATTTTGATCTTGTTATAGATAAGTCCAACGCTTTCACCATTGGGCCATCGCTGAACGATTAAATTTGATGATGATTGTTTTAATTCGGTCAAGGATCTATGAATGAATGTTTGACTAATCCACGTTGAAGAGAAAAGTTCGCGCAGGTGGAGCACACAAGCATGGAATAAATATCTACGTGTGCGATAAAGAGGCGAACAATGAACGTTGTTTTTTAAATATACTTTCCTCTCATACCATGAGAGTAGTCTACTACAGCGTATATGTATAAACTGAGTTGTTTTGTTGTGTGGTAACTAGAACAAATATACATCTTATATCAGATAGCTTGTTGTGCTTTTCACTGATATTCTGTTGCGCTTTTTGGTTTAAGAGAGTAAAATGTTTTTGCAGAGATAATTGCTCAAAACATGATTAATCTAAATAAGGCACTTCAACTGTCTAGTTGTCGAGTTCTAAATTTCTGCATAATTTATTGTAGAAGAGAAGATATTTTGGCAAAATAGCCTTTGGGCGTCTTAAACGTCAATGTCAGATAATATATTTATTGCTTTGTTCGGGCGAAATTTCGACGAAAATATAGTAACGTGATCAGCGTTCGTAATCAATTTATTTGCGCCGCTTCTGACGATACTCGATCTCATTCACAGTATTAGAATATAAACAAATATGCTGGCGTCTTTCCGAGTTATCTTATTATGGATTCCATAATTGATTCCATAAGTGTTAAAAACGCACGTCGTTGTCTTCCTGTTTCGGATAAATGGTGTCGATAGGTAGATAGATTGAACGCATTGAGTTTAATAATTGAAGATGACCTGGTCAAATCACTCAAGCGCGATGAACGACCCCGCGTTATACGCACTTAATAGCCGTTTGTTCAGGCGTCTTCCAGCACCTGTAATGTGCATAATAGATGGAATTGTGCTGGCTTAATGTTTAGTTCGAAATTTACCTCGTAGAAATGCAGCCGCTATCGGTCATAGTATAATTGATCTCATATTTGGTGGTTTCAGGCAATTGTCAAGCATGAGTGTATGATAATATTCGAGGCATTTAATTGAGTACTAATCGAGGTATGATTCACGTATGACGGTTTAAATTTCGGACGTATAATAACAAAGATGATGAAGCAGTGTACTGTAGTATGTTTATTTACTAAATTTTGTGCATGCGTAAATGATACTATAAAATACAAAATGGAAGCACTGGAGAAAGTTCAGAATAGTAAAGCAGGTTTATTCCAGTTTAGCTAGAAAATGGAGACGAAGCGCAAATTAATTCCCATTTCAACGTGAACATGTAAAAATCGAGATTTATCGCACGAATGAGTTCAAAGGGGGATTCGCCTGTGATTTTCTTTCAGTAGTCATAAGGAGGTGCACAATTATCGATAACCGGAGCGCATTGTTTTACCGTCGTATATTTTTGTTGTTTACTATATATATATATATATATTAAACGGGCCACATATGGAAACGCTTCAACGCGGCACCAATCTTATATGCTATGTATATATGATGAATTTTCAACAATGAATGAGAACGCGCACTTCTAGTATGGTACGTTTCGAAAATAGACTTTGCGTCGCTTACAATGAATCATGAACTTTTCAAACTTGTCGAGTAAGTCTCATTTTTTTCCTTGTTGGAATGAAGACGCTTTATTCCGGATTGTACCGCTTTCAACCAGACCTAACCAATTTTTGCGTAAATCATACGTCTTATTCTGCGAGAAAGTTTCGACTTTGCACCATCTTTGTATCCAAGAAACATTATTAGTTGTCGCGGTTATCAATGATATTCACGAAAAACAAATCGACTAAGCTATTACGAAAATCCGGAAATGATTTTGCAAAGTTTTAAACTAATATGATAAATAACTACAATGCACTATAACGTTCACAAAGAAAATTACATATGTCGACCTGTTTTACGTTGTAGGTATCCGTGGTCAGATAGGCGAATACCAGCGATCACTTATGCTTTCAAAAATAGAAATAGCTTAGTCAAAAGGGATGAAACAAGCCCCTTTTCATTGAGTAATATTCGGTGTTATTCTCGCTCTGTTTCGATATTCCGTCTGCTAATTGCCGTCTAAGTGTAAAGACAGCCTAGCTATGAATATTGTATGTAGATTTGGGCATTCAAAGTTTTCGATTCCACAAATGTCAGGATGGGTATATCTATGTAAACCATTAGAAAGTTTGCAATCTGTTCAGATTACGCAATGTTTGAGAAAGCTTTTCTACCAAATATTTCACCAAACAAGAGCGTCTAGTTTTTGCAAACAAAGAGCCGTGGCAATATTCACGTCGTACGTTCTTTGTGATCTGCTAGTCGTTGAAGGCCATCGTTCCGTAAAAATTTGAGTTGCCATACGATTTTCGCAGTCTTGTAAACAAATTTTGCTGTTTTGTTTGCGCGCAGAATAGCATGATATATCCTGTTTACGCTTTGGCGTCATTGTGGCCCATGCGTGTGGCTGGAGTGTAGGTTTAGAGTTAGTGATTCATTCGTGGCCTAACCATGCTTAGTCTGGATTAATTTTATTCACTTGGGTACTTGAATAATACGGCAATGCCGCCACGTCACGATCCAAAATAGCCAGTGCTTAGCTTTTGCAGCGAGCGGATCAGCTGATGCCGGTTTATAAACTGAACAAAAGAGCTTTGCAACTAGAAAGGGATTTCGTGAATAAACGGCAGATAGAGTGTTTATAGCGTTACTGATATCTGGTGTGGACATTAGCTAGAGTTGCCTTTCGTGCAAGTTGTAGCTTTCTCTGTTTTAGATTTATATATTCTAGAACTTTTCCAATCCAAGACCGATGAAATATTATGATTTTAAAATAAATCAAGATGTAAATGAGTATTGTTCAAAATATGCCAGGAAGTCACATTGAAATAAAAGTATTTGCAAATAAGGACTAAAAATAGGAAACCAGACTTAAATTTACTACTGGCGACGTTGTAGAAACGGATGGTTTATAAATGTTGAAGTTAACTTTTATTTTTAATCAGACTGATCTATGGAGAAATTTGTCAGCTAAACGGCAAACTGTACGAGAGAATAACAACTAGCTTTTTTCAAATTTTTGTCTGACATAGTTGGTAGGAATGAACCTTTGATTTGGGGTCGCTATAACTACACAGACCGATTGTTGTTTTCTGCTCGCATAATCATAATATCTAATTTTCGAATTTCAGTATTTTCTTTTGGTTGGAGCGTTGAACCTTATATATATATATGACTGTAAAATATATTGGCCGACACGGTGAGCCCATCATAAAGAGGTCGAAGTAGATGCTTCAACGTGTAGAGGGGTCCTTGTGGATGGATATCCGGAGACCTGGTAATTATTACCGGAGTCCCAAAAACTGCAATAAAACGTAATAATTTGCGGAATATAAAATATACAACAATTTGGATATGGAGCCTACTACATCTACGAGGTAAGCGTTAGAAAATACTGTAAATATTTTCGATTTTTACATATATCATCTCGCGAGGAAACACATATAGGGCCGCTATTTCAATATTGCTCCTCGCTGGAGACTATCCCCATCGAGCATATCCAGCTCTATTCAAACATATCAAACTATTATATCACACGTCTATAGTTCGGGCGAGACAACTTTAATTCACGGTCACATAACCACATCAACTAAGCTCGTGCATCGTTCTTGTCAGTTTTGGCGTGTAAAGATAAACTTCTGAAAGTATCAGAGCACAGTTAATATTTTGAACTTCATACAACCTACAGCCTCAAATCGGTTGTGCAGGCGTGACAAATATTTCTTTTTCAAATTACACACTCCTTAAACTTTACATACGGCTTTGCTTAATCTTTTTCGGCATGTTGCATGCAATTTGTCCGTCTTCGGCACATGATCTTACCCCTACAATTGATACTTTTATGAGCCGTGGAGCATACAACTGTTCTTAGACGACAAGTTTCAGCCGCAGCACAAATGCCTCGGGTTAATTCCGTTGCCACTTTTTGTTTGAAGTTTTAAATCCGGTGCGTTTTTGCGGAGTAATCTGAGGAATTATGTGCAATTATTGATCCCGTTTTTATCCCTCCTATCGTTAACTAATCCTAACCTTAAATTTTAATAGCAATAAAGCAAGTTGGGCAACTCAAGCCAAATGCATTATTTATGGATATTGTATGTTCCTGACAACATTTTCTCTAATCAAAACAACAGGCGTGTTTTTCATTCACCTTCAAAATGATTTCGGGGCTTCTGCTGCCCAGGCATCTTTCACTATCAGTTTACCCAGTGCGGTCGTTTTTATGGGAGGTATGTACTTCATGTTTATGATATTTTAATTGAGAAGTAATTGGGCTAGTGATCTGAACTAAATCGAATATTTGTACAACGAAAAAAAAAGGGGGGGGGGGGGGGGGGGTTACTGAACGCGACAGAAAAATCATTGAGGCTTTGAACTCCGTGATTTTCAATTTTTACGCAAGTCATAGTAGGCTAATATAAATATGAGAAAATATTTACCTTTAGCATTTTCCCGAAGGTTTTTTATGAACTTGGGACATTATGCCCGATTTTTTTTTAGCCAATCCTATGAAATATTTATTGTTTCAGGTCCTGCCTACGGAGCTGTTTTCAATTCTGCCGGCATTAAACCAACTTTTGCATTAGCTGGAATTTTAATGTTTATCGGGTTTGGAAGCTGCTTCTTTGCATCAAACTTATTTTTTACACAAATTTTCATGTGCATTGCAGGTAAATATAAATTGCAGGTTTATATAAATACTATAGTTCTATTTGACGGTAAATATTTTTAAAAAAGGTTTGAATTATTTTTTTTTAGGTATTGGGGCAGGTTTGTCAAATGTGGCAACACTCACTTTGTTGGGGCGGGCATTCTATACAAGCCGCCCAGTAGCACTTGGCGCTCTTGCTATGGGCGGGGCAACAGCCGTAGCGGTGGGTGGACCAGCTTTACAGTTGTGCATAGACTCGTACACGTGGCGTGGGGCGTTATTGATTCTTGGCGCATATTGTCTTCACGGTGTTGTAATCGGATTAGCTTTGGAACCTGTTTATTTGGAGATTGTTAGAAAAAGAGAGACAGCGCTAATTTTGAGAGTCCTCAAATCTCCCGCCAGAGAAAGGAACTACGAAATTGAAGGTATATATGAAATTTTTGAATTGTTGGAGCCTATTTTTTTTCTTATATATACTGAGTTCTAAGTAGTATTTTCTCATTTTAATTCTCAGAAGATTCTTGTTCAAATGACCGCTCATCTAGATCAAGCACAGATGAAGTGTTTGGAGAGGAAAATATTGTATTTGAAGAGCAACAACGAACTTCGACACCGTTTGTTAGTCCTCGTACACGACGACTTCAGCGACGCAAGTCTTCAGTCTACGATCGATTTGCTGCTCTCGGAACAAATTTTGCATCAGTATTTGATGTCAGCTTACTAAAAAACCCTTGGTTTGTCTGCTATTGTCTTTCGTGTGGATTCAGTATAAGTTCGAGAATTTTATCCGGTCTTTATCTAGTGCGCTATGCACAAGCTTTTGGAATCAACGATCAAGATGCAGCGATGAAATTGACGGTATGTGAAGGAATTTCATTTGCAATGACTCCAGTGATTGGATTTTTGACAAGCGTGAAGAGAAAAACAAGTAAGAATGTCACTTGAAAAATCGTAGCTGTAACTTATTTTTCCCCCTTTATTCAGCAGTTTAGAAGTTCAAAGCAACGTAAATTTGGATATATTGTTTTTTTTTAAACTTAAGGATATTTGTATAAGGTAAAATATTTTCGTGCATCAAGGTCGAAGGGAGGAAAACAAATTCTTGCAATGGATTCGTAGAATAATTTCATCAATAAGACGATCGTATTTACTTGGAAGTTTTCAAATTTTAATGGCAATTGTCATCGCATTTTCAACAATCATAACACACAATGAAGGATTTGTAGCATATGCAGCTATGTTAGGATTTTGCTATGGTAAGTAAGAATGTGTCAAGATTAAGCCATCGTAAATGTTTGATTTACAATCTCACAGCGGATTTCTAAACTGCATTCCACAGAATCGAACTGGAGTTCGGAGCGCACCTGAAATTACTAATTTCGAAATAATAGGGAAATCAAATTTGATAGGGGGTAAATATGCATTAGTAAAATGAATCACCGCAACGAAACCTAACACAACTGTCGTTCCTGCAACGATAAATACTGCCGCATGGTACACTCGAGCAACAGAGCATCGCCGCGTGTCAGTTACCATACCCAAAGTAACGTTATAGATGCATTTGTCGACAATCTCAAGTTCAATACATTTTTAGTTGGGTACTGAATTTGCCATTTAAAATTGTTCAACTTCCATACGAAGTTATTTGCGTTCTCATAAGCATTCTCATTCTTCTTTCAGGTGGAGTAACTTCTATGACCAACGTAGTATTAGCGGACATGTTCGGGACGAAGCAACTTGCCGGTGCGTTCGGTTACAGGTCACTGGCATCGGGAATCATGTTTCTTGGAATACCACCGTCGATCGGTTACTTTATAGATATGACTGGTACATATAAAGTGGCACAATATTTTACAGGTACAATGACATTATTAGCTGGCATTTTGACCATTTTAAGCCAAGCAATGATACTTCGGAATGAGAGGCTCCTTGACAGAAACAATAATAAAAATGATGACGTAGTTGTCACGTAGCGAGATAAACACGCACACGATCAGCTGAAGTAATACGGCACGAAATGACGCCATGTAATTATACAATTCGATAAAAACATATGCGTCGGTTAGTCGTGATCCTCCAACAAGAAATCAACTCCGCTACCAAAAGTGAATGATGATATCACCATTGCGCTCGCACGAACCAAATTTTTGTTGGTCTGTATACTCGTACGTATTATTTTTTCATTTTATTGTTTTTTGACAAATTGCGCGAAAAAATTAAAGGCGCCAAAACTGGTACATCAAAATTGTTGGCAAAATGGCTCATACGGTACAATTGTATGATCCGAAATTGTTATTGATGGTCGTTGTATAGTGTTAACACACACGGGCAATTATATTTTATAATTTCATTTCTTTTTCAAATTTATATTATTTTAACTGTTCAAATTTGAGAACATCGAGCGTACTTGTATTCAAGTGCTATATAAACCGCCTGTTTATATTCTTAGTTCGTTCGAAAACGTGCTTTATTCAGAATGAAATAATATTGCGGATCTGTCTACTTTTATTGCTTAAATTTATGTCCTAAATGACGTTTTTTATTATTATTTCTCTGCACTTCCATCTCAGTACGATATTCGTAAACTCGTGCAATAAATAAAATGCACTTTCTTATGTTTGCAATGATAAACGGACCTCAAAAGTGATATGGCCTACGTGTGTATGTATGCATGAATGTACTTAAGGTTTCTTCAGAAAGAATAATTTTTTATGATTCTTTTATGAGCATATGCAAAGATGACATGTGCAGGATCGTGATGTTTTTACTTTACCACATTGCTGTCACGTACATTCAAATGGTCCATCTTTTCGTGACATTCATTCTTCGCATCCATTACGGCATTGCATCCGAGTGTAAACAACATTACCTCAACTGATTGAGGTCGGTAAACTGCCAATTGCCAAAATGTGTTCGGCATTCCGTTTCTACTTCCAATTATCCATAAAGGGGAAGTAAAGGCGGAAGACGACTTAAAATTAGTTTGGTCGTTCCCAGACCTTCGACCCCAGAAGAAAATTTATTCTTCTACTTTACCATTGCTCATTTTCCAAGCCAATGTTCATAATCACGCCCTAAAATCAGTCGAGTAAAAAAGTATCAGAACCGCTGCTTAAATTTAATTCATTACTTATTGTCGATTGGTCAGTGTTAAATAAATAGAGTAACTAGTTAGTTGTTCTCATGCATAGACTTGATAGTGGAGGAAGCTGTCACGCTAACCACACTACCTACGACAGAGAGGATTCCAGCAATTCTATGGTATATTATTGTTCCCCATGGGATTCAGACGGCGCAGGGTAATCAGAGGTGCGGTGGCACGAGTGTTCCCAAACACAATGCGCCATCAGCCGAGCATGTAGCTACCTGAAACGTACTGCGGCATCGAGTTCTTTCAACATCTGGCATGACATAGTACTGGTATAGCTGCGATTTTCCGTTTTATTATATGGTACACCAGAAATTTAACTTTCCTAAAATTCATTTCCCACGCGGCTAGATAACTTGTTGAAACAGATTTCTGATTTCGGAATGTAAATATTCCAATTATATTCACAACAGGACAAGTGAAACAAATACAATCAAAGACGTAGTACACCATGATGGCAAAAAAGGATCGACTTAAAATTCGCTGTCACATATATCAATTGTTCATAGTATTTTAGTCCTTGGTTCTGTGCTCGAATACAATACAAAACCAAGGTGGCCCGAAACCGAGAAATAAGCATGGCCCTTCTATGGCGCACATTTGGTGTGGAAATATGTGGTCATATGTGTTGATCATAAGTGGTTCCAATATTAGGAAACACTAGAAATAATAATTATAAGAAAACAAGATTAAAATAAAAGATTCTCAACCCGAAAAAGTTGGAAGAAAATTAAGATACCTGCATGAAGGTAAAACCATTTTGCATATTTGTGGAGTTGAACTGGGAGTATGAAAATGTTCCATAGGAAATAACTGTTATGAAATCAATAATATATGCTACAACTTGATTTAACTTACCCCTTTGCACATACATCAACATTGGGTACAGCTATTAAGTTTCGAAAAATAAAAAATTTCCAGGACAGAAACGTTTACACAATTTTTATCATCTTAGATGAGAGATGAGCATAGCGAAGATCAAAAATTGTGATGAAAATAAAAAAGTTTCTGAATCGGTTTAGATGTGAAGTATGTAATACCATTTTGCTACGTACATATCATTGCTAAATTGTTTCACAAGATAAAAAACAATAAATCAGTAGTATTTATAGAAGCGAAAGTAGTACTTCTTTCAAATAGGAAATGCATTCCAATAATCATTTCTCCATTATTAATTAAGAAATTTAATTTAGATTTTGACAGTCGGCAACTACATTAACCATATTTGAATACAATTTCCAAGTAGATCTGACTGAAGAACATCTTGAAAAAAAAAAAATTAAAAGTGACAGGCATTACTGAAAAATTTCGCTAAAACAAATGAGAGAAGTCAATGTGAAATGATACTTGGTCATTAAAATTTAGCATATAGTAAAACTTATGCTTCAAAATAATTTCATTTGGAATAATCGATATAAAAAATTATTAAAACATAATTCTGAAATACCTTATTTAGGGACATAGACACAAAAAAGTGGAACTATAAGACAGGGATAATGGTCACTAACATTTTTCAAATAGTATCATCTTGAAGAAAAAATCGACAATTTTGATTTATATAAACAAAAAATTAAATACAGTATATGGAAAAATAATATTCCAGCACACATTTGATTGTGCAAATTGTTAACAGAGTACCTGAGATTATTTCTCAATAAATATGATATTGATTCTTAAAGATGAAAAAATGGACAATGTTACGACAAGGTGCAATTAAGTGTGAATTGGTCCTTGTATACTATATAAAATCCATATGCCGCAACTCATGGTATATCTAAGTAAGCAAAAATAACATGATCCACTTACATTAAGTTGCAAATTAATGTAATTATATTCAAAGTCAGAGCACAAAAATTGTGCTATATGTGTTCCAAATTGATAAAAGGGATATTATCTTTTGGTGACAAGCAACTAAATTTTGTGCCAATTTAAAATAAACAATTTGATATTAAATTCAAATCAATTCTCTGCAGGTCATCATCTAGTTTCACTCTTTTTATTTCTATCATATATTTATTTTTCGTAACATGTAAAAATATACAAAACAAAATGACATCTGGAAGTCTGGAATGGTTCAGCAATAAAGATATAAATAGATTATATGTGTCTGCATTATTTATAATGTCTTGGTCTCAATCTTGGTCTCAGTCACAATAAGAAAAAGGCATTTCAAAAACACGAGACTGAAATGATAGGAAAAGACTCTAGATGAGAATAAGACCAATTGATTGTTTTTGTTTTTTCTCCAAAAGCAGCTCTGTATATATAAATAGTCATTCAGACTAAGGGACTATGCGGGTCTGGCATATGCTGTTTATATGTTTGACGATATTTACACCTACAAGATTTCATAAAGCATTCGAAAATTATAGTAAAATACACTTGAAGTTCATTGCTCATAAAAGTACAAATAAATAAATTAAATAATGAATCTTAATAATCATTAAATATGAGAACAATGAAATTTTACAGCTCAGCTTTTTTGTATTTAGCTCAAAAACATATAAAATATGGGATTCTATTTCGAACACAAAAACATTACATGTATGGCATCACTAGCAGAGAACATAGTCAGGCGTTAAAATGATTATTTTGTAGCAGCTCAATATGGATGTTTGCTTTCATAGTTAGTTAAAGGTATGTGAAGAGATGTGCAGATATAAAAAGAATAACAAAATTTTACTGGGATTTATAAGGTAAATCAACTTTCAAAATATGCTGTTTGTTTTAAGGCCGAGATGATTAATTTAATGATTACCCCAAATCGGGGGTGTGCAACCTTTAATACAAGAGGGCCAGATACAAATAACTGGGTGAAACCGCGGGCCGCACTCTCATTTAACATAGGCTTTCTAGTAGTTGCAACACAAACATTTTGACTATCGATCTTATGACATGCATTGTTCGCTTCGCACAAGCTAGCTATTAGGGCATTGTAACGTCATAGGCATAGATAATAAATTGGACTCAGGAATATACTTTGTAACGCGGAGGGGTTGGAATTACTCACACGCACCAGATTAAAAACTCGTTTCAGGTGCCGCGTACCATTCAAAATTGGCACTTCTACACAAGCCGCACAATTGTTCTTGTGGGCCGCATTTGGCCCACAGGTTGCACATCCCTGCCCTGAATCGCATAAAAACTGTTGCAATTTTAGAAAAGGCTTTTTCAATTTGTTTAACTATATAACAAGGCATAATCACCATGAATGTGTGCGTAAAAATACACGATTTCAGAAACGGCCCATTGTTAAATAGAAACGATATTTCTATACCCTGTCATAAAAACATGATGAGGAAAAAGGAAGTTGAATATACAGGATGTTCAAAACCGGCGTCACATTTTTATACAATGCCACATTCAAACACAAAATCAATTATTAAATCTGATATTTTAAATGGAATAAATATAGTCTAAGCTCCATATATAATTTCATCGCTTTTTTAAGTATATGTAACATGTCAGGGGTTTTATGACAAACGAGGGAATGTTGAAATTTCTAAGAAAATTTGATTTTAAACAGGTTCTTTTTAAGCTGGTCTAGTATCAAGTTTGAAAATCAATAATATACTTTCTCCTCAATTTTTCTAACTCCCTATTTTTTTTCAGTTTTTTTCGCCGATTTGGGTTGAATCCAGCACTTTTTTTTTATTGTTAATCATATACCTAAATAGAAAAGCATCAATGATAATATAAAATTTCCATTTTTCTAAATTTTAAGCAGTCACAAAAATAATGGGTCATGAAAATAAGGTTATATGACAGAATCATTCTCTTGCATATCACCTTTGTCATATTCCGTATCTGAATTTGTTTGAATTATTTCTGTGCGTGATAGTCATTCTTTGTGCTTCTTTAATTGTTTTGTTATAGAAAACACACGAATGCCTAAGTGCTCAGCTAGCTGGTCGACCTAAACACAAAAGGAAATTAAATTGGAAAAAGTTTGTCCCTTTTTAGTTGTGTTTCCTAAATTTCAACTATAAATCGAAATCAAAGGTCGTTTTCCGAGGAGTTTTAGTTTAATTGCAGAGCAGTAATTAAAATATATTTCCGAAAAAGCTGCGATAAATTAGATTAAAATTAGGTATCAGTACTTTTGAATGCGAATGGCAAATATCTTATTCTAATTGATGATTTATGAAACATATCGCTCGGTGTTGCGGCGCATCGTGCCAAGCGTTAGGAATATGCTCACCACCGCATCCCAGATTACCTTGCGGGGATTCGCAGGTTCGAATCCCATGTGGGGTTAATTATGTACAAAAGGATTGCTGGACTCCTTGCCGGTGGTTCGCGTAACCGCAAGTTGAGAAAACAAACTTGCTAACTAATCTTGTACCCGGCATGGACTGGTAACGGGACGAGAGGCCGTGGTTCGCCATATGATAAGGCCATTTTATCGGCTTTCCTTTTTCCCAGATAAATATGTAAATCCTATCCTATATAAATCAGTTTGTAAGCTCCAAACACAAGTAATAACACAGTATATATATATATTGTCCAGTTTGTGGACAATAGATTGTCACAAGTGCCATGTTCATCCCTGACTAAAAAACACAAACTATTCTGTTAACTCACCACAACTACTCCGTAATGAATGTGCAACAGTACCAGTGAGACGGTAAGAATTTTGAGGCACCAAGATTCAATTGTGGCATCACCAAAGAATAATGAGACAGAAACAGCACAAAACAATGGCACAATAAGAAAATTGAAGACCTGGCATCTACTGTTTGACATCTGGCTTACAATGAGTCGACACTGTAAATAAATAGAAAAGGAAATTCATGAGTATATATTAACTGAAAAACAAAACATCAACAAAAAATAAAAAGTTATCTTTTTTTAAGCAACAACTAAAAACAAATCTTAATTAGAATACAAAACTGAAAAATGTATTAATAAAATAGATCTCTAACATTGGAAAAAGTGATTTAAGACTGAAAAAGTAATAAACACTCATGGACTCACTCAGCAATCATATCCGTACCCTACTATGAAATGTACTCAAATTAAATACTATCGAAATTCTTTGTTTTAGGAGTCATAGAAAAATAAATATTTGTTCTCTAAATACAACTGATAAATCTCTTCGATCGGTTGCCACGTGTAGTGTGAGATTGCGAAACTGAACTTTAATCTTTGGTTTTGCTGGACTTTGAATTGTTCAATATACAGAATGATTAGTCTGCATTAATTTTTATGAAATTTCCCACAATTGAAAAAGATCTTGGGATGATTGTTCACTGATCGGGGGTACTCCAGAAGTATGTGCACCAAGATGGCGGACACCGGAACGTAATATGTGTACCAGGTTCAGGTTTGGCCATAATTTCAGGTATAAATACTACGAGAGTCACTTGGCTAGACCCCGAACTCGTAATATTACTTAAATAAGGAAAATTGGGATAAAATTATGGCCTAACCCTAACCTGGTATAAATGCCAAATCAGGTAGTTAGTTTCAACGGCCTTCTGCTGTTATCTAATTACTAATGCCAGTGGTTTGATTAGTTTGAAAACAGCTGAACTGCAGGTGTCACATATGCATGACAATCGGGTTACAATTAATTGGGTTTATTTTATTTCTCAACCATTATGACTCCTCTATCGCCACTGTTGCACGACCAGTCAGAACAATCTCATCATAAAATGCAAAAGCAAGTGCTGCCATGTTTCACTAACTGGGATGTGAGGCTATGATTCTGATCCAACTGTAGTTATACACTTTTGTTTGAGTTTTCAAAATATATCATATTATAAGGTCTTTGAATGAATAATTGATGAACTTTTCTAATATAACAATTCTAAAGTATTCTTAAATTCAAAACACTGAATTTAAAATTTCAATTTTGATATCCAAAACCTTATTAGACATGTCTGCTTACTTATATGATGTAAAAAATCATCTTATCAAATCGTGCCTGTAATCATTGCCTACAGGTATGTGTCAAATGCTGTCAAAAATTGTCATGACTTTAAGCAGTTAAAACACGAGAATTGAAAGATAATATATACATACAAAGATAACAACCCCGCGTTTCAAATAAAAATAGTAACCCACCACAATATTTGATAGAATAACCCCAACAGCCGTTAACATCCATCTTGGACTCTGATGTAAAATATTTCCAGTTGAAAAAAAACACCATGTTGTGAACAATACAAAGACAATAACGGATGAGAATAATGGAATAAACGCCTCGTACATGCTTCTCATTTTACCAGTCTTGTCTACGTAAGATCTGTAAATTAGGAAGGAAATTTTTATCAAATACATTAATTTTTTCTCAAGTAAATATTAGGAAACATTTTGTGAATCTTTCGAGAGTGGATATTGAATTATAAATATGAAGCGTGATACAAGGTAGATCTCTTGGGCCTCATTTCTTTTATATATGTATAGCTTAATCAATTTCCAACATAAAGCGTAATACAAGGTAAATTCCTTGGGCCTGACTTCTTATTATATTTATAGTTTAGTCAGCAAAGTACACATGTCATCAGCCTGTTTGGTAGACAGTAACCCAATTTATATTAATTAGTAATTACTATGAATGAGGGTTTTCAATATTCATTAAAAGAGGTAGTAAATTCCGGTAAGATGATCGCATCATATATTCGACAGGCTGTCTGTCTGTTGCCGGTTATGGGAAGAGTTAACCAGCTCATCACTGAATGCACGTTGATCGCATAGTAAGCTAAAATTGACCAGAAGTTATGTGAAAACATTGTACAACAATGCGAGAAGTCGAGCAATCCACTCATTCCACCTAAAATTCTACCCTGCGAATCTGCATAACCACTATTTTAGAGCAAAATACTTTTAAGATACTATTTATTACTTTGCTTAATAAAAACATAATAAATTCGATAACATTCTCACCTATAAACATTGTAGAAGCAGACTGGCATTGAGAACAAAATTCCAGAAGCTGAAAATAAGCAATAGTTTCATTGTCTTTTATTGGTTTATAAATATATATATATAGGAGCAAACCTAACACTGAAAAAACAAATTGATCTTCCAAGAGTAGCAAACGTTATGTATGGCAAACGTTATGGGTATTTAATTCTATTTAAACGATATACACTCTCATATTTAAATGGAAACTTGCAGCATCCATGGCTGTACTGGCAGAACCCTGGGGTGCCACGGAACAACAGTTTAGGACCATCGATTTATAACCTCATGGGCTGAAGCTTTGGAGACCCCTGGGCGAAATTTTGAGGTGATTTAAAACTATACATTTACGAACATGATATGTAATTTTAAATTTAATTCCTAATATAACTCACTTCAGAAATAAAATAGGTCCAATTTCTGGTCGAGTATGCATTATTATCAACTTTGTGAAGGGCCTATATACTTACCATATAAAATAACCAAAATGTATTCTCTAATTTTGATTCCATAAATATCCGCTCTCCAGATCTCAGTCCCGAAAAAAGCACACATTGCGTACGCAAGAGCCATTACCTAAAGTAGGTATTAAAAAGTTGAAAATGAGTTAGTTACTTCCAGCTTGATGTATTTTCTCCCCTAAAACTGAATGAAAAATGAACTAAATAACACAAACTATAACAAATCTTAAACGCTCCAAAATCCAAACTTTATAAATAATCAGTTGATTTTGAAAAGACAGCAATTCCTAAATAATATAGTCATAAATGCAACGAGCAAACATTGGCTAACGAAACATTCGAAGCGTACATATAACAGTTGGTACACATTGGAAAAGACAATTTCAAGTTTTTGAATTCTGTACTCTTTCAATGAAACATCTATAATTTGGGCCAGTATTCGGCCCTCTGAGAAATATTTTGTGCCCTAGACTGGCTCACCTAATATTTCGCTGCTATGAGTACATCCCATATCTACGGTATATGAATATAAAAAGATTAACCCATTATATGAATCCGAAAATGCTATAATACCAATATTAATAGTATCTTTTCAAGATTGTTGTGGTTGAAGGTTATTATTTTTTTTACTCACCACTTGACTAAAATCATATGACCATGGTAAGTATAAGATGCCAGTGTTATATTTCTCCCAGTGACAGAGTAGGAAACAAGTCATCAACATCCATAATACAGCATAGAATTGCCAAGCTGCAAGATACAATAGATAATGAGTAAAGATGATAAAAAAACGCGGGTTTAAGACGAACCACAACCGATTGGCACAAATATTTTGCTATAAAACGGTAAACATTACTTGGAGTCGTTAAAGCTGTTAATAAAAAAAATGTTTGGCAAGCGCGATCAGAAAGTTTGTTTGAATTAATTGAGATGAAAATATTTTGGTTGTAAAAATATCATACGACCGGAATTATATTCTGTATTTTGTTGTATGTGACGGATATTATTTCACCTATATTTGAGTTTTCATATTTTGATTTATAGCATTCGTTAAAAAAAAGAATTCACTGTATGTATCCTCTAGCATGCTAGGGTAGGGGACCTCATTTGTAAATAACTGGCTAATTATTTCTCATCAAATGTTTTTGTGTAAAATTAAATTATCTTCAGATATGTTTTATATTCAACATTAACTTTCTAGTGTTTGCGTTTGCTTGTAATTTTTCTATTGATCCTCTCTACTATGATTGATTACTTACGAGAGAATTAGCTGGGGACAACAGCCTTGCACACAAAAACGTTAACAATTTAATTGATATTATAGATAGGTAGCTTCCTCCAGAAGAAAAGTAATCAATCATAAGATAGATTTGCTATTGATAAAATGTCATTTATCGTGATGTCTCACGTCAGTACAAATGTACAAGGGATTTGACATAGTTATCAATATATCAAGATATTGATACTCGAGAATTTCTTTTTCAAGCACAACAAAAAGTAAAACACAAAGTTTTAGATATATAGAATTTGAAAAGATTGTACTCAAACCTACTCCAAACAAGATGTTTGACCATATTATTCTGCTCAAGCACACTTTGTCTGAAGCATTGTCATTAGTGCTTGACTGACAAGCAGAGAAACAAGTATCACAATTTTTAAGTCTCTGCATTTGAGGTGAATATATTGTGAAGCTCTCATTTTTTGTGCTAAAAAATGACCTCAGCTTTTTTTGCTGAAAAATATGGTATTTTTTCTTTGGATATATGATTTTCAACATATCAAAATAATATATGACTACTTTTAATTTCGTAGAAGCAATTTTAAAATCCACAAGGTCATAAAATCTTACCGGAAGCTCCACATTCTCCTCTACCAAATATTGAATAAATTCCAAAAGCAAACATGGAAACACACCAAGAATCTATACCATGATCAAATAATTCACCCATGGGCGAAGATGACCCCGTTCTTCTGGCTTGTTTCCCATCACAGCCATCTAAAAAGCAAGATTATAAAGTTGAGGTGGAACATAGTAAAATGTTATTTGAACTTAAGCCAATTTTCATATTTGTCATTGTGGTTACTGATTAGCCAGCTGTATTAAACCTTGTTTGCACAAGACGTCAGTTGTGTCAAGTTAAAACACTATGTGAAAATATACTCAAACACTGATTTAAGAAAAATTATATCTCCGATTCTGAGGTGTGAAAAATTTTGACTTCGAGTCTGGAGCGTAGAAAAGGTTTGACTTCGACTCTGAAGGGAGAGAAATTTTGACTTGACTCCAAGTTGAGAAAATTTTTGACTTCGACTCCGGAGCGAGAAAAAGTTTGACTTCGACTCTGAAGGGGGAGAAATTTTGACTTGACTCTTAAGCGAGAAAAAGTTTGACTTCGAGTCTGAAGCGAGAAAAAGTTTTAACTTCAAGTCTTCAACTCACGAATGTACAAAATTTTAACTTCGACTCTGAAGCGAGCAAAGTCTGACTTCGACTCACAAGTTCAGAAAGATATTGACCCAGACTCTTTTGAGTTGAGAAAAGTTTCGATCAGACTCTCGAATTGAGAAAAATTTTGTCTACAAGTCTGAGTTGAGAGAAAAATTTTGACTCAGACTCTTACTTGAGAAAAACTTGTCTCTAACTCTAACAACAAAAACTAAGGTATATAAAAGCCTTCTTTGATATACTGTTGAGAAAGCTTAATTAGACTTGATGCTATATAAAATTTTGGACTTCTTCCATCACCAATGAAATCTGATTTTCAGCTTAGGCTTCGAGGAGCTTAAAAATACAAATCTGGCTCCGGTCTTGTACCTAACCCTTTTGATTATGACTCATTAAGTACTCAAAACAAACCTAGATCTTACCAAGAGTATGCGAGAAGAATTGTGTGAATACACAAAGCCACCAAACCCACGCTGGTATGGGTGGATATTCAGTAAATTCACTAGCTGATGCATACCAATATGGGTCATAAAATGTCAATACTGCAGTTTGTAAAACGAGGAGTAGAAATCCGCTGAATGTCATCAAATTTGGTGCTACCCATTTTGGAAATATCTAAAAATAAAATTTACAGTGATGATTGTCTCTTTTTAAAAAAAAAAAACATAAAGGTAGCAAGCATATTTAATGCTAATCAAACAGGTTTCATGTGGAAGGACATAAAAAATTTAATTTATATTTACCTTCACAAACTGGTTCCAGAATGGGTGCATGACATAATTTGACAAGGGTGATGTGTCGATACTGCTGTACTAAAAATTAAAAATATTAAAAAATTTCGAAGTCTTTTTTACTGTGTTAGTAAATCAGTTATGACTAAACACTGAAAGTGCAAAAGTGTCATGAGTCGGCAACCTACGACCCCTGCCAGGCTCTTTAAAAATGATGTATAGTCAGGTGGGAGTTAGAATGACGTATGCGAAAATGGTTATGCTGCCCCAACTAGAAGTACTTGACGGCGTTTAGTGAACTAGCCCCTTTAGTTCGTATATTAAGGTATAATCAAGACAATATTGCAAACTGAATGCGTTTTGTTAACAAGAAAGAATTCCTTAGGTGAAAATACCTGCGACCCGAACCTAACCAAAGGTTGCCATCCCTGGTCTATATTAACATAACAAGGTATGAATTTGAGGGTAGGGTAAGCATGCCCAAAAGCAGAAAACTGTAAAGTGACACTTAATCCCCGCCTTTCCAGTTTTAATCATCTGGTGAAAATCCTTGTTGAAAAAGATACAAAGAAAACAACCAACCTTGTATGAATCAAATCCAGCCAGTTCATCGTCGGTTATATACATCGTGCAGCTTTGAGACTAATCTGATATAACTCAGTCTACTTTTCTGCTACCAAAGAATGAGCCACCCACGACCTAACGATTGAACCTAACAGCACGAACGAACCTTCACAGTTTACACTACCAGAATCGGATCTGGGTTGCCACCTCGCGGATTTAAAATTTATTACCCTTTAGGTGAAGTTGTACAAGCGGACATTTATAGTATAAACAGGATGTGAAGTCGGGGTTCGCCAATATTTTCATCCTATTCGGAGTCATATATTTAAACTCTCCAGAGTTGGAATAAAAATGATAAATTCCACGCAGTCAAGAATTTTTCGTAGCGATAATCGAAGTCAAAATGTTCTACAAAATTAAAAAAATAAAAATTCACTAAGCCTATTTGAAAGTCTATTATTAATAAAGGATAGTATTCGACATTTTGATTTTTTAGAGTTTGGGAGCCGCAATCAAAGTCATTTTGTTTCAATTCGGAGTCAAAAACAAAATATTTTAATCCCGGAATCGGAGACTGATTGTGGATTTCCCGTCTCCCAACCCTGAATAAAATGCACAGACAACATATAGAGAATTTGGTTTGTCTCTTTGTTAGAATCAGAAAAATTTATTTGAAAATTAGCTTCAAAGAATAAAATAGTTGCCTAGCTTAATAACTACTTAGCTGATTGAAACGACCGCTGACTCGGGCCAACCTGTCTGTCCCTCGTCATTTGAAAATGACAATTCAATGAAATGAGAGCGTTTGATTTACTTTCTTTTTAAATCAAAGTATTGGGATAGTATTTATATGAAGAAACCCAAAATTTGTGAATTGAGGGAGAGAGTTGAAAATATAAAAAAGACGTATCTATATTCTTGTTAGTTTCGAACACCAAAAAAAGCAAAAGTAATGGCCTCAATCATTCTGTTTTGAAACTTTGGCTATATAAATCAGACAATAATAAAATGTGGTTGCTTAGAAGAGAGCACATTTTATTTTAGAACTACCTACGTTGCGGAACATTCGGATCATCCTACACGTCATCCGTCCCGGCGATAGACCTAAATGTCCCGGTTTTGCAGTATGAAAGTTTCAATAATTTTTCTATTTGATACTATTACAAAAAAAAAAATTTTTAAACGGAGGCAGCCGATTTACGACTGATTTATGTCTCACTTCACTAGTTCAGATACAGAAACAAACATCTTAGCAAACACCAAAAGCTACCTGAGGCAAATATTTGAGACATATAATATTTTATACGAAAAGACGCTCAAACGAAATGGAAACCTATTTCTTTGTGAAGTTATGGGCACCACTGAGGTACCAATACATGGAGCAAATCAATATTATATATAAGTGATACGCTCGTTAGCGATTAGTGCAAAAACAGTTTTACATAAATTTATTTCTTGAATATACATTTATATTATATATATATATATATATATATATATATTCCAAAAATATTTTGCCTTGAACATAATGAAAAAGAACCAACAGATTGAATAAAGTTGATCATGGTATTTTAAATGTCATCTATTTATAAATTTTCTCTGAATATGCATTATTCAGTTCTTTATTTCTTTTCTTGTATCAAATTTACTTTCTGAACATTATCGTAGGGTATGTGTACGTTAAAATAAATTTAACTTCATCATCAGGAAGGTCATTCATGTCCAATATTCTCTTTACGTGACTTCCTAGTGCTTGTATTGGTGCATTCTCCTCGCCCAAACCGAGATTTAAATATTCGAGATATTTTGCTACTGTTTTGAAAAGGTTTTTATATTGTATTAACGTATTTTCTACTTCAAACTCGAGACCTTCAATCCTTTCTTTGGTGTTGGATTTCAATCTATCATAAATAATGTCATATTGACCAAATACATCTAAGATAAGATCCTGCGATCCCATGTTGCGATGGTATTGCTTTTCGATTTCTACAATGCTGGCGCGTTTGCTTTGAGGTTCATTTATTTTTCTGACAAAGCTGGGACAGTATGCGTATATCGCGCAATAACCACCAGGCTTCAAAACTCGATGACATTCGGTTTCAAAGGTTGCCAGATCCAGCCAATGCACTGCAGAAGCACATATGATAAGATCCACACTATTGTCTCCGACAGGAAAGACATTATCACGTACAATACGAAATTCCACATTTTTGTTTGAATTGTGTTTGTTTGCGTATTCTATCTGAGAATCACTAATATCAATTCCTAATATCGACTCAAAGTAAGGTGTAAATATGTAGATGCTTTGACCTCCTCCGCAGCCTACGTCGAGCATTTTCTTCAGCTTTCCATTTTTGCCATCGCTTTTTTTGCTACGCAAATAGTTCATGATTGCCTCAGCTACAATATCAGGATACGGTGGTCTATGTTTGGCGTACAATTCAGACTTTTCTTTACCATTGTAACAATGGGCGTAAGACATTGCATTCGATTACTTTTATATATCCTATATTGATATTAAAATTGATGAAGAGTTACTTAACTTAGAATCAATGTGTAGTTAAAAATTAACATTCAATTAAACGTAAATCGAATTCGACATAGCTTCACTTCTGAACTCATGCTGCAACTTATTTTATAATCCGCAAGCTGCTTCCTTTAATAAATTATCTCAAATCAATCAATAAAATTGTTTCATTGGTCATTCAGCAAAAGCACAATAAAATGAAAGCGAAAAGGGGGATCACAACATATTTGCATAATGAATCAACAATTTGTTGAATTGCAGCGCCAATTGTTATGCGAGAGCGACACGAAGAATACCGAAACGTTATTCTTCCATAATTTTAAAAGAATTTCTTCCTTTACGCAGTTGTTTTTGACCTTTAATTGCAATAATCATAGAGAATATTGATTTAAAAAAATGTCATCATTGTTTGTAAATATAATTTTCAAACCATTTAAAAAATATTTCAAATATATATGTCAACTTTCAAGAAAAAATTTAGGTCTTTATTTGGGAACCCTTGGCACTCACCGAACCCTATTTCTTGTCTCGCTGGACCTAACCCTCCCGGTAAAGTCGGGTTAAAGAACACTGGTGCAGATATTGAAACACACACATATATATAGGCCACATACAAATGATCATTGCTTAAGATCGCTAAACACAAGAATATTAATTGGGATATACAAAACCACATGAGCCTCAGGCATTGAAAATAATAAGAAATTGCGATGATATAACAGGGAAAAAATTTATCGATAGTTTACATCGATAGGGTATGCAAGTTTGATAAAGGTACATTCTTTGAACTTTCTCCTATTTCAACGGCCTGGATATTGCATACTGAATATTAAAATAGCTGATATATATATAATCGATCTTCGTTTATAGACAAACGTTTATAAATATCACATCCGAGACAATATGTAGGCTATAGCAGGGATATGAAGGCTGAAAAGGATATTCGTAAAATTTCAGACTAACTTGAAACATTCTTTATATCTTTTCTCCATGTCAATACCACTGATGTCGCCTGGGGTTTTTCAAAATATGCTATGGGATAAACAAATAAATTAGACAGTGTAAGACTTTTCTAAATACACGATATAGCACTCAATATAACAAAGCAGAATTATTTATGAAATGGAAAATTTGGTTGTTTAATGTTTCGTTAAGTTTCGTGTTGACTCGAAAAGGTAACACCTGCAAATGATTGGATAACTGGAACTGATTTCTTGTATTTATATTACTGTCGGAGTTATCTTAAAACATCAAAGGTATAATTTTAGCATCCGTGAACACGTTTGCAGGTTACTCTGGCTTTATAAAAACATGGAGAAGTACTAAGACAGTCAATAAGAAAAAAATCAATAACTCACAGAGGTCTCAAATTTGTAGTGAAATATGAAAAGCAATTGAGGACGGAGATGGCTAATTGGGGATGAGACTGGGTTAAGAGATAAATGTCCAATAGTGAAGTCAAATAAAGAGACTTGCTACCCGTATGCGCAGTCAGGAGACACTGGTACAGCTATCGAAGCATGCAATAATATTCATTGTTTGTCATCGCTGGTTTAAAACAAGTCTACGAGAACATTAATTAAAACATACAAAACCACAAAAGCCCTGGGCGTTGAATATAACACATTTGATCTTAAACTGTTAACAAAAGTTTGAACTGGATACGCAAGATTGCTGTAAATTAATTTCTTCTGTATTCGGAGTGAATATATACAAAGCTCGTTTTTAAATTATCCAGAAACAGATCGATGCTGGAGGCCAAGTCAATTTTATTTCTGAAATTCTCATTGTTTTTCACAGGTTGAAAGAATCTTAAAACTGATAATTTATTATGAGAAATTCAATTTTGTTAGGAAATACGAACATGCATAGTAGGCTATGTTTTTTTATACAGGAATGCGGATCTTTATTTTTTTTTTATGAAATTGTCATACAGTATGGGTGTTTGCGTGATTAATGTACATAATGTATATATTGTCATACTTTGCTAATATCGGATGTGTGAAAAAGTAAAATAACTTTAATTAATCAAACATCAAATATGAAATGTTCAAAATCGATTAATCGAGAGTTCTCATTTATATAACTGACGTCAGACGGTGCGCTTCAAGTTATAGTATGTGAGAGAACCACCAAATAACATCACATTATACTTTCCTCGCCTATGTATTTATATATACCAAACAAATAGATTTTTGTGTACTATCATATTTTGGTATTAAATATTGTTTTGTCACGTTGTCTAGAAAATATCTGCAAATGATTTGAAAACTCGAAATCATATCTTTTTTGCACTGGAGTAAAATTGCATCTTCAAACACCATCGACGCTGTATTTTATGATGTGCGCCCATTGCAAACTATTTTGGCTTCAAAGAAGTGTGAAAAAAACCCAATATATATGGAAAAAGGGTTTCAACCCACCAAGACCAGGGAGTCCGTGAAAATAAATATTGGACTTCGACCCCTTGTTGTAAACTCTAACTTGACTTGACTTGAAGGAGTGGAGAACCTTCTATTTCGACTTCCGCCCCAAATCTAATTTTGATATCCTAAACTTTGGGAGTATCCAAGCCTTCTTTATTAAACTGTAAAAAGCGCTTAATAAACTTGATGTGTTTTGAGTTCTCCAAATAAATTTGACTTCTTACATAACCATGGAATGTCCGAAAATCCGATTCCAACACGGGGTATACAGAATTTCATCTGGGGTGAGTGCAAAAATACATCTCCGGATCCGGAAAAGCATGCCAAAATCCGATTCCTACGGACTGTCTACAGATGTCTCAAGTTTAAAATGAACTTCCTTATCGAGGCTTTGCAACTCTGTGCCGACACCGAGTGGCAAGGTGATCATGAGATCATTTCACTCCTGCAGGAAAATGCGATACTAAAGCTTTTTAGTGTAAACTGTCCTGGTGGGATTATAAATATATATCTGATAGAAAACAGTGGACAGCTCTTGTGGTACTTTTGATAATCACAAATGACGTAAATTTATATATGGTACGATGAATATGGTATGTAATGAAGTAGGCTATATTGAGGTACATTGAACCATAAATAGTACATTACCTATACGGGCCGGGATTTTCTCACAGTTTTCTGTTTGACGTTTTAGACGCGTGAATATGGATAGTGGAGAAATTTATAAATGAATTGTGATGAATAACCTTACACGGCATACAGAGACTTATCTTACACAAACAGCAGTAACATTCCAAGTAACGTTGAGATATCTAACTGTGTAACCGAATTATATATATAAATATATACATTTATACATAAAATGAGTTATCGTTGCATATACTTCTCACGGGTTTCAGTGAGAATGAATGAATAAAATTTTCCCTCTGACAAAAAATGATATATATACCCTAGTCCCTAATTTAATGACATGTATATATCAATTTCTTTTTGTACTCTGTTTGACAATATTGATTAATTTATATGTATATTTAGAGTCATGCATAATTTTCAAATTCAAAGTTCTTACTAGTGTTAGATTGAAACAGCAGGTGCTGTAGATTTAGTAAACGCCATTGTAGGATACGTGTAAGTTAAAATAAACTTAACATCCTGGTCAGGAATGTCTTACACTTCTAATATTCTCTTGACATTTTCTCCCAATTCGCGCATCGGCGCTTTTTCTTCATCCAATACGAGCTTCAAATATTCAAGATATTTGGATGATGACTTAAAAAAGTCCTTATACTGTTGCAATGAAAATTCCAAGTCCATCTCGAGACCTTCTATTCTCTCTTTTGTAGACATTTGCAGTCTTTCGAATATACTATCGTAATTTTCAAACGGATGAAAACAACAATCCGGAAATTCCATGTCACGTAAAAATTGTTTTTCAGCCTCTATGAGGTTGATTTGTTTGCTTTTCGGTTCGTTTATTTTTCTGACGAAAGATGGACAATAGCCGTATATCACGCAACATCCGTTCGGTTTTAAGACTCGATGACATTCAGTTTCAAATGTTGCCAGATCAAGCCAATGTATTGCCATCGCACACGTAACAAGATCTACACTTTCATCTTCAACAGGAAAGAAATTGTCACCCACAAGACGAAATTCCACATTTTTGTTAGGGTTGTGCTCGCTTGCATGTTTTATCTGAGAATCACTAACATCAATTCCTAATATCGATTCAAAGTAAGGTGCAAACATGTGAGTACTTTGTCCTGCTCCACAGCCAACATCAAGCATTTTCATCAGTCTTCCTTTCTCGGAGTTACAGTTCTTCTGTTTGTGGATATATTTCATGATTACTTCCGATATAAAACTGGGATACGATGGCCTATGTTGAACATAGAATTTCGTTATCTCATCGCCGTTGAAGAAATGTGAGTAAGCCATCCTAAATCCGTTCGATAAATTAATAAATACAGAAGCAAAAATCTAATCAAATATGATATATATATTAATAGTCGATGGCTAGTTCTGAGTACCCTCCTTATTCTTAAATTGACGGTTTTATAGCATCAATCACTTTGGCATGACACTTAGGCCATCGTCCCTACGCTCGTAATGTACGAAGAAGGGTGCCTGCTTATACGCATAACCAAATAATTAGATAGGCATGACGGAAGCACGTATTTTTTCAGTATAAAGTTTTGTCATCGCTTCCGTTAGTAAATGATCGATTGCATTAAACAAATGTCTTCATGCTGAAAGGTATTTCTCCAAAGCACCGCACAACAAAATAAATAACTGACCACAGAACAACACGTTCGCTAGAGTCACTCCAGTGCACGCGACATTCCCTGGTTATTCGTTGGTCTAATGGTTCATTTATTGCACGGTTATTTCCAGTAATAATTGATATAAGTTGGCTAATTTGCAGAATTCATATTGTATTTACCATTAATATCAGTAATTTTGAAAATCTCCTCCCCAATCTGTCGAATTAGATGTTTGAACCTTGGATGTCGCTGCTCGAAAACCAGTTTTGGTTCCCCGCGGCTCCCCTTCCCCAGGAATGTAAATATCATTGTTTCCTTATATTTTTTGCATGATTTTTGCCTTTTACTGGTTGGAAAAAATAAACTTGATTTGACCACTTAAAAAACGTTGCTGCCGATGATTCCTATGTAATTTATTGAACACGGCGTGGACCTATGGATCATTTTGTTATTATTGGACACGAAATAGACATACCACTATGGATCGTATATTTTTAAAGGTCAGCCTCGTCAATAACAAATAGCAATTATTTTACATTGCGAGTAACTTTGGTCTACCAACAAGTTTAACAAGCTTCAGCATCAATTAGCAAAGATCAAATATAATAACAATATGTCAATGCTAAAATATATGGACATCAACGTCAAATGATTACTATAATGTCAGCAAAACTCAATTAAAATATATATAAGGAAAAATTGCAACGAATGTTATATGAAGGTCCGCCCCAAATATTAAACAATCATGGGCCAGTGATTATAATAACCGGCAACGTTTGGAGTGAAAAATTGGACTTCATAAAACTCAATGAGAACAAAAAAACGAGAGACGTTCAACGACTTTTTCCATCTTCAAGTAACGAGGAAAAGGACGAGTTTTTCACATTAAAGAACAACAACAACTTTGTATACAATGGGAAAGCTTTTGTACAATTACTGTGTTAGTAATTATTTGCTTTGGCATAAATGTTCTAAAACAAATCGCCTATTCTTGTCGGGTTCTGAATCTATAGCTATTGATATCATTGTGCCAATTTGTAGTTCGAGCACCCTTGAAATATTATTTACATCTCATAACACGAGATCTGAACAAGGCCCAACCGCTATCCTGTGAAACAGCAGGTGCTGTAGATTCAGTAAACGCCATTGTCGGATAGGTGTATGTTAAAATGAACTTAATATCCCGGTCAGGAATGTCTTCCATTTCTAATATTCTTTTAACGCTATTTCCCAATTCGCACATCGGCGCTTTCTCCTCATCAAGCGCTAGCTTCAAATATTCGAGATATTTGGATGATGTCTTGAAAAGGTCTTTATACTGCTTCAATGAAAATTCCAAGTCAACTTTTATCCTCTCTTTGGTGTCAGTTTTCAGCCTATCGAATATGCTATCGTAATTTTCAAATGAATGAAAAGAAGCATTCGAAGATTTGATTGTTCGTAAGAATTGTTTTTCAGCCTCTATGATACTGACTCGTTTGCTTTACGGTTCGTTTATTTTTCTGATAAAAGATGGACAGTAGCCGTATATTACGCAACATCCTCTTGGTTTTAAGACTCGATAACATTCAGTTTCAAATGTTGTCAGATCAAGCCAGTGTATTGCCATAGCACATGTAACAAGATCTACACTTTCATCTTCAACAGGAAAGAAATTGTCACGTACAAGACGAAATTCCACATTTTTGTTAGGGTTGTGCTCCTTTGCATGTTTTATCTGAGAATCACTTACATCAATTCCTAATATAGATTCAAAGTAAGATGCAAACATGTGGGTACTTTGTCCGGCTCCACAGCCAACATCAAGCATTTTCTTCAGCCTCCCGTTCTCGGAGTTACTGTCCTTCTGTTTGTGGATATATTTCATAATTACTTCCGATATAAAACTGGGATACGATGGTCTATGTTGAACATAGAATTTCGTTATATCCTCGCCATTGAATAAATGTGAGTAAGCCATCCTAAATTCGTTCGATAAATGAATGAATACAGAATCGATAATCTAATCCAGTGTTTCCCAACCCGAGTCCGCGGTCTCAAATGAGTCCGCAGAGCGTTTGAATGAGTCCGCAACGAGCCAGAAATTCACTGCGGGCCGCAAACGTTTTTGCGAAACTTAATTAACTATCAGCCAATTTTCGATTTACGTTAGAATTTACATAAAACATAAAAAGCCAGTTTATTCACATAACATTAATCAAGTCAATAATTACCGGTTACTGAGTAGGGCTGGGCATATAATCGCATATTCAACTATTAGAATAGCAATTTACTATACGAAAATTTGGTAACAAGGGCGCGACAGGTCACTTGCGAGTCGTTTTATCAACAGATTGGATTTCACAACTCTCTTGCGGATCTTCGACGAAAACAAGAGTCTGTAAACGCTTCGATAAATACGTATATAATGGGTGTTTCTCGCGAGTTCGAACAAGGAGGAATAATTTTTTTTTTTTGGTAGGTGTAAATGGTGGCAACGCAAATGTTCTAAATTGAAAAGCGGTCCGCGACCGATTGAAGACGCTTTTTTAGACATTTCAAATCGCAAAATTTAATTAAAAAACTATTCGGGCACTTTACCACGCATTTTGGTGTCCACGGATTGTCATGGTATTTTCTGAGCAGTACTGCTCTTATTTAGTCAACACAACCGCAGATTCAAAGGATCACACATATGGATTGAGTATTTTATGCAACAGAAAAAATCATTGATAAGTCGGCTCTTTTAACGAGTGACGTATACGCGACGATTACTTCAGAAGTTGTTCGCGAGAATTTTAAGGCGATGAATATGTATTTTTGGTTTACTAATGTACTTCAAATATATTTTTTATAAATACTAAATTATGTTGTACATTCTGGAAATTTATAGCAGATAGTAGGATTTTTTCTAACGGCGATAACAAATTCGCAAGATCGCAAAAAATATGTATATATCAAAGCCGAATATAATCGCGCAATATATTCTCTCATTATTATGTTCGAAGATGGCCGTGGAATTTTAAAGAAGAGATGCTTTCATCTGGTCGTAAGTCGACGCAAGTCACGCAACCGCGAGTTACCATGAACACAATTAAATTAAAATAGAAAAGACATTTTAAATTCTCGTCGTTGTCATGGATTGAATATTTTGCGACAGAAAAGTCCATTATACACCATAAAAAGTCAGCTCTTTTAACAAACGCGTAATTGAGGCGAGTTTCCGATTTTGAAATTCGTTGAATTTCTGTTGTGTTTGGCTTTATTGCTTCTTCACAATAAACGCACCTTGAGTCCGCGAAGGTTTTCGCCGGTGAGAAAATAGTCCGCGACCAAAAAAGGTAGGGAAACGCTGAATTCTAATCACATCAAATATTATATATTAATAGTCGATGGCTAGTTCTGAGTACCCTCCTCATTCTTAAATTGGCAGTTTCATAGCATCAATCACTTTGGCATGACACTTGGGCCATCGTCCCTACGCTCGTAATGTACGAAGAAGGGTGCCTGCTTATACGCATATCGTTAACCAAATAACTTAGATAAGCATAGGAAGCATGTTTTTTTTTCAGTATAAAGTTTTGTCATCGCTTCCTTTAGTAAATGATCCACTGCATTAAACAAATGTCTTCATGCTGAAAGGTATTTTTCCAAAGCACCACACAACAAAATAAATAACTGACCACAGAACAACACACTCGCTAGAGTTACTCCAGTGCATACGGGGATTCCATGGGTATTCGCTGGTCTCATGGTTCATGCATGGTAATTTCTAGTAATAATTGATAGTAGTTGGCTAATTTGCAGAATTCATATTGTATTTACCATTAATATCAGTAATTTTGAAAATCGCTTCCCTAATCTGTCGAATTAGATGTTAGAACCTTGGGTGTCGCTGCTCGAAAACCAGTTTTGGATCCCCGCGGCTCCCCTTCCCAGTAATGTAAATTTCATTGTTTCCTTATATTTTTTGCATGATTTTTGTCTTTTACTGGCTGGAAAAAAGAAACTTGATTTGACCTCTTAATTAAAAAACGTTGCTGCCGATGATTCTTGTGTAATTTATTGAACACGGAGTGGACCTATGGATCATTTTGTTATTATTGGACACGAAATAGAACTATCACTATGGATCGTATATTTTTTAAAGGTCAGCCTCGCCAATAACAAATGACAATTATTTTACATTGCGAGTAACTTTGGTCTACCAACAAGTTTAACAAGCTTCAGCATCAATTAGCAAAGATCAAATATAATAACAATATGTCAATGCTAAAATATATGGACATCAACGTCAAATGATTACTATAATGTCAGCAAAACTCAATTAAAATATATATAAGGAAAAATTGCAACGAATGTTATATGAAGGTCCGCCCCAAATATTAAACAATCATGGGCCAGTGATTATAATAACCGGCAACGTTTGGAGTGAAAAATTGGACTTCATAAAACTCAATGAGAACAAAAAAACGAGAGACGTTCAACGACTTTTTCCATCTTCAAGTAACGAGGAAAAAGACGAGTTTTTCACATTAAAGAACAACAACAACTTTGTATACAATGGGAAAGCTTTTGTACAATTACTGTGTTAGTAATTATTTGCTTTGGCATAAATGTTCTAAAACAAATCGCCTAGTCTTGTCGGGTTCTGAATCTATAGCTATTGATATCATTGTGCCAATTTGTAGTTCGAGCACCCTTGAAATATTATTTACATCTCATAACACGAGATCTGAACAAGGCCTAACCGCTATCCTGTGAAACAGCAGGTGCTGTAGATTTAGTAAACGCCATTGTCGGATAGGTGTATGTTAAAATGAACTTAATATCCTGGTCAGGAATGTCTTCCATTTCTAATATTCTTTTAACGCTATTTCCCAATTCGCACATCGGCGCTTTCTCCTCATCAAGCGCTAGCTTCAAATATTCGAGATATTTGGATGATGTCTTGAAAAGGTCTTTATACTGCTTCAATGAAAATTCCAAGTCAACTCCAAGGCCTTTTATCCTCTCTTTGGTGTCAGTTTCCAGCCTATCGAATATGCTATCGTAATTTTCAAATGAATGAAAAGAAGCATTCGAAGATTTGATTGTTCGTAAGAATTGTTTTTCAGCCTCTATGATACTGACTCGTTTGCTTTGCGGTTCGTTAATTTTTCTGATAAAAGATGGACAGTAGCCGTATATTACGCAACATCCTCTTGGTTTTAAGACTCGATAACATTCAGTTTCAAATGTTGTCAGATCAAGCCAGTGTATTGCCATAGCACATGTAACAAGATCTACACTTTCATCTTCAACAGGAAAGAAATTGTCACGTACAAGACGAAATTCCACATTTTTGTTAGGGTTGTGCTCCTTTGCATGTTTTATCTGAGAATCACTTACATCAATTCCTAATATAGATTCAAAGTAAGATGCAAACATGTGGGTACTTTGTCCGGCTCCACAGCCAACATCAAGCATTTTCTTCAGCCTCCCGTTCTCGGAGTTATTGTCCTTCTGTTTGTGGATATATTTCATAATTACTTCCGATATAAAACTGGGATACGATGGCCTATGTTGAACATAGAATTTCGTTATATCCTCGCCATTGAATAAATGTGAGTAAGCCATCCTAAATCCGTTCGATAAATGAATAAATACAGAATCAATAATCTAATCACATCAAATATAATATATTAATAGTCGGTGACTAGTTCTGAGTAGCCTCTTCATTCTTAAATTATCAGTTTTATAGCATCAATCACTTTGGCATGACACTTAGGCCATCGTCCCTACGCTCGTAATGTACGAAGAAGGGTGCCTGCTTATACGCATATCGTTAACCAAATAACTTAGATAGGCATAACGGAAGCACGTATTTTTTCAGTATATATAAAGTTTTGTCATCGAATCCGTTAGTAAATGATCTACTGCATTAAACAAATGTGTTTTCCATCTCCAAGTAACGAGGAGAAAGACGAGTCTTTCACATTAAAGAACAACAACAACTTTGTATACAATGGGAAAGCTTTTGTACAATTACTGTGTTAGTAATTATTTGCTTTGGCATAAATGTTCTAAAACAAATCGCCTATTCTTGTCGGGTTCTAAATCTATTGATATCATTGTGCCAATTTGTAGTTCGAGCACCCTTGAATTATTATATACATCTAATACAGTGTTTCCCAACCCGAGTCCGCGGAGCGTTTGAATGAGTCCGCAACGTACCAGAAATTCACCGCGGGCCGCAAACGTTTTAATTATCAGCCAGGTTACGATTTACGTTAGAATTTACATAAAACATAAAGAGCAAGTTTATTCACAATAATTACTGGTTACTGAGTAGGGCTGGGCATATATTCGAATATTCAACTATTAGAATAGCAATTTACTATTCGAAAATTTGGTAACAGGTGACGCGACAGGTCACTTGCGCGTCGCTTAAAAATCAAACGATGAGATTTCACAACTCACTTGCAGATTTCCGACGAAAACACGAGTCTGCACACGCGTTTTTCTAGTAGATGTCAATGGTGGCATCCCAAATTTTCTAAATTGAAAAGCGGCAATATAAAATACTAAAAATAAAACGGAGAACACCATAAGTTCTGTTTTATGATGGTCCGCGAGCGATCAAAAACGCTTTTTTAGACATTGCAAATCGTAAAATTTCGGGTGCTACCGCAGTATGCGTACCAAGACATTTCCCCTAGGATTCTTTGCTTTACTGATTCCACATTGGTACGAACAGTAGTGCCGTAGGTGTTGTACGAACAGCTCAGATTTGTCGAATTCACAAAAATACGAATCAAAACAAAATATAATCGGACACTTGTCCACTGATTGTCATGATATTTTCTGAGTAGTATTGCTTTTATTTCGTCAACACAACCGCAGATTAAAAATGATCACAATTAAATTAATAATAAAGCAAGGCGATGGATATGTATTTTTGATTTACTAATACAGTATACTTTAAAAATATATTTTTATAAGTACTAAGTCAAGTTGTACTTTCTGAAAATTTATAGCAGATGGTAGGATTTTTGTAACGGCGATAACAAATTCGCAAGATCGCAAAAAATATGTATCAAAACTAAATATAATCGGGCAATATATTCACACATTATTATGTTCGCAGATTGCCGTAGCATTTTAAAGAAGTAATACTTTTATCTTGTCATAAGTCGACGCAACCGCGAATTAAATTGAAATGGAAAGACATTTTAAATTATCGTCCTTGTCATGGATTCAATATTGTGCGACAGAAAGGCCATTGTTGAAATTCGTTAAAATTCTGTTGTGTTTGGTTTTATTGCTTCTTTACACAAAGTACGATTGAAATAAACGCAACTTGAGTCGGCAAAGATTTTCGCCGGTGAGAAAATAGTCCGCGACCAAAAAAGGTTGGGAAACGCTGAATTCTAATAACACGAGATCTGAATATCCGTTATCCTGTGAAACAGCAGGTTCTGTAGATTTAGTAAACGTCATTGTCGGATAGGTGTATGTTAAAATGAACTTAATATCCTGGTCAGGAATGTCTTCCATTTCTAACATTCTTTTAACGCTTTTTCCCAATTCGCGCATCGGCGCTCTCTCCTCATCCAGCCCAAGCTTCAAATATTCAGAATATTTGTATGTTGTCTTGAAAAGGTCTTTGTATTTTAACAATGAATATTCCAAGTTCATCTCGAGGTTTTCAATTCTCTCTTTGGTGACAGTTTTTAGTTTATCGAACAAAAAAAAAAATTGTGAAATCCGGGAACACATAGCCCGACGAGCGAAATATTTTGTTTAGAGCCGAGCTCTGCCCACTTGGTATGTCAGAGCTGCACTAACATCTTTGACTTTTTGAGCATTTCCCGTAGGTGAAGTTTTCGTTTAATAACTAAAGAAGACATTACCGTTGCTCTCTTTGAGTACCCAGCATGATTTTATTGCAGTGTTAGCGTACGCCTGATTGTACTACTCTATTATCAGACCTCAATTAACAACCAGACGTGGCCCGTCTTTTTGTTGAACAGTTGTTCCTTGGGTTAAAACGAAATTGAACACGTCAAATCAGCAACAATCAATGTATTTTTAACTTTTATAAATTGCATTCGCTATACCGCGCTCTTGACACAGCTGTCACCAGGCGAAAAGTATTACGAAAGACGCGATGTGGTGACACTAGAAACGTGAGTAATCCCGATGAGTTGGCAGGCGGTGTTTTCGTTAAACTTTCGCTGTCGAATTCTTCTAGATTGCGGAAATGTAATGGCACGTTTGAATAAACGTCTTGTCAGCATTGAAAATTTTACAATTCATATGACCCACTTGGCTCGATATTTGTCAATAAGGTTAACTGACTTTACTTTTCGTACCTCGCTTATCTCAGTAGTATACCGGTATCGGTACCCTGTTTTAGAGGCGCAGTTCTTACCACTTCATGGCAGCTCCTGCCACGAACGAACCGCGGCAGCTCTTGCCATGGTTTTATAGCGCTATTCTGTATTCAGTAATCAGTATTAACGGTATATTCACAAACTAATGTACCAAATTCTAATTGATCATGCGGAATTATATCTACTTAAACCCTAACCCTAACCCCAAATCCATCAAGACTGTATCCATAAGCAAAACGTTCCAACTTACCCAATATTTGTCACCCTAAGGGACAGCCCTGTCCTTACGGCCCACCTGCCGCGGTTACGGCAGCAAAATTTTACCTGCCATTGGTTTTCAATTTGCTGCCGCGGTAACGGCAGCTCGACATTGGTTTGTGGCAGCTAAAAAGTCAGTCGCCATAGGTTTGGCCGTAGCGGCCATGGTATGGAAATACCGCCATGGTTTTGCGGCAGCTGCAGACGCCATAGAATACTTAAAACTGCACTTGCTGTTTTAAGTTAAAACAGTACTGAAAAACTATTTCGTCGTCGACTCCCGCTGTCATGTAAACTTTAATCCGTCTAACAGGGCGTTTATTCTCACGTATCGCCCTCATTTATGTCATTCCATTATAAAGTGATAAATACTCTTTTGACGGTGCGTGGTGCAGTTGCTTGCTTCGCAGTTTGTCTTCCGCACTCTGTGCTTCTGTGTTTTGCATTCGCCAAGAAAATACTTTCGATTCAATGAGGCGAGATTGTCATGTCACTGCATATCTATACTTCTAGGCCAAAGTGAAGTTCTTGTTTATTTTTGTATTATTTAGGCATGACGTATGCGTGCCATTACACGTTTTTCTGTTTTTGCGTTTTTACACTCGCAAAATAGCCTAATTCAGAGTCGTGATGTTGAGATGAAGGTATCAGTATATGCCATATGCCTGTATGCTGTTGTACGAAACGGAAAATAAAAACACACGAAAAAACAAAATGATTTTGCCACAGAAAAGACAGATTACGGGTACAGCATTCCAGTAGTCAGATATTACTACAGACTGCTGGACTGACAGACAGACAGACAATTTTGCAAGTAGTCTACTATATTCTGATATTACACGAGATACTGTTTGACTGAATTACAGAATTATGGCTGTATCATTAAAAGATATCAGTATTTATTATTTTTTTTGATTCTGATAAATGTCACAATAGCCAGCTGTGTGTTATGCTGAGGTCAAGTTAGATTAGTGTCTGTTGGTACAAAGGTCAGAAATTAGGTCCAGTATTGAATATTCAGATATTATCTGAGCTGCGCAGCCTTTTGGTAAATGTTATTGAGAGGTATTCCTGTAATAAGTAAGCTATGCAGTATCTTTTTCAACATAAGAACTTTCTCAGTGTTATGAGTCGAGAACTATTTCATTTAGATTTCTCAAGTCAGTTCAGCGCTTAAGGAGTCTTTGGTTGAATGGCAACCCCAGTTCTACTCAAGTCGAGTCGATCCCCGGCAAGCCCCTGAACACTATAATCTTCATCCAAGTTTTGTGTCCTGATAAAGCCGAGTATTACCAGGAAAAAACAACCCTTGCAACCAAGCTTCATGAAATTGATATTTATCAAAAAGAAATATGCTCTGCAGTAATTCCCATACTGTATATATATTACAATGTTTGCTTATTACTATATCACTAACATAATAACATTTTTCTACTTTCAGCCTATTTTTAGTCTTATACAGTACTGAATAAATCTCTGATCTGAAATTAACATATGTAAAAAGTGAACCTAAAATTTTGGGTTTCAAAGCCTATTGTGTTGGTTTTGTGATAGTTTTTGAATCGCGTGCTGTAGCTTCTATATCTGGATCAGGAGTATTTCCAAATAGTAATCCAAAGACATGGAGCTGAATATGATAAGTGTGGTCATATTTGCTGAACATTTGAGGTGTGAATTATTTCTATTTTGATATATTATACTGTGTTTGACAGTTTAGAAGTGAATTTTACCTTGTCAAATTATATATGCTTAATTCAATAATGAGTTTTGAGATGGAGACAGTTGTTCTACAATGAATATGAAACCTTGCTTTAATTTGATTTATGCTAATAACGTGAAATTCATTTTCAAATTATATCACATCATTTCTATGATTTTGTATTGGAGTGTTAAGAAATTAACATTTTCCAGGAATCGGTTACTTTCTGCGAAACCCCCTCTTATTAAAAGTCGACGGCAATTGTTTCGAAGTTATCCAAATACTTTTGTTGGAAGTGAAGTTGTCGAGTGGTGGACGAAAGAATGGAGGTCTGAAAATGAAGAAAAATCAGGTGTGAATACTATTGCCATAACATAATAGGTTCTTATCTTTAAATCTGACAAAATCTTGTTTAGCTTGAGACTGAAGCTTGAATGTTGTTTCCTGGTAGAATTTTTCTAAACCTTGTTGTGCTGGAAGGAGAAACATTCCAACAAACTTGATTGTCTCAATGGAACAAATACGTAATTTGATATCGGTAACGTGCTCGTTACTATAGTATTTCTTGTCTCTTAGAAAAAAACAATAACGAAGCGACGACGTCAGAAGACGCTTTTAATAATAAAGAAGAAACAATAGATATTACAGAAGAACACATTACTCAAGTCATGCAGACATTAGCTGATTTTGGAATTTTGCACAGTTGTAAGCATTACGATTATATTATTTATGCATGGAAGAAATTTTAAATGTTTCCCTTATTTGGAAATATAAAGATGCAGAATTAAAACTGGATATTTTTTTATAATATGATCATCATTTATGGTTTCAGCTGTGACATTGAAAATATTGGATCTTTTCTAAATGTTCTTTTACATAGCTAAATGTGCTCAGTTTCAATTATTATGCAATAGATTCTCTCAATTATTTTTTTGAAAAAATATATTAATGGTTAAAAATGTTACCGATCTAAATATATGCCTAAATTTTGACATTTTTATCTAGGGTAAATACAAAGTGTTTTTTTGGTTCAATATTTATTGGTTTTCACAGTGCATGGAGAAATTCCATTCAAAAATGACAGTTCTTTGTATCGATTTACCACTGACGATGGGTCGAGTTGTGGTCTGGTTGAAGCTTTAGTTAAAGGAAAACGGTTACACGAAACGTAAGTGAAACATTCCCTTTTCATGAAACAAATTATTTGTCTAATTTCAGAATCGAAGGATTTTTCTTCGAAACTTGCCACTTTAGAATGCTACTGACATATATTAAATATACTTTAAATAAATAGAATGTAAGAGGCTCTATATTTTGGATATACATATAAATTAAGGTTCCATCAGTTTGAATTGAAGTCTTTATTTCGCTGTCAATTTGCACTCAATTCTGGAATTTTAGAACAACATGTCCAAACTGTGCTCTGCTCCAACGTGTGTGCGAGTATGGTGAATTTATTTCTGACCAATGCATGAGAGGATCGGACTTGATTGCTTGGACAATAGAACATGGACTTGCAACACATAAAGACGACGCTAATCGTTTATGCAGACTTATGTTTGATCATGGAATAATTAAACCAGGTAAATTACCTTTGACTTCTGACATTTCATTTTTTGATTTGAAACAAAACTTTTTTTATAGTCTTACGCATAAAGACCGTTTCTATTTTTTTATTTTATCTCGGTGGTCTTGGGTTTGCTTTTATCTTCTGTAGCGCAATAAATGGATTTTGTTTGTATCAAACACTTGTTAACTAAGCTAAGCACTCTTAAACGGCTTGTCATATATGTCTATATTGTTTATAATGGTGATATGAAATAACACATGCTTTTGTAATTACTGGTAGTACCAAATGTGTTTGACCTCGTTCAGGTGTTATGGCATTGCTTAAGGCAAAATAGTTTATTTTCTAAATTCGTTGTTCAAAATATTATTGCATAACATGTGAAAGTGTTTTTCTCGCTCACACTTAAAGCTCTTAAGTATAATTTATAATATAATGGGGATTTTTATTATGTTGTTTATGGATGTTGAATAACCCAATTATATGGATCATATTCATGTTTCTTTTTTAAATTTTGACAATAGTTCAGTGATTGTTTACCACCTGAATTATATAAAATAAATCTCTTCTGATTGCTGGCACAATGTGCCACCGATCAGTGCCTGGCGTTTGCCGTGATTTATTTTTAAGTAAATATACATAGCGGAAGATTATGGCGACTTTACTCAAATCAAATATTTGAATTTTTATGAGATGTGATGCAACTATGTGTCCATTGTGTTTGGTAGTTATGTGGTTATGTTGTAAATTATACAATGTGTTATCTGCACGCTTACATTGCATGGATGTTATCTATGATGTGTGAGCATGGCAGGCACTATGGTGACTGTTGAACTATATCGTGTTTGATTGATGTTTTGAGATTTTTACAAAAATTCGCAATGCAACCCTATATCATCATATAATATAAAAATATCCATGAACTCGGAAAATACAAAAATGGTGGACATTCATACGAATCTAGTTTTCTAGCATATTTTATTTCATTTTCATTTAACAATTCACTATGAGCACAATTTTTTCAAGCCAGGAATGTAATATTGCTTTTATTATTATAATAAAAAGAAAATAGTAAACCTAAATGTTATTTTTTCTCTAATTTACCCTATTTCTTAAGTGAAATACCAAACCATTATACATTACATCTTGATATTGGAATCACGAAAATAAGCTAATTTCACTGAAACAATATTAATAATAAAATTCAATCTATATTTTCATACTAAACTCTGTTATTTATAGCAATTTCATTGATTTCCTGTTTTAGTTTATGTCATGCCATGCATGTTACGGAAGTAACTCCAACCTGCGAACACTAATACTAAAATTACATTAATAAAAGTTTATTTATGGAATGTCTTCCTTGTGGGAGGGAATGAGGGATATTATTAAGCATAAATTCTATAAGACCAAAGGGTATGGGTAGAAGGAGATTTTCTGGTTCAAAGTTCTCACTAAGCCTGTCTTTCCTATGTTATGGTCTGTACAACACAGCCCCAATTATTTCGTCCTACAATCAAAAAAATGTTATCATTCCTTTATATTATCATAATCCAAATTGTAGATGTGCGTGCCATGGAAGGTATGAATTATTTCTAAAAAATTTTCTTCAAATTCAGTTTTCCATCTTTTCTTTACAAAACGTCTATATGGCTAATGTACTATGAATGGAAGTTATATAACAAAATCCAATGACGCATGTCAGATCCTATTTTATATGTTTTACTGCATATAAATAGTAATATCTTAATTATTAATCGATGGGGCGTTTCATGGGAGGGTTCATTTTGATGTTCTAAAGCATTTTTTCAGTTTTTTCCAATAATGAATTATATGAGTAATGATGAATACGTTTCGATATTTGATAACACTGGGAAAAGAATTGTGTCCACTGATTTTCCCTACTCCGCCATTACTGAGTTTCTCTTATTACAAAGCTTCGGGGGATAGAATTGGTAATATGCAGCTGAGTGGTGAATTTCCCTATAAGACTTCACCATTTTCTCCAATACTGAATTTTAGCCATGTTAGTTATTGAGAATCGCTATCCGTTTTATTTAATAACATTATACTACACGCAAGTTGTTGACGTGTTGCGTGGCTATTTTGCGTGATAACGCATGCTCAATTATGGTAATGTAACATAGTACGTAACACTGTTGTCTGCGTCACGCAGTCGTGTCGTCTGCTACTTATACAAGTGAGACATTTATAATTTTGCATGACTATGATGTGATTGTAACGAACGATTGACCCCGATGTGAGTTCGTGTATTTTGCTGCCGTGGCCGCTTTTGTTGTCATTATACTGCCACGTCCAAAATTTGATTATTATGGTTCCTCATAAAATGAAGAAGAGCGATGGGTCTTGGATAAAATATAAATTTTTTTAACTGATTAGATAGCCTGATATATCTGGGCTTGGCTGAACATGGCGTTAAACGGTGTATGACTAATCGGCCATTTGCAAGTTGACGTCATATGTCGTTCTCAAGAATATTAGCGTAACGTCTGGTCGAGTGAAAGGTGTGATTTATACCGTATTTCACAGATAGATATGACGACCAAGACAGCTCTGTCTATGCTCATTTGCTGATTTGGGTTTCAATCAAGTTTCTTTTGGTCTATATTTAGATTTCTTTACACGCGAAGTCTTGCGATTGTATTTTTTCATATCAATCAATAGCATGTCTCGTTTCCGCTTCCTACTAAAATCGGGTCAAAGTTTAATATCGTTAATAAGTATGAATTGCCATGTCATGCATGATTCAATACCACACATAATTCTTATCCCATAGTCGGCGAAAGAATACGTAACCTCAAAAATTTTTTCCATTCTTTAAAACAAGACTGTTTTGTACTGTATATATAAGAGGATTAGGTTATAGAATAATTGTGAAAAGCTCAATTTTAAAGTGCTTGAACTGTGGATCAGTCATAAACACAATCAGGTTGGCACCACTTGGCACTAAAAAGTTCATCAGCTTAAATTTCGACGTTTTGCTGCAACGCAAACGAAAGATCATAAATTGGCGTGGTTAATTTTACATAATTGTACATAATAAAGAGATGCAACTACTCATTATAAATCAGTATTAATCATTATAAGAATATTAAGCCAACAAATTTGTTTTTTTTTAATTCCACTTGATAGACGAGACAAAAGTGGATGACTTGGTCAACCAATTTGTTACTTATTACCACAGAAAATGTTTGTGAGAATAACATAGTACTTGTAATTCTGTTTTACTTGTTTTTCACGGATTACTAATTTAACTTCGGACACTTTAATAATAATTGTTTAAAATTTGTTTTGACGGCGTTGGACTACTCGCTCGTAATGCACCTCTAAGTGCCTTATTAAGATTGCAAATATAATCCCAAAAGACTAATATTTATGTTTACAGTGTGTCTAATATTTTATGGTCCTAATGATATTCCAGAGGTATTAAAATTTTTTGATTTTATCAACGTGCCCTTAAATTTGTCGAAAGATAGTGATTCCAATTTTGGAAAACGTGCTTGTCTGTAGCCTTTTTCAAAGCAAAAATTTGCACACCTAAAAATAAATAGCATGAATTTAAATGAAATATTTTTTTATGTCGGATTTGGTGTTTTTGTAACTTAGCCTTGTGTTTCCAATTCAAAAAAGATGTTTATTTATAGCGACGCTCGACTGTGTACCGATCGGTGTGGTGAATGTATTTTAGTATTACAATGGTCTGTGCTTCATTTGCGAAATTTGTTTTGACGGCAATCTGTCCCGTGTCATATTCCAGTTTCAGACCTCAATGACCTAACCTTAATCTGTTATTATAACAGACATTTCCTTAACTATAGAGTATCTATGATTCTATGGGAATGGATACACAAATCAAATCGAGTTTCGATAAAGATTGTGTGTGTTGTATTGTGAAATACACTTTGATCATTACATACAACAAAAACAAAGTGTGAAATGGGATTTGGAAATGATTTTGTTGTTTTTTACTGAGTGCCTCGTCTCTAACAAAATTGTTGAGGTCATTTTCATTTGAGCGTTTAAATGGCGCCCAACAAACGTAGCACATAGCGTTCTTTCTATATCGCTCATTATCCTTTGAAGTTGCTCATTTTCGTTAATTGTGAAATACTATGTCATCTGGTCTTAAATCAATCGAAGAAACCATTTTTCTACTTCATACTTTATTTTATTTTATACTTCATTTGGCACTGGCCAGGTAATGGTTAACTACCTACCACCGCGATCTATGCGTTCCCATTGCCTGTAACTCCATATTTACTTGTGGTGAACATTACAGCGTTTAAGTGATGTTGTTACTCATAATTGCAAACACAATTAATAACACTAAAACAAACGAGGCGGTTGAACCAAGGTGAAAATGCCTCCATTTTTCCCCATCGATATGTCACGTCGCCAAGAAGATTACTCTTTTTATTAGGATATCAGACTATATTTGCGAATCAATAAATCGACCACGCCCTCGAAACGCCTCCATTTTTGTCGACAATGCCGCCTTCCCGTCGTCCTTATTTAGGCGCGAAATGGGGTTATCAAAATTAGCTTGTACGCTTTCAAGTGTTGCGCGTCTAAAAGCGTTGTCGATTATGATTGAAATGCCATCTCGATAGTACATATATCGATTGGTGTACCGTTTTGTAATGAAAAAGAACCCCAAATGGTGAGATGCATTTCAGTCATTATGATTTGTACAACGGCTTTCCCAAATCGAATTCCAAATATTTGTTACATCTTGTTCGTCATTGCAATAAATTTTAGATGCATGCTATTTTAGAAATCTCTTTATGATATACTTTTTTAATTAGGATTCGTTTCTATTTTATCACTATTCCGTTCAACTATTTCTACACGGACATATTCCCCGCAGTCAATTATTATAAATGATGTCATATTTATGCCCTTTCTCCTTAAGTTTATATATCACTCACTTACTAACGTTCATCATTATCTTGTATAAATTTACAATTTGAATAATATTGATTAATAGCTTGTGCTGTCGTACCGGCTCACGGGTACGTTAATCTATTTTCACTGGTGTAAAGATTAGGTACGGCCAGCTACCAATACCAGCTTGTAGCGAGGGCTTATGCAAATCATTCAACCTAGTTAAGGTCACTTGGCGATTTCAGGTCATGTTATCATCATTTATTTTTTATATTATATCTCACGACTTGTATATGCGTGAATAGTGTAATTTCGTGTCGTAGTCTTAAAGTCTTTTGATATTTTTAACGGCTAAATCATGGGTTATAATGTAGCACTCCGGATGCGCAAAAATCGAAAAGTATGGTGCAAAAAAAACTGTAATTTAGGTTATCCACACGTGAATATATGTGATCTTGATACTACCACTCTCAAAGGAAAGTAGCCTTCCGAATGATGCGCCGAGTCATATCCTGTTGTTTTTTTTCAACATGTTTGGCTATCACCAAAGTGAATAGTCACTTTGGATATCACTATCTAATGATCGAAGGGAAGCATACTTTTAACCCTGTTACTTTCATCTTTCAAATGTTGTGCTATATTGTACTATTGCGAATTGTGAATTGTTAATCTTAATAGAATCAATAAGTTGAAAGTTTTCCACAAAGTAGGTTTCGTTTTTCAAAAATACATCATTTTCTATGACATCGGTTAGTGGCGTAGTATGCTCTGACGATAACAGCTGCGGGTCATACACATTAGTAAAGCGGGGATTTCTACAATTTAATAAATAGCTTTTGATTTACATGTAAATGATTCCCCGCTCAACATATGCCTACGTTACGACGTCATTGTCTTGTAAGATATTTTTGAATATGATGGCCAACCTCAGCGTATCAATCGAATCATAAGTATTATGGTCACATTCCCCAAGGTAATGCCATTGGCTCTGAAACTTAGTACACTGAGCCATAATAGTAATTTGACCACGCCTATACCGGATTTGTTCCATATGGACTTTCGGAATATGGCATCGCCCCAAATTTGCTTCGATTCTAAGGTTATACATACTTTATTTTGAGGTAGGCCTATCAAACATGAATATATTGGTAGCAAATCGAGCAATATCTTCAATTTTACGGGAATTTTGGGTTCTACTTGTTCTACTCCTAATACTACCCTTCTACTTATTTATTTCTTTTTTAAATGTGGGAGGTTTTTTGTTTCGCCCAGTACAAGCTTTGCTTCTCCTGTTTTGATATGTTTACGACTATGAAGACTCCGATAAGTTCTCCTCGGACTATCAGCTTATTTGTTTTCATTTTGTCATTTTGCTTTTCCACTTGACAAATGGTATTATTACGCATAAATTCAAGGCAACTGTTCTATTTTTTCAAAAAAGTATTCCTAGGGTCAAGAAAGCCCGTATTTGTTTTGTTATGTTGCGAAGACCAGACGGCTACGTGAAGGAATGTAACAATTATAAGCTCCGTTATTGTGCAAATGCCTCATATGCCGCAATGAACAATTTATACTTATTTGCAAATCACTTCACGGGCCGTTAAGAAGAGACGGTGATTCATTTTAGTAATGTAGGCTGCAGACAAATTTGTAAATTGTTTTTAATGTACAAGTAATTATGATAACCTTGCCAAGCGCAATTCACTACAAAACACGAGGCGCTGATAGCCATGTTAATATATTTGGAATTTTCTCTTCCGCTACGAATTTATTAGATAATTCGGACCTCGCAACAATTGCTGTGAAATTCCATTTGTTTTGGAATTGTTTTTCATAGCGATGCTATCCACAAACATTGTTTTAGTGCCTGAAGGTATTATGTTCAAAGTTCAAAATGTATTGGAACTGATATACATGGCGATATAGAGACATTATACAACAGTATGCGGTAGGAAGAATTCCTGATGTCGATCCCTGCAGCCGATAAAACGAAAAATTAATTAAAAATATATTGATTTGAGAAACAAAAAATGTAAAAGTATTAAACCTGATTTGATATTACTGATTTACCAAGCCATCTTAAAGCGAAATTAGTTTTCAGCGTGTTCTTGTTATCACGGCAGAACGTAACCCTTTTATGATCATAGGCTACTCTTATTTTTCTATTATCACGCCCACCTTAAATATTACCCTAATTTAGTCTCGTTGAATATTGCGTTTTGAAAATCAAATGAACCAAACAAATATCAAGCAAAAGATCGTTGTATTGAAGTTCTATTAAAATGATATGAAGCTTCAAGGGTTACAATTGTTACCTAAAATAATATTGCTTACTATAAGTTCACGGTCAACTAATTTGGATTATGGCAATCTCGGTTGCTTAACGTCAAGTTCAAGTAAGGCGAAATGCTAAAATAATACTTGAAAACGTTCGCCGTGATTTTACACGCTCGGGGTGTTAGCGTGCAGACGACTTAGCCACAGATTATATACGTTCTATTCTTATATATAGTATTTATCGTAAACAAGTTATTTTTTGCAAACAATGCTTTTTTTTTTTTTTTTTTTGTAAAAAAAAATGAAAATATCTTCTTCGATAACATCATGTTTTCGGACGATATCTTGATCGAACACTGAAGAGTTGAAATAATGTTAAAAAGCATATAGAATCCACGCTACTAAAATATTAACATTAGCTTATGGAACATGGAATGGTTGAGGTTTCATTAAATAAAATTTTGAAGAAATGGTAAATAATTGCACTAATCACGGCGTGCCTGTGCGCTCGAAGATCATCTTTGAATATTTTCAAATATAGAACTTCAATTTTCATCATCTCCGGAACCACTGCCTGATTCCTCTGAAATTGATCCGTTTTCTTGGTCTGGTGGGCCGGATTCTTGATCTTCCGGACCACTTCCAGATTCTTGATCAGGAGGGATGCTTGCTTCTTCTTGGTCTCCACTCCCAGATTCCTGATCTGGTGGACCACTCCCCGATTCTTGGTCTGTGGGGCCACTACCGGATTCTTGGTCTGTGGGGCCACTACCATATTCTTGGTCTGTGGGACCACTGCCGGATTCTTGGTCTGGAAGACCACTTCGCGTTTTTTTGACTCTGGAGCCACTATAAGATTCTTGGTCTGGAGGACCACTCCCTGATTCTTGGTCTGTGGGGCCACTTCCACTTTCTTGGTCCGGCGGACCACTTCCCGATTCTTGGTCTGTGGAACCACTTCCACTTTCTTGGTCCGGCGGACCACTCCCCGATTCTTGGTCTGTGGAACCACTTCCACTTTCTTGGTCCGGCGGACCACTCCCCGATTCTTCGTCTGTGGAGCCACTTTCTTGATCTGGTGGACCACTTCCGGATTCTTGGTCAGTTGGGCCACTCCCAGATTCTTGGTCTTCTGGATCGCTTTCAGACTCTTGGTCTGGTAGTCCGCTGTCCGATTCATCTACTTCACCGCTCCCACTGGCTTCTTGAGCTTGAGCTAGATGACATCTTTGAAGATCGTCCAAAGCGAGGAATAGCACAACACATATTGTTAATAATGACGTTATTTTCATTTCTAAGTTTATATATAATCTATTTCCCTCTGAATTCGAAAATGAAAATTTGCTGAAAGTTTTTTGACCTGACTTACGCTAATATAACCTTCCACGTACTTAAAAAGGTATTGATAACTCTACTTGTCCCAGACAATAATTACGCCAACACTCGTCAAACGGACTATATTTCAATATCGGAAAACTTACGGTTTCCTGGTTTTTTGTACTTTGGATTATACACTTCCCTATGTCGGAAATTTTGGAAGGGCCGATATCACATATATTCAATAGTTGGATAAAATACTGATACCAGTAAGGCGTATCCGATACCTTAACGTGGTTTAAATTTTCTAACGTTTCTTTAAATTTTTAACTTCTAAGAAAATTTATCAAGCTAAAAAAATAGTGACCAAAGTGTCCAGTCTGAAAACAGGTTGAAAAAGTATGAAACCACTTTTCTACTTATACCCTACCCTACCCTTTCCTGAACTTTATCTCATTTTTTATTTCCCTTGATCTCCCCCTCAGTATTCCTGACAATGCCACAGATAGAAATTTCTCGATACTAGTAAATATTCATAAGAAAATGAACAGAGTACAACCGAAAATCACGTTCTTTACTCGCTAATCGAAATCTAAATGTGATTGGATTTGCGTCAACCGTCTCTTTTTGTAATAGACAGTCTTTCTGTCATTTGCAAATTAAAATTAGATTGAGCATTGATTAAACATGATTCTTACATTGAATACACACGTATACGATTGATCAAAAATGGCCGTACAATTTTGACAAAGTAGTCCAAATATCACGACTTTTCAAATCAATATATGCAGTTAACTTTCCCAGTAGACACGTCGTCAGCTATTGTAAAAATTACTAGAGTATCCATGTAGTATCGAGGAAAACGGAATCAGTTGAATAGATATGTGAATTATGACATCAATATTATTAAAGAAAATTCAAAATTATATGAAATCCATTGTTTTATTTTTATATCCACGGGTTAAATGATGTGGATTATAGCTTTTTGGGTAATTAATAGGTTAGGGGGATGATGAAACGATTAAGAACTAATGATCACGACTTGTGAAAATCAATTATCGTATTTAATTAATCTACGTTTCAAGTTGATGACGTTCTAACAGGTATGTCTGATAAGAAAGAATTGTCAATATCTTTTATGTGAATTTACTGAAAAGGATTGCACCACATATGTGACGTGAATTTCAACGACGGTCGTTTGACAAAATGTGTGTGTGCGCTTGTGTTATGTGAAGCTTACCAAGAAAGATTTGACGTTATATGGTGTTTTAATTTACCAAGTAACTATACACAAACTTCCGCCTCGACTTTGCATTCCCATGAAATAAAAGTTCAAATATGTGTGTTTTTTTAAATTTGTCAGATGTTGTTATTTTTCTATATACCCAACTAACCTAAGCAATATTTATTACTGAAAAATAAAAAAAAATTTCAATATGGAATTTATCTCCTAGTGTGAGCGTTAATTGATGGTCCACCTGAATGGTAGGTATATTATCACCCCTCGTCAAGATTTTTATTACCCATATTTCTTGTGGAGTTTTGTCATAGTTATTCGATAAAGCTCTATACTTTGATTGTTCACAATCCATTATTGGGACATATTCTGTTGATCTCGAATTCCGATTCCCGAATTCGCCATTGATTTCTTTTTGGTGTGTGTGAATCAATTTTCCCAATTTCCTCAACTTTTACCTTATTTCCTCGTATTGATTACTGCGTGAATATCTTGATTAGATGTGGTTTACAATTTTTTGTCCTATCATGTTACATGATTGAAGCGAACTTTTTCCTGTATTTTTTTTGTTAAATTGACGCTATCGTGGCACCACGATTTGCTATTTTGTTTGCGAGCATTCAATGTTTTATGATCGCGATATACTTGGATAACGATTATCCTGATTTTTTTTTAATTTTACAACTTGATCATGATGACAAATTCTTCTCTTTTTATTTTAGTATATTGTTAATGTATTTAATATAAGTGACTTTCAAAATCCTGCGTTCGGAAGACTGTCCCGATATTTGAAGAAAATGTACGCCTTTAAAAAAATATTAAATTTTTGCGATATTTCATAACCTAATTGACCAATTGAATAAACATCAATTTTATGTCTAGTGTAGTCCATCTATTAAACCGAACAATGCGAATAAACTATCTTACCACATCTCCAAAGCCCTATTCGGCACTGAGCGCTGGTAAAGTCAACCTGTACCTATCTTCAAAATCGAATGAACACTCGGCTTAGTAACAGTTGAGGACTTATCTGGAATATGCAATGGCTTGCCATCAACAATTGTTCCACATGGGCGAGTCAAAATTGTCTCTCGAAAGGATTTGGACTTCAATATAAATCTATATCTCCATAATCTTCCACAGTCGATCTATGAATAATAACAAATCAGAAGAATATTGACCTCTCTAACACATTTTATGCTCACTGTAACCATGTTAATTTTACAGCTACCCATGCTCAATGTACTACGGTGCTTAGATTGACCTGGGCATTGAATTGAATTGGAGGAAATCCATTTATTTCTTCTCGGTCATTCATTTCGATTTTACTTGAATCGTTACGTCACTTTTTAAAATGAGAACTTAGTTTTGAGAATGCTCATTGCGGTTTCGTTGGCCTACTGCGCCAGGTATCGTTTTCGAACGAGTTACTCATATGTTATGCCATTAGTCTTTTGAATGATTTTGAACGCCGGGTGATTTTATATACCATGAATAAAATTTGTATCTGATTCTTGCATTCTGATCGCCAAGTTTTGAAAGAAATTTGAGAAAAGAATGTCGACGTTTAAATTTATTAGAAATCCAAATATCAAACGCATTTTGTAGTGACTAAATGCTTCGTTATTGATTGGCTATTTAGGCCGCCATTACGATCACAATCGAGGCCGGATATCCGAATATCAACGCCAAATGATGACAATTGTTTTTAAACTCAAAACCTCAGTCGAAGTCGAGAAAGTATATTTAATTAGAAACTGTCCGTAATATGGCGTAATGCTATGTAATAATTTGCGTATTGGCTTGAGTTTCACACCACTTGAATGCGACATATAAAACAAATATTTGTCGAGATCTTCCGCGGAGGCAGCTTTGAGTATGAAGGCTATTACCCATTATGTTATAGCTTTGATGGTGTAATCTTTGGTTTCTCGTCTTTCGAAATGAATATTTTTTTTGAATATCTCGTTTTAGCATATTTCATGTATGATAACTGGTCGTCCAAAACTGACTTTTGTCAGTTATTTTCATTTAGAGAGTATAACGATCAAAAAATCGTATTGTTTCAATATTACTTGAAATTACAAAATTTGTTGAAGCGCACATATTACAGTTTTTCTGGTGGTCAAATCGGTAATAAACATTAAAAGTGAAATTCTTGTCTCAGTGCGTGAAAGCAGATAATTTGCATACTATATGATCCGCTTTCTGTGTCATGCACCGTACTTATTGGACGCGAAATGGACCTTTGGATTGTTTTTTTATTATGTTGTTCTTGTTGGTATTTTTACTCATAAATCGCATCCATAATTCCGTTGTATTTTTATCAGATATAACCCGCGCATGACATTTCGATTTTGCACCGTTCAATTATTTGCAAGAAATTTTATCCCTGACTAAACCTTCTATGTAACTGACAGCAAATTTGGCCCAACAATCATCGATCATACTAGGAACATATATGAATCAGCACACTTTTGTGAAGTGGTGATTTCCGAAAGGCGGTAGGTTTCTTGCATGGATGATTTGTTTTTCAACGAGAAGAATTGTTTGAGAACATTATACGTCGGAAGTGGGGACTCTTTTTGCTTTATCTTTGCGTGTAACGTAATATGCATACTCAATGTCCCTTCTGCAAAGCTTACTAGAGTATTTGCCAACTTTTCACTTCGAAAAAATAAGTACCGTATTTGTTTATTTATCCAACGGTTATCCAAATAACTAAGATACAATTGTGTCTTATTAAATTGTCAAAATCTGTAATTGTGATATCCAACTGAAGTTTTTATTATGTCTGTATTTCGAAATTACATGAGCTCTGTTTTTGAATGGTATGGAAGATATCTTTTCTTTTCAATTCATGGTTCAATGTTTGGCCAAAATATTTAATCAATTCACGATCATTCATTTGCCTTCAAAAATAATCGGGTAAACATGACCAGCCAATATTGTATGAGGTTGAAAATCATTGTGTGTCATCGACTTGGAACCGGTTAGAACTGGATTTTATTTTATTTGTTTTGATGTTGAAATATATAATGCTGGTATTGTAGATCTCGGACGTTTGCGTGGCGCGTACCAGTGAAGCATGAAACGCGTGACATAATAACAATGGTCTTGTAAAGTCGCGAGCAACGTTTGTTTTCGTTCGTCTGCGGACTCGATTTCTCACAATGCCTTTGAGGTATAAAATTGCAATCAAGCGTAAAGCACATGGCTGTTATTTTAAATGAACTCTAGGACGTTCAATATTGTCGATTTCACAGGCTATATTTAGGCCCCTTTTTCTTCGCGAAATAAAACAAAAACCCGTCGATAACATATAATTTCAGCAAATTAGGCACCACGGAAAGGCCAACTTGACGCCCTTAATTTGTGACGCGAAACAAACCGCATTTTAACAGTGTTTACTATAGAGATTTCATAGTCGTTTTCGATCGCCTCAAAAACATACCGTACGGTACCGGTGTCTTCAAATATGTGCGTCGTAAGACTACTGAAACAATTTGAGTAGCTAGGGAAACAGTTCCGGCATCGTGTATTATATGGGTTTGGCCGTTCGGTTTTATTTATGACCCACAGCTGACAGTCTTAACATGAGCACGCCCTTTGTTGAAATTTCGATGGTATTCACAACACTTTCCCGCCATTTTCGATGAAAAGTATCGGATAATGTCCCGTGTCGAATTACAACTTATTTTGTGATCTCTCGTATCATCTGACCTATTTGATCAGAAATTAATTCATTTAATGATACCAGGTATGGACTGGTTTGCGACTGCATGCCTGATATGTGGGCCTACCTTGATTATATATAACGAGGATAAATAATAAGATCTTACGTAATTCTTTCGAGAGGTCATTTCGGCGGTTTGGAATGTTGCTTGACCTGATATGTCGTTATGTAGTTTCTCAACGGTAAAATACTTTCGGTTCAGAGTGGGCGCGGTTTCACTCTTTGCATTTTATATCATTATAAATTTTTTTCTCAGGCCAATTATACAAATTCAAAGCGCTAACTACGTAATTGGCTTGGCATTTATTTTCGATCATACTATTATAATTTGATATAAATAAACATGAATAAGTGGGCGTTTTTTGGGCGTTGTATTTTTCATATTCTTTGTATAGATAGTGAAAAAAATGATTTGTTGTATCATTATTCATTTTTTTATTGATTTCCCTATGTTTGTCACGGTTCCATTATCTTTGAACCCGCGTACATTTGAACCCGTACATCTGAACCCGTAATTTGAACCCAGAACAATTGCACCTGTATACTATTGCACCTATGGACATTTGCACCTACGGACATTTGAACCCATACATTTCCACCCATGGATTTTAGCACCCGCATATAGATTGAACCCGCGGACATTTGAACCCGTGTACGTTTGCACCCGCGTACATTTGAACCACAATTTAACCCGTGCATTTCGTGTACATTTGCACCCGCGGACATTTGAACCCGTGTACGTTTGCACCGCGTACATTTGAACCCATGTACATTTGCACCGCGGACATTTGAACCCATGTACATTTGCACCGACATTTGCACCCATGTACATTTGAACCCACGAACATTTGCACCCGCGGACATTTGAACCCACGTATATTTGAACCCGCGTACATTTGAACCCACGGACATTTGAACCCGCGTATATTTGAACCAACGTATATTATATTTGAACTCGCGTACATTTGAACCCGCGTACATTTGAACCCACGTACATTTTCACAAAAAATGTTTGCCCCAACGGCAATTTCCAGTCGCAAATAATTTTCATGTTACAGGCGCAAGCTCAATATTCTAAATTTCAACACTGTTTCACTTGTAGTTAGTTTTGGTGTATATGCATTTACCCGCTTCTACGAAGCAAGCATTTTTGAGTGTCATTGTAGTCCGAGGGATAAACGTCTCTTAACGATATAAACAACATTGTTCTGCCAAGGTCTTTTTTCTTTTGCTGTTTTTTTTACATTGACATTTGTAAATCCTTATCTCATTCGTTAGCCGCGATCTCCAAAACAGACGATGACCTAGAAAGCGGTATTTCGTTGAAATACCTGAAACCAGGGCTAATACGGAACAAATATCTCACAGACCAATGAAGTCTTAAATGAGGGTCTTACTAAAACTAGCTTTACAGTAATATTTTTAGTGGTCAACTCCTATAAATTTGTTCTGAAATTATTGCACCGAAAACGCCTACTATGATATCCCGCCCAGCATGAGATTTGGGAGCTCTGTGGCCACTTCATGTTTTCTTGCTAGCATGTTTACAAAATTGTTATATGTATGCATACACGACCACGCTTTACTGTTGAAAATGAGTGTTGTCTCAAATCAGGTTTTGCCATTTTTCCTAAAATCAATCTATAAATTGAATACTATTGTCTGTATATAAATAAATAAACGCACAGATTCTTCGTTTCTAAGAAAATATGAAATTAAGATAATGAAACTATGCCATTTTTGTAACAACATGTTCATAGCCAAATGCCAGTTTTATTGAAGTATTGTTTCATTAGAATGTCAGAACAAAACTATACATAGAAATCGTAAGTCATGTAAATATGTTGAATATTCGAAAGTGAAGAAGTTTTAAAATCATTATCGTGGCCAAAAATGGTTTTTGCTGTTTACACTATTTAGAGTAAATCGAACATATTCAGCATATAGGGTCTGTTAAATATGATATTGCAATTTACAAACGACGTCATAGGTTACGGATTACATTTATTTTAATATCTCAATAAAGTTATCACTCACAAATTTGTGTCGAATGGGCGATCAATTTTGAGATAGAGTAGCTATGGACGTTTTACAAAATAGGAATTTATCAATTATGATACAATAGTTAAACAACAAATCAAAATAATGACGATAAACGAAATTTTACGATATCACGATCAAAGTCAAAATCAAATAGACTGCATTTGAGCTATTGAGTGGAGATACCTCAGCTTGTCGGTTTCAGTTCCATATGAAAAAACTTTAACTGACAACCTAACAGCAAGTTGTACATACTTTGATCTTTGGTGGGCCGTAACTCCTACATGAGCATTTGCCGCAGTCAGTTTGTGGACCGCAATGTCTTTTCGTAGGCCATTCAGCAAACCCCATATACTCATGTTTGCATGAACATCCTTCTACAGCGTTTGTTGTTCTTGGGGCCGAAGGCATCATTTCAATCTCTTTGGCATAGTTCCACAATCGAGGGGGAAATCTTGCTTCTCTTGGACGTGAACCCACTTGAGGTCCACGAATGTAGGTAGATTCAAAATATTGCAAAAGTTGATTGCATTCGGGCGAATCTTCGAAGGTGTCGCAAAGCAAGGTGAAGACTTCGGCAACCTCGTTAATGGGAACAAAAGCCAGAGCTGCCAAACTTCTAATTTTCAGATTGAAAGAGGGTAAACATTCAAACTTCTCTTTTAATCCGATAGAACCAACTTTTCGAATTATAGCTTGTGACAGGTGAAAATAACATCCTTTAATATCGGCCAGAGGAAATTGTGCATGGAATGCATTGATAGCTGCTATTTCAAAATCAACAATGATTTTGGTGGGGTTAGCATTTGGGAAAATGATTTTCAACACTTCCAACATCTGAACGTATGTTTCTTGTCGCTTGTCTCGTAATAGGAAATATACGCATGGTGGATAGGATGCGCCCACTTTACAGTGAATTGTATACAACTGGAAGAAAATATCGGGCACCACATCAAATGTACCGTCGCCAAGATATGTGTCACTATCTAGATGTGCAAGTAGTGATCGATCTCCAATGGCCATTATCCGATGACGATCCTCCGGGCCAGTGTCATGCAAAATGATATCTAAATATTCGCTCGGAATATCAAAGCTTGCACTTGTAGGATTCGTACGTGAACAATTTTTCTGTCGCCTTACTCTGCGTATATTGGCCTCCAGAGTCGACTTGCCTGGCAAGCGCATTAGTACATCTGTTGATCTATTATTCAATACTTCACCTAAAATATATCTTGTCGATGTATTTGATGGTGTTGATGCTGCTTCTTTTAATGTTGCACGGATGATCCCAACTTCAGTCTTAATGCTGTCGCCAGAATGACTGTGATATCCTAGTTCTTTTATTACATTTTCACCGATCGTAACAACAGTCGATTTACATCGAAATTTCCTAAACTGACGGCAGCGCCAATGAGTAGCATCTGAAACCCGATCATTTCGCTTACAATATTCGTGGCCTTTGTAAATCAGTAAGTCGTTTCCTCTTGTGGTCTTGGAAAATGTAGGCGCCATGTTTCCAACTTATTTTCGCAAAGGGACTTGTCATCTTCGCAGCTGCAACGTCCTGAAGAAACAGTTTGGAATTGTCTGCGAGGGAAAAAGGGCATTGATGCGAGGAAAAACTTTGCGCGGGATCGAACTATCTGCGAGGGAAAAAGGGCATTGATGCGAGGAAAAACTTTGCGCGGGATCGAACTAACACATCAATTAAAATCCTTGCTCGCGCTCTTCAAGAGTCGTCGACCGTTCAAAGCACAAATCATACTCCCCAATTTTGGCTCGCATTCTACAGCGGAACATTTTGTCCATTGAGTCTTATGATATCGACAATTGCGATGACAATGACAGACGGAGTATAATATAAATATATAATATAATTTAAATATATAGAAAATAGTTGTAATAAAGCCTTCGAGTATATAATCGAGAATTCCATGGTGTTTTCGCAACGTATGCATTTGGAGAAAGAATCCTAAGTGTACCTTCCAATCCTATATACTATAGTATATAGCATGGAAGGATAAGGGTGTATATGTAAAGACGCTAATATCCGTAAATGCAAATGCCCATGGGTGTAGATGTTCATGGGTGCAAATATCTGTGGGTACAATTGTACGCGGGTGTAAAAGTACGCGGGTGTAAATGTATGTAGGTTCAAATGTCCGCGGGTGCAAATGTACATGGGTTCAAATGTACGCGGGTGCAAACGTACACGGGTTCAAATGTCCGCGGGTGCAAATGTACATGGGTTCAAATATACGCGGGTGCAAACGTACACGGGTTCAAATGTTCGCGGGTTCAATCTATATGCGGGTGCTAAAATCCATGGGTGGAAATGTATGGGTTCAAATGTCCGTAGGTGCAAATGTCCATAGGTGCAATAGTATACAGGTGCAATTGTCCTGGGTTCAAATTACGGGTTCAGATTTACGGGTTCAAATGTACGTAGGTTCAAATGTGCTGTCACCGTTTGTCACCATCTGTTCAGCACTAGGTTAAGACTTCCTTATCCTTTCCTGTGATATTGTTATGTGTTTATAGTTGCTCTACCTAGCTTCCTGTGATATGGTGTCTGGAACTATTGAACAATTCAATTTTATTTAGTACCGGTAGTGTAGTATTGATCTAACTTCATTTAAATATGAAATATATTCAGTACCGGTACTTTCTTTTATTTCCCTGAAAATTATAATCCGTCAAGTTGAAAGGTGTATAAGCCTATTTTTTGTTTGGACATCATATGTCAAAAGTCATTGGAAGTTAAACATTTGGAATTATTTCATAAATCAAGCATGCACAATCTCAAATACAATTAATTTTAAGTATATTACCTCTATTAAATTGTTTGATGATTTTGAAAAACCCTTCGATGTAATTTTGTATATGACATGATCAAAAAATTTGTGTCTTGAAAAATAAATTATTTTGTGCCATAAAAACAATCCTCATTTGTATTTTTTTTCAGTAACTGATTCAGATATTCTGTCAACATTTTATTACTGCCATCTATATTCATTTGAGCATATTGTTTTTCAGCCTCTAAGCAAGTTACAGAATTCACTGATGGACGTCCTTTCTACCTCTTCGGAGTTTCTTATGGCAGTCCTCCAATGATGTTACAGACTTTTGTGTCACTTTTAAATTCATCGTTTTCAAAACAGATCGCATCTACTAGTGCAATAGAAAATGGAGACAATAAAATTCAGCATGTTAGGTTGGTATTTTCAAAGTTCAATTTTATTTTAAACCACAGCTGAGGAGCCTGAAAAAATGTAGTTTCGGCTCAAAATTCAAACCCCGTTAAAAAAACACTTATACTTTCGATTCCAGGTTGAAAATAAATAATTCGAGTGTATCTCCAAACTTCAAGAAAACTAAATTTCGACTAAAAAAGCTTTTGTGTAAGCAAGCTTTCTTTAATCATTTATGTCAGACTTCATTACCATCAAAAACCTAAAATTCAGACTTGATATTATACTAATATTCAATGAAACTCCTATCATATAATTCAAAGTATTACGTTATCTAAATTATGACCTTACGAACTAGGTAACTCCCTAAGTCAACTTTGTTCACACAATGGTATTTATTTATCTCGAATGTGGCTTTGAATAGAATGTGGCTTTGAATATCGTCTCACGAAGATTTTCTCATTTATGAGCTGTCTTGACACTGGCATGTATCCCTAACCTTTTATTGACCTTATCAAGAGATGAGAATGTTGGCTCGACATGCCCCGCCCTGGACACGCCATCTCTGTATTTTATTACGTTGTTACACCGCTCAGTCACTATATATATATATATATATCTGTAAATTATTAACTGCAATAGTTCATTCTTAAGATTGGTCTGAATCACACACATTCTGAGCACTCCTTAAGAATAAACAACTCTTTTTAAGATTTCCTAAAATGTTTTTGTTGACAAATGTCTGATAGTCCATTTCATCATTATGACGATATGAACTGACTGAATTTTGTAAATTCCAAACACAAAAGTTGTGAATTGATTGAGATATTACGAATCTCCATCAAAAAAATATTACAATTTACATTAACATTCAATAGTATATAACCTTCAAATTTCGGTAACTTTTCCCAAAAATTTAACAGTAACCATAACCATGTTTTGAAAGAAGAATTTGTCTGGAATTCCATTGCTAACAGTTATCATAAGTTATCGCCATTTACATTCCTGTGGATGATGATATCATGGGACCCAATAAAATGTTCATTTTTTTTCCATTTTCAGTTCTGCAGTCTTTAATTTGCATACTGAAAGAATTAAAACTTAATTTTATAGCTTTCCGTCTATTATTTCTATATACTAACACAAGGGAGTGGCCTATTTCTTGTTTTTTGCCATATTTTCATTCAACTGCTAGAATATGGTATTTATCCAATCCTTGACACCGACACGTGGCAATTTCAAATATGCCACACCCCACATACACCTTTTCCGACTCTTGTATAATTTTGTATACATTGCCCCCTGTGTAAATGCTAATAATAGGCCATCATCAATTCTAAAAGGGTTTATTTAATATTTAACCTCAAGTTTGCTTGACATCTGTGTACATATCAGGCTGTAAATGGATAATAGAGAAACTGGTTGTAGAGGTATGATAGCTGATAACTTTACGGCCGATAAGTGGCGATTTACAATAGTGCTTTTATTTGTGAACAAATTATATGTTATTGATTTTTTGGTACTCCCGTAGTATGTGTACCACTGTACCAGGTTAGGGTTAGGCCATTATTTTATTCCGATTTTCCTTATTTTAGTTCTATCACAAGTTTGGGAACTGTCTGTGTTATCCCCCTGCCCATAGGTTTCAGTACCTTTACACAACGTAAAATAAGCGAACAAAATTAGTTACCTCCGTCCTCCATATTGGTACACATACTTCTGGAGCATCGACGATTTTTATATGCCACTGGCACTTATTCCCACTTTCTTTTTTTTATAAACGGTGAATTTTGCAAAATTTAAATTTTTATTCAATTTCTAAATTTCTTGTATATTTATAGATCATGTTATTGCAGACATTCAGGGCAAAAACTGATTTATGGTCAATTTATTTGGATTGTGATTAACTGTGTTGTATTGTATTTTCAGGCAATTGAGTGGTCAGTTACTTGATCTGTCTGTACAAGATTCAAAAGGTTTCAACAAAAGACGGAAAAGTAAGTGAAATTGTGCCTTTGTACTAAATAATCACGTTATTGAGAAATTTTACAAAGAGTTGATTGAATGCTGAAACCAAAATACTCTATGTACACATTGTGCATTGTGGCATATTATTTTGAAAATCTGATTCAAAGGTTTTCCAAATGGTCTATTATGTTTATATTCTAATAGTTTATCATCCTAGAATTCTTATTTTCTATTTTATTTTTCGAATAATTTACATTTTAAATGAATTTATTTTGTATTCAGAGTCATGATATTTTATAAATTATATTTTATAAAACTTCAGTCAATTTGTGATTCAACTTCAAAAAAGAAAAATTTTAATATCATTTTACAATATTCTTAAAAAATGTTTTTTTAAGTTACAAAGAAATATTGATCAATGCTTAAAATAAAGAATTTTTTTTAAATTTCAGACACGTCAAGCTCATCTATTGGATCAGATGATTCTGGGTACAATGAACATGCATTGTAAGCAATCTTTTTCAATCCTACTGTAAAAATTCGTCCAAATATATACTAAAATTTAATTTTTTTTTTGCAATTTCAGAGTTGTATCATCGAGTACCTCAACTTCGACCTATACCTCGCTATTAAAACATGGTGGTAAAATAACCGCAGAAGCACTAGCTCATCCAGATGCCCCTTTTACAAGAAGAGAGTTTAGGGTAAGTCATCAGAAGTTATATTTATTGCTATATGTAGCATCAGATTTTGTATACATCTCGCTGAATTTGCCAGAAGTCACATCAATATTTCGAAACTTTAGAAAAAGACTTCTGAACCAGTCCATTAAATCATTTGGATTCTTTTTGTACTTTTGTTGCAGCGATTGCATACTGATTAAATAACACAAATGCATAGAGAAAGAAACAAGCTACTCCAATCAACAATGAATACATTATAATAATTTACACAATTTTGTGCTAACTGAGAGTCATACACAATGTATTGAATAGGTTCCTCATCTGATTGTTTTTATCTCTTCAGATTTACCCTGACGCTGTAGGATACGGCTTTATAATCAGAGGGTCATCACCTTGTTATGTCAAAATTGTCGACCCTGAGTCCCCTGCAGGAAAATCAGGCCTTAAGGTATGTTTATTTTACTTTTTCATTCAAAAAAATGAAATATTCATGTTTATCTCATATGTAACTATATAATTGGTCATATTGGTTAATAGTATGTCTCAGTTGGAATGGATTTGGAAAATTTTTAAATAATTGAATTCCAATGACCATCAACTCTTCAATCAACATAATGTGCTTGATTAACCATCTGTTTATGCCCTATTAATATACTCAATCATAGTTTTTTGTGTTTATGCATATATCTAACATCTTTGTCTTTGGAATTTACAGGCATGGCAATTTATCACTGAAATTAATAATCGTGATGTGACGCGGAAAAATCACACAGAAATTGAAGATTTAATATTAAATGGGCCAAAGTGTTTATTAATGACAGTGATGGTGCCTAAAAATGAATCAGATTACTTGACATTGCAGAAACAGAATACAGTAAGTGACTTTGCATTTTTATCTGCAGTGGATTTATAAGCTTTTTTATTCTTTATATTTTCATCTGATGCTTTGAGACAATGTAGTAGAAAATTCCAGACCATGGTTTGAAATTTCTATTTGAGATTAATATTGCCATTTGAAATATTCAATATTTTAGGCTTAGAAACACTTGCCTGATAAGAGTAGGTAGCATGTATGAATACTTGCAATTGTAACTTTACTTGTATTTATGAAAATTTTAATTGTATAATTCTTTATTACAAATTTATGAAACAAGACCCCTTCGTTTAATTAATAATAAAATTTTGAATTTTTTAGGATTTGCGGAAGTTATCTCAACCAGCTGACACGCATATTCCAAAGCCTGTGCTTTCTCATTTAAGCAGCTCACTAGGTCTTCGTCGGCAAAGCGTCCCGGTCAGCACCCGTCCGACTAACTTGCCAAGTGCGCAGCCGTGGATGAAAAAACAGCGAAAAGGTTCAGACTTTGGTGTAATACTGAACAATTCTAATCTGAAATATATTCACTGAAACACTGTTTTTGGTCGATTGACATTTGACTGTTCGGATTTGTCTTGAAGATAGTATCAATTTTATTTGTCCGTACCAAATGTTGACCATATTTTTAGTTTAATGTCTTTCAACCAGAATATCTGCTTTTCGAAATCGCTTTCAACACTGCTTTTCAAAATCGCTGTATTCATATGAGCTGCCAATTAGGAATTAGCTCTAATTCTGCACGTATAACCCCTCTCCCCTGTAAATAAATCCCTATTTTCAACATTTTTCGATTTCATTTTCTTTCGAGTGAGATTTTTACTTTCCAAAGTTTTTTTGGTGAAAATATGGTGATTTTTTGTCACATTTTATTTTCATGTTTTTGTGCTTCAATTTCATTCGAGGTTAAAATTGCAACTTCCATCTGATTTCTTTTTATCGGCTCCTGTTTTTTTTTTATTCTAGCCCAACTTTAAATTCCAACTAAAATGGCTTTTTGATTACATATTTTAACAACTTTTTTGATTGACACCTGAATTTTCTCAATGCAAAATATTCGTCATTAAAATGTTTTCACTATTTCTTGGTCACTAATCGTCTGTAGTCCAAACATATCTAATTACCGAGAATTCAATTATTTTAATAGTGAATTATAAAAACAGAGAATTTAAATTTATAAACTCTCAAAACGACTGAAAAGTTTCTAAACAACTAGAAAATACCAAAACATGCATCAGTTTAATGTTTTTTACCAACTATTAATTAAGTTTCTTTTTTATACCTAACAGCATCAGAGCTAGGATAAATACCGTAATTGATTGTCCCTATATTAGGGATCTTACTATTTGTTAACATTTTTCACGGTGTACAGTAATTTTGAGTAAAATAATGAAGAAACATCCAAAGTTATATTCTTCCAGTAGTACCCAAAAGTTAAATTTTTGAAACAAATTTCAAAATTGTTAATATGGTATGAAATACTGGAGTGAATAACAATTTCAGTGGTGCTTGGTAATTCAAATTGTCTAAAATTTAGTTAAAATATTGACATTTGCCATAAAAGAGCTAAAATTATCAATGAGATGAACTAAACTTAATATTTGTCATACACTCATATCCCCAACCAAACTAATCTAATTAAAAGACTGGAACATGATCAGGGTTCAAAACGTTTCTTATATTCTCAGCATTCATCACACCTACTTCTCAATCCAAACACTCAAACAATGTTATTTATTTTAAAGTTCTCTCTAATTTGAAATTGAAATAAGTACCAATATATACTATACTTGAGGAAAAGTCCCTAAACTACTCAAGTCAATATCTGAGTTAACCCTCATGACAGTTAGCCGATGATGAGTCTGTGTCTCTTCATTTAGATGACTAGGGTCACTCAGAGTGTTTAATAAATGTGACTTGAGTCAATGACTCGAAGCCTCCCCAACACTATGCTGATGTCAATATGAATAATATCAGTAACACACATCACACATGCCATTAAGCATTTGACACTTATAGCTTTTTTGCATGCTCATTCTTGTGGGTATCAAATCTCCATATTGAATGTTCACACTATTCAATGTTTAGTTACATTGTACCTGTACGATGTATCTGTACCTATTGCATATGCGTCTCACAATTTTATTGTAGCTATTAATTCCTAATATAAATAAATAATTTGCATTATAGTACATAACCACCGCAGTGCTTGCACTCCCACCATCCTATCCTATTGCATTTTATTTTCCGACGAGCCTTTTTTTGTTATCACAGATATAATATTATCATGCATGCTCAATTTTTATTCTGCCTATTTTGATTTTAATCAAGCACAATCATGCTGAGATTCCCTTCCGTCCCATATAGTAACGATACTATGTCTACCGTGTAGATTTTTAACTTTGTCAAATTCGTTGAGTTACCCTGGTTTGAAAGAGACCATCATGATTAGACCATCTTAACCCCTTATGAATTCATTTCCTATAAATAGTATATATCATACATAGCCGTTATCAAAATAATAGTATGGCCATTGGTTGATTTCAAACCAGGGTATCCAATCTATTTTCCTGCTATCCCAATGGATGCCTCGTTATAATCCGAACTAGTTCCATTCCTGATTTCCTTAGTTATTTTGTGTATTTTTTTTCAATTGATTTATGTTTTTCTTTGTTCTTGGTTGATTCAATGGAAATGTAAAGAGGTGATGGAGAGATGTTGCAATTTCTTGATACTGGTTGTAGATGAAAATTGAGGTGCTTGATTCAAAGAATTCAGAATTATTTATTATGTTAGGTGTTCGTGTGCCTATCCTTAAAAAACATTACCTTATCTGCAACTGCAAGCGTTCAGGATTAAACCAAATGATTGAGTGTGTTAAAATTAACATAGGGAAAAGTATGATTTGGCTGCGTTCTGAGGATTCATGTTCACCCGTATGATATACTGATTAAATTAGTGTCATATATGTCAGGAGTTCTCAAACTGGGGTACATTTCTACTTTAAGGGTTACATTAGAGTTTAATAATTGAGACGGGAGTTTAGCAACTCCTTAAGAATTACACTTTTACATCTCGGTAGAAGCTTCAACTACAGAGTGTATTTGCAGGCGCACGACTTTTTTTGTCCAACCACAGTAGCCAAGGCAATTTGGGGGAGAAGCTATGATCTATAAACCGTCCAAAAGAACCTATTGACATTGAAAAACCCTCTTTTCGTTATTAGCCTATTTCTCTTTCTTGAGATATGTTTGGCTGAAAAACTGCAGTTTCTTGTGGACTCAAATATGCAGATTCAGACCAAAACTGCAGACGAGTCTAATTATCCAAAACAAAGATTTCTTGTTCGTTGTTTAAAATGGACATTACAATCCCAAAAGTCTCAATCCATACATATAGTATATTTCTCCAACCCTCGACTTGTCCAGTCCTACATCAGTGCTCTGCTCTATCTGCTAATAAGAGGTTCCTAATGTTTGGTAGCAATTTGATAGTATTTAAAGCTTCGAGGCAGATCGTAAAATTCTCCCTATTCGAATCTTTGTTCATCCTGCCAAGAACAGGTCCTATTTTCACCTCCCCACCCTTATATGCTGTATGTACCTACAGTAGCTCTTCGAGCGGGGTGGTAAATTTTGTGTTCTGAAGCTTAAGAGATGTAGACTATACATATGGAGTGTAAAATTAGGAACTAGTTATTTCTATCCTTCAACTACAAAACCTTTTAGAATTCAGAAACATCCTTCCAAATTTGCAACACTTATATGAACAATATTACTAGCTTTTATTCACATATCCGAATCCTATTGCGGCATGCTTGTGCGACATGTATTGCCTGAATCTTGGCATATGAAAGCAGCCTTCAGATTGGAACTCGAAAAAAGTATCAAAATATGAATTATCTATTCAGTCAATGTTCAGAATCACTTCTTTGGAGTCTTTTTAGGAGTTAATCTTTTCTCTTTTTCCCTTTTTTCAGCTTCTTCCTTCGCTTTTTCTTCCTCATATACTTTACATTCTTTGTCAATGACAGAATTTGGCAGAATTTTTATGACAGTCTTGCCGTCTACTCTGGTTAATGTAGCCATCTCAACCTGTAAAGAATAGAACAGTTGTCAGTCAATTTTTGTAAGCAAACTGTATACGGTCATGTTGATGCCTGTTGTGGGCTGTTATACAAGTTTAAGAATTTTTGTAAATTTCGAGATTTTTAATAGATTTCCAATTCGAAATTAACATGGATGATGGCTTGTGTTGATGACCCGTTGGACTAACAAACAAATACCTTTTTCACACCAAATCACACGTAACAATTTATAAGGTCATACACCAATTGGTTGCTACAAGCATTAGTCATGGTAAAACATGCTCTTAAGGAAGTGGTTTCCAACCCTGTTCTGCTAATACAGTCGCTGGTTTCAAATCCAAGAGTCTATATTGACATTTTACATATGTATATCGTTTCAATATAATCAAATACCTAAAGTAAAATATATGAAATTAAGTTTTGGTATTTGAATACTTGTGTTATAATAAAATATATCCAATATCACCTTTTCAGATGTTAATTTATTTGTGTCAAGTGTTTTGCTGAGAACTTTCACAGCAAGTTTCAATGCACCTGTGATTGTCGTATCATTTTCCTTGTATTCTTGCTTCAACATGGATACAGCAGCCTGAAAAAATGTTGAATATCTTAATTTATACGTTATAAAAAAACTTTGTTAGAATATTCATATTGTCCTATGCTCAGATGAATATAATGATGAAAATAACACATATGTGATTACGGTTTATTTTAATTCATGTTCAAGACGGTGGTTCTTAACTTCCCAAACTGTATTCAGAAACCAAATATCTAAAACAACTACATTATTTATACGACCATGTGTGCCAGAAGAATTTCAATAAGCATCCATACTAACAAAAAATAACAAATAGTGGATAGATATTTAATTTAGAAAATCTTCAGCTTCTTCAAATCTTGAATTTTTTCGGGAGATACCAAAAGGTTTCCAATTCAAGTTGCCACCTAATTATGCAGTTTCGTTCGCCGGGCCAGATTTGTTTTGAAACAGGACTTTTTTAATTCTGAAGGCCTTCGGCAAAGTGATTGAATCGTAAATAAATACTAATACTATATGGTAATATTGGTTGAACAGTTAAATTTAGCACTTGTTTGGCGGAGACTTCTGCCATCATGTCGATTAGTTTCATTGAGCTTTTTAAATGTGATATATATTATTTTGTGGTGGTATATGCAGGTTCAGCCATGCAGGACATACTTATATCCGAAATCTGTTGAAATTATTTGTGATATCACAAGATCATATATTCAAATGTTCTTCCTTTTCTCTTGTTAAGTGTGTTTTAACCTAGTGTCACAATTGAAAGCAAAACATGTTATCTGAAACAAACCTGGCTATTATGTCCAATACATGTAGCCTTCCATCCTCCAAAATTCCCACTCGGATCTGATTGGTAAAGTTGAAATCCATGATGCTTGTCCCATCCCATATATAAAACAGATATTCCGAATGGTCGAAGACCCCCAAACTGTGTATATGCTTGTTTTATATCACATAAACTGACAACAAGTTGCTCTATTGGAATGGGCTCCTGGTATTGAATCATATATCTAAAGTTAAAGAGATACTATTTAGTTTAGTGAGCTAACTATGTACAATAATAACACAAATTCTATATGAATATTGAGCTGTCAAGATCCTTTAAGAGGGTCAAATTCAAGTTGGGCAATGGGACTTGTGTGTTAAGAAAATTAGGTTTCTGACATAATATGTATGGCAGGGGTTCTCAAACTTTTGGTGTTATGAAGTCCGTGAAAAGATTGACCATTATATACTTAGCCTCATAATAAATTTACGAGAATAAAAACATTGTTGGTTACGAATTAATGTCTCTGAGTAAACTGAGATTACTTTATTTAATGACTCGAATGTATTTGCTGCTCTGTAATTAATAAATTAGCCCTGGGGCTCCGTATGGAGCACTTTGAGAACCCACTATGTATGGCCCTGTTTTATATCAATTGACGATTGGCTCATTGATCTAATCAAAAAAATCACCACATTTAAAATTTTACTTCACAGTAATGATGACGATTAGCTCAGCGCAAGTAGTTAAAACGACAATGCTCCCACCATTCGGCTATTTTGAAAAAACGAGAGTTCAAGTTGTATTAATTGCTAGAAATGCACCTTACTAATTGTTTTTCCTACTAATTATATCCAAGAGTGTGTTAGTCAGAAATTGCTGTTTATATTGCATATACCTTTGAGCTATAACTCTCAGTTCATTTATTAGAACATTTGCATCTGAGGTTATTCCTGCAACGCTACATGCAATGTTTTCATCCAGTTTATAGATTTTATCAGATTCAAAGACTTCATCTAATAATTTGTGAATATTCCGCTTCTCTGCTGCGAGGAGAATTCCATCATTTGCAAGAATCCCGAGACAAGTACCTGAAATAAAATGAGCAGATTGTATGTCAGTAGGTTGGCTCTGGTATAGTTTAGTACCACATGCATTTCTAGTTGTCCTTTTTGCATATTTCATTCCTAACCCTCACCCGACTGCGTCACCAAAAAATTACGTCACATTTGGCCTAATGAGGCCCTCCAAATGGTCAGCCGAAATGCGCAGACGATCACCCAAAATCGAGAAATCTATCTCTTGTTTTCTCATCGCAACGATTGCGATCGCTGATGTTAGTAAGTTCATTGGTGGTATTGGTGCCACAGATGCCATTTCGGGCGATTGTATTCGTAGCTATATTTTGGCAAGTTCTATGACGTGACAAAATTTGTTATGTTAGGCCCACTAAAAGTACATGTGGTACTATACTAGATCCAGTAGGTTGCCTAGGCAGTTAAGTCCAAACACTTATTTGGCTTATCAGTGGGGCACAGTTACCGGTATCTAATTTCGAGAATGCCTCAATATTCAGATACAGTATTTGTGACAGAAAACAATGGCATACTGGTATGGCACAACGGCCTGACGACAGATCCATAAAATTGTACAAACCACGATATGATACAAATTAATCATGACCTGCGTAAGCCAAGATGTGACCAAAATTCGTTACTGCCGACTGTATTTTGACAAAAACTCTTGAATGCTACAGTATATTTATTTTCTTCGGATGAATTGAATCTATCTATGTCTACCGTAAACTTAAGATTGTCTCGTGAAGGAGGGGTTTGTAATAATGGTTATAACTGATGTTGGTAAGCTTTTAATTTATCATTGAATGGTTCTTTTACTGATTTAACATACTCACCAGCATGACCAATCGCTTCCATTGCGTATTCAACCTGGTAAAGCCGTCCCTCTGGAGAAAATATCGTCGTTCGTGAATCGTATCTACGAGACATTTTTCAATCTATTAAATGCCCAGTTCTGTCTTAAAATTATTTCATATAATTCAAAATATTTCCCGCAACGTCGCAAATTGCTTTTAAATCAGAATTAAAAGAAAAAATAATAAAAAAACGCCGAAGAACAACACTATAATGATATACCACAGGTACGGTACCGTATGCTCTGGAATCAGCAACAAACGCTTCGGATTATTAGATGACTTCGCAAATTAATAACCAGTCAACCAACACATTACTAAGCAAAATCGTTAGGTGCGCTGTTGTGGTATGTGCTTTTCAGTTCGTGTGTTTACACCTCGATTAATAAGATAAGATAAGATTTTATTTCGATTCATTCGCAAAAACAAAATAAACACATATACACAAAAGATTGAAGCGAAGAATCTGGAAAGTGAACAAAACCTAATAAAATAGGTTTAAAACGTATTAAACGCGTTCACTTACCAAAGAAAAAAGAAAACGAGTCACAAACACAAACAAATAAACATGAATATTGACGGCAGTCATTACTCAGGCGTTTCACTTGGTAATCAGGTTGCGTGCAATCTTTTCAAAGACAAAACAGTGAATTAAATATCCGCTGTGCGTGTGATGCGGCATGTAAACAAACAGTCTGAAAAATCTTAGAATGAGGTGCAAATGCATGTTTCCGTTCCATGCTCAAACATATATCTAGTAAAATCTACTAAAACGTTAACACACCAATGTAAAAATCGATTGTGAATTTTCAAATATCAGTTCGTGCAGTTTAACCGTAAATATACACCACCACCATTATATAATGGCTCTGGTTTAACCGTAGAAGTATATATTTACGGTTTAACATTTGTATATCAGGTCTTCTTCATATTTGAGCAGAGCATAATTTCGTCCATCACAAAATCTTCAAACATTTCCAGTCTATCATTAAAAAATCTGATATTTCTGTTATTTGTTTATTGATGTCACTAAGTCTGGGATTCACTTCTCGAATGCATATCTTCGGCTGCAGCCACGTCCGCACGCGACGGCGGTCGGTACTGAAACATTCTATTTTTATATCTACCGAAATCTTCGGGGAGAGGAAAATTGGTCTTGTTAAAAGTCCATGTCAAGTATTCGAATAGCATAGGTAATAGACTCCGAGTGAATTGTTTCGGGAGATACCAAAAGGTTTCCAATTCAAGTTGCCACCTAATTATGCAGTTTCGTTCGCCGGGCCAGATTTGTTTTGAAACAGTACTTTTAATTCTGAAGGCCTTCGGCAAAGTGATTGAATCGTAAATAAATACTAATACTATATGGTAATATTGGTTGAACAGTTAAATTTAGCACTTGTTTGGCGGAGACTTCTGCCATCATGTCGATTAGTTTCATTGAGCTTTTTAAATGTGATATATATTATTTTGTGGTGGTATATGATTGATGTAAACTATCTCTATGACATAATTTCAGCAGCAATGTATACTTGCTGCAATTTAGTCTTATTTGTGCAAGTAGTCTAATTGATCGGGAGTTTGCGGTGAAACCATTGCGGCATAGGAAATCGGTTGTCGATAAGGAAGGAAAGAATGGAAAAAATAATCCTGTTCCTTCATATAATTGAGATCTTGTGTTGCTGTCTGGCCTCTTGTTTTATTCTCAGCGTGGTTTTGGATTTACGATTGTCATTTTTTTGGAATCAAACTACTCATGCTGATTAATCCAGTAGTCGGATAGGGTGTAATATTAAATTGAATTTATTTTGATCATTAATCAGAATCTTAAACTATCGCTCAGTGTAAAATTATATGGCGCCCATTTCAAACTTAGGCTTTGACGTTCCTGTCAATATAATCATTCAATCGAGATAGCTGCTTGTATATATTCTCGCAGGAAGCTTAATGATGTCTTAGCACAGCGTTTCCTAACCTTTTTTAGTCGCGGACTATTTCTCACCAGCGAAAATCTTAGCGGACTCAAGGTGCGTTTATTGTAACCGAAATATGTGTGAAGAAGCAATAAAACCAAACACTACAAAATTTTATCCAAGTCAGGTTATCCCCGAAGTGTCCCACGAATCTGGGCTACCATTACCGTGTCCAAGTCACGTGTTTCCAGGTATTTTAATAGTTCCATCAATTTGACCACGACACTAAAAGGCTTAGTGACCTTCACGAACTAAACCAGGGCTTCCCAAACTTTTGAGCTCGCGGCCCTTTCAATATTGTAAAATTTTTCGCGGCCTCTGTTCACGTTAATAATGCTAAACAGTTCGAAATATACATTTTAGATATTTTAATGATACGGTGAATTTTCATCTTTTAGTGGGCCTATTCGGTAACAAAAACAAACACGAATTTGTTCAGATGAGCCCCTTTGCGGGGCCGCGGCCCCTAGTTTGTGAAGACTGAACTAAACCACTGCATAACGTTTCTAAAACGATATTGCTCATTGGGGATTCACGTAATTTTTTTGAGATCAGCGAACCGGTTAGCATTACTGGTTATTGTCAATGACTTTGGTAACAGAACCGGCTGAAAAAAATATGACTTTTGTGATGGAACCGGCTGACCAAAAATTTGAATTCCACTACTGGCTATACCATAAGTAAATGAACAAATGTGATTCCGAGGGATGAAACATTTGTTTATTTAGCAATGTTTGAGTTTACTTGAGCGTAGCTGCAAACACTGTGCGTCCATAAGTAGTTATAGTTTGCCTTGAAAGACTCTGTGCCTTATCCAAATATAATATATCTCTAAGACCGCATGGGTTTCTGGAATTTTGCCAGTCGCTAGATCAGATTGGTGTCAAATATAGAAGTGGTATGGTTATTCATGCCAGCTATGGTAGATATAACTTTACGTGCATTTGCCTCACGACCTTAAGCATAGGAATTTGCACTTAGTAGTGTCATTAGCGTGATCACCAGCAAGCTAGTAATGTTGGCATATCGTATACATATAACTGTTCAACTTTTGTACAGAATAATATGAATGAAAAGTTAGCAGTTAGTAAGTTTTGTGAATACTTAAAAGTCTATGTCGGGTATGCGAATGAGTAATAGACTCTGAATGAATTTTATTGAGAGATACCGAAAAGTTGCCACTTAATTATGCAGTTTCGTTGCCCGGGCAAGATTTGTTTTGAAACAGTACTATAGTCTTTTAATCGTAAAGAACTTCGGCGAAGTGTTTGAACCAGTTGATTGCCTAGAACCAGTTGCGTGTTTCACAACAGGAAGAATACGGTACTTTACATGCGCAAAATACAATATACACATACAGTATTTGAGTCTGGGCAATTCCGATAAGGTAACAAATACAAGCAAATGCAAAAGCAAGCCCGATTACGTGACAAATTCAAGTTTTACCTCTGACAAGGTTTAAAAATGAAGTGCCGAATATCGCATGTCTAGACTGACAAACGATCCTACAATAACTTCTGCAGTACGCGAAACTTATTGTCTCACTCCAAGAGTACTGTGATAAACTTTATTTGCAATGGTAGCTGTGGCATCGAAATGCCCAATTTGTTCTAAATCTAAGCAAGCGAAGAATCGCATTTGGAGGAAATTGTAAATTAGATACTGAAGTTTGAGCAGTCATGTAACATTCAGGGTTTAAGAATATTTATTTTTCGCTGTTTAGATAATACATGAATACTTTGCAAAGTTCCTTAAAGAATTTTCAACACTTACGACTAAAAATTAGGCAGGCCCTGGATCTGAATTGTATGATATTAAATAAATCTGAATTAAATGATGAAACATTTACTCCGGGTACAATTAAATAATTAAATCAACAACTTAAATGGAACATAAAAAAATACAAATTTTGTGTCGATTTTGGTAATAATGTGCCCACAAAGCCTCCTTATTGACAGCGGTGGAATTTTTTGTATGCGTGTGTGCAGTTATCTGCACTTTCAGTGCTCATTCGTTTTTGTGTATGACCTTATTACCGATCAGCCGATCGCGATATATTTTGAAGATTTTAGTCGATCGAAAGCAGGTTGGCCACCCCTGGTTTATATGATTGAGATCTTGTGTTGCTGTCTGGTCTCTTGTTTTATTCTCAGCGTGGTTCTTGTTTTACGATTGTAATTTTTTTTTGAGAGAAAAAAAACCTATTCTGATTAATACAGTAGGCCGGTAGAGTGTATGCTTACTTTTAAATTAAATATATTTTGATCATAATTCTCAACTATCGCTCAGTGTAAGATTATATAGCGCCCATTTCAAACTTGGGCTTTAATGTTCCTAATTATATAATCTTTTAATTGGGATGGTTGCTTGTATAAAATCTCGCAGACGGCTATTGGTAAATGAACAAATGTGATCCCGAGGGATGAAATGTTTGTGTTTATTTGGGCGTAGCTGCAAACATTGTGCGTCCATAACGGGAATAAGTGATTATAGTTTGCCGTAAAAGACTCTGTTCTTTAACTAAATATAGGCTACCGCTAAGACAGCAGGGGTTTCTAGAATAATATAGGCCCTATATTATAGGGTAATCAGATTGATGTTGAATATTGAAGCGGTGTTATTATGCCAGCTATGGTAGATATTACTTCACGTGCATTTGCATTACGGCCTAGAATTATACGAATTTGCACTTAGTAGTGCCATGATGGCGTGACCATTAGTACGCTAGTAATGTTTGCCTATCGTATGCATATAACTGTTCAACTTTTGTACAGAATAATATGAATGAAAAGTTAACAGTTCGTAAGTTTCGTGAATACTTACAGATCAAAACAGTGCATCCGAATCCGGATTATGCATCCGCAGTTTCGTTTTTGGATGATTACGCGGAAGAACTTGGCATTGACGCAAAGCATGTAAAGATTGACAAGGACCGAGAGGTTGTGGTTATGACAATACCAGGTCGAAATAAAAAATTGCCGTCGATTTTACTTAATTCTCATGTAGATGTTGTTCCGGTGTTTGAAGACGACTGGAAATTTGATCCATGGGGAGCTCATAAGGACGACAAAGGAAATATATATGGTAGAGGCGCTCAGGACATGAAATGTGTCGGCATACAGTACCTGGAAGCATTGAGAATATTGACGAAAACAAAAAAACAAACATTTGAACGTACGATTCATCTCACATTTGTTCCTGATGAGGAAATCAATAATGGCGACATGGGAATGAAGCTTTTTCTAGACACACCTGAATTCAGTGTCATGAACGTAGGTCTGGCTTTGGACGAAGGGATTGCTAATTCGGATAATAATTATTCTGTTTTCTATGGTGAAAGATTGATGTGGGTGGTACACATCAAGTGCAAGGGAAACCCAGGTCATGGATCGCGATTTATACAAGGCACTGCTGCTGAAAAATTGCAAAATGTCATCGATAATTTTCTGGCATTTAGAACTTCAGAGGAAAATCGACTAAGCAACAATCCTGGTCTAACATTAGGAGATGTTACTACAGTTAACTTGACTATGATTAAAGGAGGAGTCCATCAGAATGTAGTGCCTGGAGAAATTGTAGCCACTTTCGATATCAGGCTTCCGCCAACGATTGATCTGAAAGCGTTGGAAGAAAAAATTGCCTCGTGGTGCAACGAAGCAGGAAACGACGTAACGTCTGAGTTTGAATGTAAAGATACCTGTCAAACAATCACAACTGCAGATCAAACAAACCCATGGTGGCGAGCTTTTACATTCGCCTTTCATGAAAGAAACCTTCAGTATACAAAAGAAATATTCTGTGGCTGTACTGATGGGCGATTTCTTCGTGAACGAGGTTATCAAGTTATTGGATTCAGTCCAATGCGAAATACACCTATTCTTCTTCATGATAACAATGAGTTTTTGAACGAGAGTGTGTTTTTGGAAGGAATCGAGCTTTACTGCGACATAATTTCGGCCATTGCGAACTTGAAGTGTTAACTTACACATATATACCAAATATATATATACAGTGGGGTTTGCGCGAACCCGTTCTTGGAATGTCGTGATACTCAGTAAATCCGTTTTTGAGTGTTTTTATTATTTTTTTGAAACAAGGGAATCTGTTGTTAGCAATTTCTCGATGCAAAAGAGACTGTTGTTAAACTTCACAAACCCCAGCATGTATATATCATATTTTAAGCGTGTTTATTAAACATCCTTAGAGGTTTTTGTCATCCTATTATTGTTTTTCCTATGTATTTGTTCTTTGCGTTGTGTTTTTGTTAAAAACCTAATATACATAAATATATCCCCAGCGACCACGTAAGCAATACTGCTATCATATATAGTTGAAACTGGCTAACGTCTATCACGGACACAATTTCATCAGAGAAAAAGTTGAATGAACCACGAATGCATATGACGAAACGCGGAATTTCACAGGTTATTAGGATATGAGAATATCAAAATAACAATCATAAATTACCGTACGATCTATATCACTCACATTCATTGTTCATTATATTTAAATTTAAGTTGATATTTTGTTAGAAATGTTGAATGTTTTTGTATTCCCCCTGTACATTTTTACGCGCAAACTGTTTCTAGCTAGCCCATGTTCGTAATTTTACATTCACATGTACATAATACATTTCAATTTCGTCTAGTTATATCAATATAGGCTGCTCAAGTTTATGCTTACAAAGATATAGTTACAGTATTTATGTATCATTATTATTTTGACCTGTGTTAAACAAAAGAAATCGTATTGCCGAATTGCTTCATTTAATTGATTTTGGGCTCCTATATTTGAATGAGTAAGATATTTATCAGTCATCAATTCTGAATGGCCGAAAATGAAGCATTGTACCACGAAGTTAGATATAACAATTCAAAAAGTCGAACATGCACTCAAACAGAAATAAAACTTAAGTACAAATCATGTCAGTTATATTGTCAGTGTCCGGGCATTTCGAAGTGTTAGATAAGATAAATACTGTAACATATTTGAAGCTTCGCCCTGGTATAATAAAATGACAAAATACGAGATAGAAGTTCTGGAAAGTTGCTAAAGTTCTGAATATGCTTTATATACACCGCACTTTGTGACAAAGAATATAAGCGAAAAGACACGATCAGATAGAGCTGTCAAATCGGACGCTGGGCTAATGAGCAATGTACAATACACGACTAATGTTGAACATTTGGAACACGAAAAAGCAATCTTAAAAGCAGTGCTCTTCATTTAAGTAAATGGATAGCGGTTTTCATATTTTTATAATTTGTAAATCTCTAGTTTGTAATTTTGTTTTTTGATAAATGAAAATAAAATACATCCCCCGAATAGGCTTGCACGTAATTGACAAAAATCAATTCCGTAATTACGACAAAATCAATTACGTAATGACCCCGTAATTGCGATATTTTTCCACGCATTTAAACCTATCATAACAACCAATTGAATCCACTTCTTTTCCGAATGGGACATTGAAGTTGGGTTTTCATATTCTTGGCAGTACTACACGCCGTCGGCAGATGTTAAAGACAAATATCAAGGAGTGAATTCAAATTAATTTTATTCTGATTTTTATCTTTTGTGTTAGCTTTGGTTTTCCTTTATCACCTTCGCAAATTAACCGTCCCATTTTTATGCGATCAATTTTATTTTATCATTACCGACACTGGTATACGGATATTTATGGAAATGATAGTTTTTTAAAACCACCTTAGTACTGAATAAAAATTACGGGTTTCTAATTTATTAACCAACGACGAGCGTATTCTCTCGTTTGATTATATTTGCGATTTCCTCGCGACGAAGACTTGTTTTTGCAGCGTCTTCTGCACTATCCGACATTACTGCCTTGTTAGCATTTTATAATAATGATTATTGATGTCGACTTATTGACGATATTCCGATTACCATGCTTCATTTTACATTTAATCATTTCGCGGACTGAATGTTTATAACATTATTTGCGATAAATTTAGATCAAATATTATTTATTTGAGTATAATTTAAATATCGAACTTATATGATATGCCTTCTCCGAAAATACAAAGTTATATCGCAAAACAATGCATTTTGTGACATTTATTTTACACTCACGACATTTATTTGCTAACTCAAGTCGGCGATCCTATCGGCCAAGATTGACACAAGTTTGGTCGAGTGCCGGTGGTATTCAAGTCGACGATAAATCAAAATAAGTTTGTTATTTGGTAAGACAGTTAATCATATATGGCCGAAATATTGAGAGGAATTGTGAAAAACATCATGAGCAAGGCCAAGTCCGGACTGATATATAACGACAAAACCGTTAACAGAACATCAAGATTTTGTAATAGAAAATGGATCTCGCACAGAATAAACACACTGGCTCATATTTGATTATATATGATAGCAGTTAAATTTTTAGCGGTCCGCGAGGAATCCGTCGTTTTGCTGTTTCCCTGCCGTCTCAATTGCTTTACCGATGCCGAGAAGACGAAGTTGCGTTGGTTCATTACGCAATCTCTCTTTTGTCGTCATATTGCTATTTGATAAGCGCGACATTAATTATCACGGCGAGGTATTGGCGCGAGTGATCGCTCTTTTCGCTTATTTGGTTCCAATTCGTCGCGAAAGCTCTTCGTTAAATTTCACAAGATCGTCGTGTTGAAAGGTTATGGATATTTTCCTGCTTATACCCCAAGTCTGAAATAAAACAGCCAAAAAAAGTATGATATTCCATGTTCATATATCAAGTGTTGATATTAACAATAAAGAATGGTTAAGCATTGCTAATCCACACTTGGTGGGGAATTCCCACTATTTAAACGCGTGACTATAAAATAGAATAAAATAGAAACGGAACATATATACCATAAGTAACAGAAAACTGGAACAAGTAAATAATAAATAAAAGTAAAATGGATACAAATGTTTGATAGACCATGTTTGAAAGATTGATCTCCTGCGTTCATTAGTCATTTCACCCGAAGAAGTTGAAACCGGGCGTGTTAGCGTCCATCGGTCTTAACACAATTCTTCCCCCTATCTACGGTTATTATGTACATTTGCCATGGCCATGCTAGATAAGATGAGAGAGAAGTTGGAACCAGATGTGTTGGCGTCAATCGGTCTCAACGCAATTCTATCCCTTATCTACGGTTAAGTTACGGGAGAAGTTAAAACCAGGTGTGTTGGCGTCAAACGGCCCTACTCAGTTCTTCCCCCTTAACTACGTTAATAATTTACATTGGCCATGCCGTTGATAATAGGTCAGTAAATGGGAAAGCGTCATGCCTTCCTTCACCTACGTAACAAGAGAGAGAAAAGCGAGAAAAACGGCTGCGAATACCGGAACTCTAACTTCTTCTACTTGTTGAGCTTTCATTTTTCGCAATCGACGAAATTGACTGCTTTGAAGAAAGCTCGTTTCAATGCAATAATTACGACTTTACGTAACTCCAAATAATTACGTAATTCCGTAAATCAGTAAATTACGTGCAAGCCTACCCCCGAAAATAAGCCCTAGTGGTATTTTTTGAAAGGAAATTGAAATAAGACACTGTTTTATTTTCGGGGAAACGCGGTACCTACTAGTAGTCGTTATATCGTGAATAAATATATATAATTTGGAAATCCGAATAAATTGAAACATATTACGTGACTGTTACCATATATTTACATATCAACACGTTACATGTCATGGACGTAATCTGCTCTAAAATAAATGAATAAGTATCGAAAAATACATCAATGTTATCTATTAAAAAGTACTGGTCCAATTATTTGGCCATTTTATTAGACATCGGTGTTAATAACTCATGCATCACGTTCATTTGCTTGGTGTTAGTCAGTTTTTAATTGTGTTTCGGAAATTTGAGTATGAATTAAAAAAAGATTTGTCTTCCGAAGAGTTCGTTCATTTGCAGTAGTTAAATATATTCCCGAAAATCTGCAGTAGACTAAAATTAACTATCTGTACTCTGAATCGTAGGTGGTTAAGGTTAAACCTGTTGAATTAAAATAGTATTCATGTCCTTTTCACATATACTGCGTGTTAAGGTGCCCGAGATAAATGTTATGTTTATGTGGTTTTAGGCATTTGTTTATAACGGTTCACGTGTTCCATAGTGATGATACGTGTATATAAAATTATTTTCAACGCCTACTTTTCTAATTGCACTGCAACGTTTGCGTTTTTATTTCATTTTTTTTGTATATCCATGTTAAGTAGCCAACCGGCGTGCATTCCTTGTCCACGATATAATAATAGCGGAAAGATTGTAAACATTTCTCCTGTTCTCGTATGTTTTCTCATTTCAATTTTATTTAAGAGTATTTTTAAATTTAACGATTTAAATCGTGTTCACTCTTTTGCGCATTGTTTTTGTTGGTAAGTGGGCACGCACTTGTACGTTTTTTAAAACTTTATTCATAGTTATGGTCGTCTTCAGGGTATCTCTGTGTTTTGTCTGTTTGTTCACTTTTTGTGTTGTTTTGATTTATGTCAGAATACCGAAATAAAATGATTGATAGATTTTATTTTTGTTCGTCTGTTTTTAGTATTTTTAAAATCTGGCATCATGAATTGGAATTTGTGAAGCTATTATTACGTCATAATTTTGTTACTATGTAATTACTTCGTCACGTAGTAACTGCAAAAAAAATTTAAAGTGTCGAAATACTTTTATTTTACGTTTTTTTTCACCCAGGTTGCTGATTTAGGCTAGTGGAAATTCGCAATTTATAGATATTGCTAATCTGTACGAAAAAGTGGGTTATACAGCGGATGGTAAGTTGTGATAACCGGCATATATATTAGATTAGTGCAGTATCAGTCCCGTAACTAAGCTATAACATTAATGGCACGGCAATCAAGTGATCGCAGTTTGCCGTTTTCTTGTTTGTTTAGTTCTGTCAAGGTTGGGCTATATTTTTGCTCACCCATTTTGCTTTTACTAACCGGCGCTATTCTAACCGCTTTAAAAAAAACTGAAAAATGAACCTAATGATGACTGGCAGGCAGTGGGCTTCATTCAGTTGCAACAATGGTAGACGATCTGTTAGTGTTACGGATGTTTTGCGAGGTCGTTCGTGGAAATTCGATATTAATGTTGGAGGCATTGTAACGGATACAATGGTTTTAAATTGAACTAATCGAAAACGACAAAAGAGCCCGATACCCCAATCTATGTTTGTGCATAAGGTGTTATGAAACATTCAATCTATTTACAGAGCTCGATTTTTTAGTATCAATTTTTTGTCACTATGTTTTTTTTTGCAATGAAATTGAACTACAGCATCACCATTTTACGTCAACGAGTGTTTTTTATTCCATATTTTTGTAGGAAAAGCACTGTTGTGATACACATACCATAGCCATGCATTCCGTTCTATCGAAGTGTATTGTGTCCTATCAAAGTGTATTTATTAGAATTGGGACCTACCGAGTGTTTATGTTACACAAGTTTGACGCGCGAACGATACCCGTTCGTGTCTTTTTTGTATGTATATATGTTTGTGTGTTGAATGTGGGTAAACTGGCGTATGTATATTTACATGTATTAAACCTCTATGAAGGTTTGTCCAGTTTCCCTGAATATCCCAATATTCTGTGTGTTCATTGTTTGTGTTTTGTGTATGATTTTACTGCGGGAAAATCAAAATATACTTATAATCGGAATGAAGGGTTGGAGACTGAAATATGTTGAACAATCCTTGTTATTTACATTTGCTTCCGTGCGCAGTTCTCACTGCATCCATATTTTAATTACTTTTTCTAATATCTGTATCGGTCCGTGTTTTTTTAAAATTAATTGAATGATAATCTAAATAACTTACGGCCTGATATCAAAACATGCCGTATTTTATCGCGCCATGCCCCGCGGACCGCACATAGATGTCACACGTGATGCTTGGCACGGCAGCGGGAGAAAGTTTTCTTTTGCGCAGTCTTGCTGCACGCCTGCAGGGAAGGAAGGATTTTCATATTTTCCTGGTGGAGAATAGATGAGCAGTCTTCTTGTCCAATTACCGGTACCAGTACTAATCGATGTCGGGTTATATAAATTGAATAGGTAAATAGCAATTCGTTCCAGCTGCATGAAGCTGTGGTGGGGTGGATGCAAAGCAAAGACATGAAGATTTTTTTATTTCTGTTCCGTGGTCAGGTGATGAATACTGGAAAATGTGAGCAGAACAGGTTAATGGGTTACGTACCATAAGTACAGTTACCGTATACGATTATACGTTGAGCTTGAATACAAATACTTGAATGCAAATTTCGGAATTTGTTGTGTGTCAACTTATCATTCAGTCATTATTACCGGTATTATCATCTTTAATACGGTACCGGTACCGGTACCGGTACCAATTTATTGCCTTCGATTTGTTTTTTTATATTTGTTTAAATGCCGATTTTCAGTTTCGATTTTCTGATTTCTGTATTTGGCTAAATATATGCTCCTAAATCTACTGGCTAGATTTATTAAATCGCACAAAGTTTCATCTCTTTTTAATATCAATAAAATGTCAATGTATGATGGCCCTATTGTGGTCATTTTGGGTGCCACTGGAGCTGGAAAGTCAAAACTTGCTTTAGATATTGCTAGCAGGTTAAATGGAGAAATTATTAACGCAGACTCAATGCAAGTTTACAAAGGTTTGGACATTGTTACTAATAAAGTTACACCGGAAGAACTAAAAATATGTAAGCATCATTTAATTGGGTTTCTATCACCTCTGCAAGAATACACAGTAATTGATTTTCAAAGACAAGCTCTAAAAGCAATAGAAAAAATACAATGTCGCAGAAAATTACCAATAATATGTGGTGGTACAAACTATTACATTGAAGCAATCCTGTGGGAGTTTTTGACACCGACAAATAAGGAACAATTAAGAATTGATGACACTTCAGTGCGGCAAATTGATGATAATTCTAAAAAGGAATTAGAGGTTCTTTCATCAACGGAATTATATGAAATTCTAGATAAAGCTGATCCAGAAAGAGCTTTATCACTTCACCCACACGATCGCCGAAAAATTATCCGATCTATCGAAGTTTATCGACAATCTGGACAAAAGCACAGTGATATTTTAAAACTACAGACTGGCGATCAACGAATCGGTGGACCACTACTTTTTGAAAACACTTGTTTAATATATGTTGATTGTGATAAAGAAATACTGAATGAAAGAATAAATAAAAGAGTGGATAAAATGGTAGAAACAGGATTAATTGACGAACTGAAACTTTTTCATAAGGATTATAATAAAGACCGCCTGCAAAGTGGTTTACAAGCCGACTATGAGCGTGGAATATTTCAAAGTATTGGTTTTAAAGAATTTCATGATTATTTAACAAAAGAAGTTTCTGATAATAATGAAAGAAATGTTTTATTAAATGAATCAATTGAACGAATGAAAATATCGACTCGACAATATGCAAAATATCAGAGAAAATGGATAAGAAATCGAATAGTGAACAGAGAAAATGGCCTTCCTGTTTATGCAGTTGATTCTAGCGACCCTTCTATTTGGGATAAAACAGCACTTTTTTCATCTTTGAAATTATTACATACAGCTTTACAATGGGGTGAATGGGTTGAGAATATCAACAAAAATAATGATATTTTCAAACTAGAAGAATTGAAAAATATTGTTAATATTGAACCAATGACAGCAGAAAGCAATACTGATCTATCGCCTCGAGTTAAAAGAGTTTGTCATATATGTAATGGACAGATTTTTATTACTGATAAAGAATGGCAAATCCATATAACGTCAAAACGTCACAAAAAAATTCAAGCAAGTCAGAAACGAAAATTGAAAAATACTGTAAATATACTTTCAAATCATGAAAAACAACTGCAAAAAAAGGCAAAAGAAACTCCAACTGAATCAACAGCAAATGATGAGTAATATCATGGTTTAGAATTAAATTGCCATGCTCATTTGGTATTTTGTACACTGTAGATTTGTAGATTCACCTTTTATAATACAATACTTATGTAATTGTATCTTCCAAAATTTTTATGAAAATGAATGTGTGTGATATGAAAATGCTGGCTAGAATTTGGATTTGTGAGATCTCTCTAATTCCTTTTCTGTTTCTTGGCCACTTCTATTAGAAACTTCCTTGAAAGAACATCAATTGTTTTTGATTTTATGTTTAGCAATTTTAGTCATATTTCTGGGACACTTGCCAAAAATATGTAAAATTTACTGAAATCAAAGTCATTTGTCATCATTATACCCTATTTTATTGTATTTTTTCATACAAATCACTGTCTATTATAATTAAGATAAAAAGGGTAGTTTATCTTATACCTTAGTCCTTAGCTTGCAGCTTCATCAATTTAGGGCTTGATATTGAACACTTCACCATCTTAATTTAGTTGCTTATAGATTAAATATTTTGTCATTTACTAATCCAATTTTTTTCTATTCTTGTTTAGCAATCATAGCATACTACCTAATATATTCTTTTGTTAGAGCATTTGGACGTAATCGTTCTTGCCAATATGGCGGGTCGGGTGTGGACCAAAGGCATCGCTTGGAAGAAAACGGCTATTAAGATACTCGGAGAAAGTCATACTTTCCCAACACAGAATTATGAAGAAAAAGCATTTTTCAATGCTACACCAACGTCTTTTTTGGCATCAATGTCACAAGACAAGATTGTAAAATCACCTTTTTCACCGCTGTCCTTTTCCAGGAAAAGCTATCCTGGAAGCCACTTTTTACCAAACAGTGGCGGAGATAACTTGACAGAGTCACTGTATAAGTTTTCTATGACCAGCTCGGTCGGTAATCGATTGTGTGGAATTCGTGCCTATAGTACTAGTGATAGTTCGCACAAGCCCACAGATTCGGAGACTCCGAAGGTAAATATAATTTCATCCATGTTCGATGGAGAACAGAAAAAAGCAAAATTTGAAGAAAAAGAAGAAGAATCTAAGTCAGAAGATAAAGAGGAAGATAAAGATAAGGAATCTCCTTTCATGAGAAGTCAACGCTATGCAAAATGGTCACTTCTTGCTACTTTTATTATTGGCACACCTACTTTGATTTATCATTTCGGACCACCAAAACATGACGAAATGGGAAATATTATTGAAGATGAGTTTTCGAAAGATCCATTACCTCTTGCTTATTTAAAACGGGCGTGGGGAGAAATTAAACTGGTTGAAAAGGACATTGTTGAACCTTCATCTCAGAAATTATTGCCTGATCCTCTCAGGGAACCATATTATCAACCTCCATATACCCTCGTTATTGAGCTTTTTGATGTGTTACTTCATCCAGTGTATGACCAAGTTACAGGTTGGCGTTTCAAGAAACGACCTGGAATAGACTATTTTCTTGCTACGGTGGGACCCCCACTTTACGAGATTGTAATTTTCACTCGTGAAACTGGGATGACAGCTTATCCTTTAATTGATTCTATGGATCCTAAGGGATATATTATGTATCGTCTTTTCCGTGATGCTGCTCGATTTAAATCTGGATTTAAATCGGGTAGTTTAAAAGACAAAGAGCTGCCTAAACTTGACCCTTATTACCAAAAAGACATAACATATTTGAATCGTGATTTAAAACGTGTTGTCGTAGTTGACAATGACAAACGCGCCACTGAGTTGCAGCCCAGTAATGGTATTACGTTGAAGCCATGGGATGGTTCTAACACTGATACAGAACTTTTTGATCTCGCTGCGTTTTTACATACGTTAGCTTCAAATGAAGTTGACGATGTAAGACCTGTATTAGAACATTACAGGAAGTTTGAAGATCCTCTTGCTCAATTTAAACTAGCTCAAATCAGAATGAGAGAAGAGCAAATAAGACTTGAGAAAGAACTTCAAGAAAACAAAAACAAACCTTTCATGATGAACTCTGGGAAAGGGGGTTTCAGTATGCTCACAAACTATTTCAGGCCCAGAAAAACATAAAATTTAGTTATTTTCTTATTTTACTATTTTTATTTAATTTTTTGATTCCAAATGCTAAGTTATTACTTAGTTACTGTAGCTATGGTTTTCAATTTACAAGTTAGAAATAACCTTATTTAATTCTGCATTCTTGTTAACACAATTTTTTGTAGTCGTAATATTTATTTACCCCCCACCGCAACTAATTAAGCATTTGAAATCATATTATTTTGCCTGTTGCCTGTATTTTACTCGGATATTTGGTTAAATACCTTCTGTTTTCTGTGCCAAGTGTTGCCATTACAAGTAGTACATTCAATGTCTCTGAATTATTGGGGCTATGAAAAAAGAACTCCCTACAGTCTGGGTCCTTGCAATGGTAAACCACTCAACAAAATTGCATATTTCTTTTGGATTGAAGAGGTGCAGTTATTAAAAGAGAGTTGAAGTTATGTAAAATTTTACACAGTTATGGCAGTTGTGATATCTTTTGTAACCTCATCTATGATATAGACCTACCGTAACTTCCTAATTTTTGAAATATGTATTTTGTGTTGTACACTGATTTTCATGTTCGACTCTATTTTGTTCCTAGTAAAACTGTTTACATTCACCCTACCTTGTCATTTTGCAATGTTGTTTGATATTTTTTGTCCTTGCATGATTTGCTGTGGGTCAAGTCAATTTTGTCCTCGTGTTGCGTTCTTGTAATGAATTGTCCCTGTGTCTGTCTGTCTCAATAAATGTTTGAAACAGAATCATGAAGACCTTGGCCTTAAAATGGCTCTCATTGTAATATTATGTCATGGTGTTGTCAATTTTGCAGTTTGCACCTCTTTTGCTAAAGTCCGCTCTATTAACATTTCCATGCTTTTTTGTTTTCTTAGAATTCTTAATTCATATCTAGATCAGTTATTTAAGGAAAAATGAAGATCAAAAGAAGAAAACAAGCGAAACATATTCTTTCTGCGTATAGAAATTTTTTCGGGTAAGCATTGAAGAGAGGAGTTATAATTTACATCTCTTTGAATTATTTTATCATTGTCTAATTCCAATCTCTTTTTATTTACAGTTTTCGTGAACCTTATCAAATCCTGGTCGATGGCACGTTTTGTAAGATGTCTGTACAATACAATGTTCCGATTAAAGATAATTTGGAAAAATATCTGCAATCCAATTTTCAGTGCTTAACAACACGGTGAGTATATGTAAATTGAGCAACTATTCTTTGATATTGTGTTAGAATTCAGTCGTTTTTTGTGATGTGGTACAATTTTGTGGAATGAGAATATATGACATTTTCGTTCTTATATGGATAGTTTCCATTTTAGCTTTTTCTTTTTTATTTGTTGATGTTTCATTTCAATTCTAAATAGTCTGACTATAAATTTGCCAAATCATTATTTCGAATCCTAAAATACATCAAGTTCTGGACCTGACCTCCTAGATCAGTGGTTTTCGAACTTTCATGACCCATGACCCCTTACAAACACTGTGTCGCTTTCAATGAAAAAACCTAGTTTTGTTTTCAATGGATGTACATCAGTTATTTTATTTGCTATGTTTGATGAGGAAGTGCCAACAAACAAACGATGAATCAAACAAATCCCATGTAATTTACTTCAATTAAGGCATTGATGAATAAATTTGTCAGTATGAAGATGAATATTTGTTGTTTCATCAAGGTCAGGTGTGTCCTAAATGAGCTAGAAATGCTCGGGGAATCAGTATATGCAGCAAAAATGGTTGCTCAACGATTTCAAACATATTCTTGTTCTCATCGGAAGAAACCAGTCTCAGCACAAAGCTGTTTGAAATTGTTAATAGGGAATGAAAATTCAAAGAAATTTGTCATAGCCACTCAGGTATTAATATTGTTTTCGTTAGATATATATTTTTATATGCATTATCACAGAGTTTAGAAAAAGCAACAACGGTACTAGAACAGGTTTGACCAAGTTTTTGCAGGGCGGGTCGTGCAACATTTAAGCTTCCGGGGGCCGTAGAATTACTATATAGTCATCAGAATATTTTCACTTAAAAAACTACACATAACTTACAAAGGTAAAAGAAAATGTCTTCAGATTATAATCTTCATTGACACATATGCTCTTTCACATATCAAATAGAATGTATACTATAAATATTCAGTCCATTGTTCCTGAAACTTGTACTGGGCAGTCGAGGGCCGCACTCTGAAGGGCTTGGGTAGATCTGTGATAGCATCTTAGATAACAAGACTTCCGGTGTGTTTCAGGATTTTGAGTTGACCAAATTTGCGAATCAGATACCTGGTGTTCCTGTCCTATATTTTCATCAGAATAATCTTATTTTGGACAAAATGTCGGAAGCATCTTTGAAGAGAGTGAATGATATTTCTCAGGTAATACTTTGATATTTGGTTCAACCATCAAAGTAAGTATTCCATGAATATTAATAATGTTGTGAATGATATTCAGATAAGTATACTTGGTAAGTATTATGAAATGTGTGCTTTTTTCTACCATAAACAATACATTACTGTAAAGGCCAAATATTGAATTTTATTTTAATTTGTGTATGATCCGTTTCCTTAAGATTGCCGAATCGAACTTATTTTATGTGGGTGAAATATAAATTCAGAGTACCTAATGAGTGAGTAACGATAGAAAGCACTCATTTCAATGATTGTAAGTGAGAAGATCGCAGCGACAACAGATTTAAAGATACTTTTGTCAATAAATTCCTAATGATGGTTAACTTATGAATGATTATTGGAAAAATTATTGATATGGATGCAGTTTGCATATGGAATGTGATTCACGGCAAGTGGATTATTCATGCTGAATCATACAGGGTTATCTGACTAACTGCTCCTTCAATCGATGAAAATGGGATGAATTTATTATTTGTGATCTTTCAAATTCTCTGATATTTACCATTTATTACAATTCTAAATCTGAAACACATCGGCTGCTCCCGTAGTATGTGCACCAAGGTGGCGCACAACCTGAACATAGTATGTGTACCAGATTGAGGATATCAGGTTGTGCGACATCTTGGTGCACATACTACGGAAGCGCTGAATTGCTTAACCTCGATCAACGTTTTCTAGCATCAATCGCGATATTTTTTGTTCTTTTCTCAAATAGGGCAAAGCAGAACCAACCCCCGCCATGCAAAATTCCATACAAACTTTAAAGAAAGAAGCTAATTTAATATCCGACTCTCCCATTAAAAAGAAACGAAAACGACCCGGCGGCCCGAACCCTCTCTCTTGTAAAAAGAGTAAAAAATTAAAAGGTGCTCATCAGCAAGGTAGCGCTATTCATGAACCGGGTGACAGGAGGAGAAAAAAGAGGAGCAGAAGATCGAAACAATCGACCACCTCGTGACTAAAAAGTTATTAATATATTTTTCCTGCGGGCCTTGTGCTACTCCATTCAATCTACTGCTGCTATTCTGCGTCATCGCCGCGTCTTTTCATGTGGAAGGATCGCATCTTCTTTCTTTTGGAATTAAAGTCTAAATACGAAGTTTGATACAATTTTTAAGTTAACTGGGGGATGTCATCAACTTAGTTTTCGTAATATGGCCGAGGGTGGAAGCATACAGCGTTGTTAATGGTTTGGGCGAGGAATGATGGCAACTTTGTTTTGTTGTCTAGCATTTTATTCCGGTATAATTACAGCTGCGTTTTATAATGTATCATGTCTCAACCAATGAGGGGGTCAGGGAGCGTTGGCCCGTCCACAAATTAGGATGACGAGCCTGAATATGACTAGATATCGAATTATCGACACTCTATAACCCACTTTGCATCTTGCTCCCGTCGATCGACTCTTCCACAATTGGGCTAGGTTAACGTGTTGAGAGTATACAATGGTTCATTTCTGAATTAGAACTCTGTGTTTGTAGTTATACCATAAGTAACAAGTGACTTCGAGCTTTCGGAATGAGTTCATTAATATTTTAAATCATTTAGCTCTCGGGATTCCAATTGTATTTATGTACAATAAAGAATGCTGGTGCTTTGGGTTTGACTGAATATTTTTTCAGGTAAATGAAGCCTCGGTAAAGGTCTAAAATTCGATACGATCCGAGATCCACTTGTATTATAGTCGTTTGCAAAACCTGATACTTCGTTATTGTGTTCGTGTGCTTCTGTAGTAGTGTAATGGTATGAAAAAAAGTGCATTCGCAGATTGAACTCTGAAACTAAAAGCATTGTTAGGTAATTAAAATTATGCGTATACACGTACTGGAATTACTGCGCGCTTGCTTTCTAATGTGATAATGTAATAACGGTACGGTAATGAGGTGCTTTTCTTGATAAGGTTTCTTGTTTTCGGCCGCTTGCTCCTATTTGAGGAAATTTACAAATTTCAGGGTGTGTCTGCTTTGGGTCATTCTCACTGTTTAACGAATAGCTGATACCCTAAGAGCTTGGAGAAATATTTCATGAATTCGTCAATTTTAGCTCGCTGCATACCCCTGTAATTAATGACCGTACCTTTGAAGTGCTAAAGTGACGTAATATCTGCGTGATCAAAGTTAACTACGTACCGGCTTTGACTGTCGGAAATGGGGAGAGTTAGTTTTTTAGCGACTTCCTACAAGTAAAGTATAGCATTCAACATGGTACCAGAGGGAAAGGTATTGTGATCAAGTGACGTGTTGTTTTGTGCAATCGGATGTAGGCTATTTTGAAGTCTGATTACCCCTCGCATGTAGATTAGTCACTTTGAATTTTAATCACGTAAATTTGTATAATACCATTTAACATATTACAATACTATAGAATGAAAATTAATCAGCGATATGCAATGAGCTTTCAAAGCTCCAAAAATTAAAAGGAACACGTCGATGTAAATAGTTACTGTAACACTCAAATGCAGTAAGTAGCAATCCAGAACAGTGGTCAACTAATCTTATAAATTGAGCAAGGCGGACTGATCCCATGGTACTGTATAAACAGCGTGGTTATTGCTTTATCAGTGCATGTGATTGTGAAAGCGAATTGTATCATTTTGAGGGCGCGAGTGGGTGGCATTTATTCGCTGCCACATTTTTATCAATATGACACCTTCATTGTTTCTATAAGTAAAGTTAATATATATCAAAATATGCTGAAAGATATGCTGCTTCTTGGAACAAACTAAAAAAAAAATCAGTATTCAAGAGAAAATTGAGCAAATTATTGCTTGCTAGTGCGTTGATGAATATATAGCGCTAGGTATAAAAAATCCAGAATGTGCCAAAAGTGCAGCGTCCAGCGACTTACATTTTGACGGCTGTTTCGTTCAGAACTTTTCATTTGCGGTGGTTTTCTGAGCTGATATGACAAAGAAATAAATGCTGAACTTTTAACACATGCCTTGGGCACGAACTAACTGACTCGGCTTCGAATCATGATTGTGACTCATAAATTGAATAAAAAGTCCCGGATGTTATCTTAATCATTCCCAAAACCACCAACTTCGGCTTTCAGGATCTTTAACACTTCTCTTTTTTCGATTCGAGCGCGATGCGTTTTCGCAATGGTAAGGATCACAAACACCCCTTTCACCCTTTTGTCCTTTGTATCCCCTATTTCCACGAGTGCCTTGTTCTCCTCTGATTCCTTCTTCTCCTGGGTTTCCTTGGATTGATTCACCTGGAGGACCTGGACCACAGAAAAAAAAGTAAATATATATTTAAATTTAAACATCTTAAATGCATTTTTGTTTACGACTAGATTATATTTTGTAGAATTTTTCCACGCAGGGCACTCGCACAAAATAGGAGAGAAAGTAACTTGATTTCGAATTAGTTTGAAGCTCTCGAGAAACCTTAACAACGTTGCTCAAATATCCGGACTGTTAAGGGGGGAATTTACACCCGGCTCCGAAGTACGAGCCATTAAAAAACTACTCCGGGGTGGGAAAGGTTTAGTCCTACCCAGGTTAACAAAATTGTGTCGATGTGATGCTTTTTCAATTTTAGTCTGGAATTTTGACTTCTGTTGTTATAATTAAGCGTCTGAAATTTCGACTCAGCAGAATTCAAAATCCGAGCTCCAATATCAATTTAAACACGGCATCTTCTATAGAGAAACGAAAATGTAAATTTTCCCGGCTTTGTAGAACTTGACGTCAACCAAAATGACCTATGCCAGATCCTCTTTTTTTAAACACGTATCATATCGTCTCTCTGTTTTAACGTTAATTCGACGTATGATTCAAGAAAATCATATCGACATCTTACCGACAGCGCCTGGAATACCTTGTGGACCTTGAATTCCAACTCCTGGTTCGCCTCTTTCGCCCCTGTCGCCTTGATCGCCTAGAATGAAGGATGCAAAATCAGATTATCACTTTAGTCTGTTCAAACTTTATATAAGTCGCTTATTAAGAGAGTTTCAATTTAAAATTGTAATAAAAATTGACTGACTGGTTTCTCGTTCATGGACTTGTTCGGATAAATATCTCAATGAATTACCTTTCTTTCCTGGTGATCCTGTCCTGCCCTGTATGCCTCTATATCCACGTAGTCCCGGTAGACCTTCGTATCCTTGTGGTCCTGGGAAAAAAATCATGAAGGGGGAATATCAAATTTTCGTGTTTCGATTTTAGGCTTCACACATTGAAAAATTGGGATATAATACTGATATCTAAACATCAAAACGATGCACGACAGCCTAAAATGCTCTCCAAGGAAGAGATCATTCAAATTGCGACCATATATCCATCCCTATTCCCATTATAACATATATGTAACGGTATGTTTACTTTTAGTTCCACATTTTATTACCTCGCCTTCCTGGTGGCCCTCTTTCCCCAGGTGGACCTGGCAAACCGCGCTGCAAAACCATTTTCGGCGATGAGCCCGTTGCAGTTGATACTATTGATACTCCATCATGTGCAGTTGCTGTGTGTTGTGAAATCATCCCTGAACATACTCTTTGTACTATGGTTATGATTCGCTGTTCGCTTAAAGAATCTCCTTTCTCGCCCTTTCGACCCATTCTCCCGTCTAAACCCTGATTAAAATTAATAATGGAAGGTTGAATTATATAATATAACAAGAGAGCGATGCTCAAATATATGGACACGAACGGCAAATCGAAGTGGTAAGGGTATGCAATCTGTCACATTACACTAGCGATACCACAGTCTTCATGACTAACATAAAGGCGGAACCGCCAAAAGGTGCACATCCATGGTATACAAAAACGAATCCCATAGAGCACGCAGAAATTTTTAAAATAAACAAAATTAATAGCCTTCTAGGGAAAAACAATCTTCAAGCAATGAAAATTTTAAAGCAATTGGTCCAGTAATTAAAGCGAAAGCGATTTTTTTTATAATGACTAGAATAAAAATACCAACAACAACCTAATAACAAAACGATCCATAGGTATACTTCGTGTCCAATAATATCATGTAATTCGGAAAAGAATTCGTTAGTATTTTGTATTCTATCCTCCTTTATTTGAGCTCTATGCGTGTATGGTCATCGAAAAGACGATAGATTCAATGCGACACACCTCTTGAATTCTTTGTGCCATATTGCATTTTCAAAATTATTCGAAGAAATTGAAGAATAGTTGTAATATCAGTACTTACTTGTGGGCCAATGGGTCCTGGAAATCCCATATCTCCTGGCTCTCCAGGTTTGCCCTTTGAAAATAGTAAATGCATCATGAACAACAATAATATAAATCGACATAACAAATTGTATATTATTGTGCAGGTACTTACATCTTTGCCCGCTGGTCCTGCTGGACCTCGAAATCCATCAAGACCCGGCGGTCCCTAAATAAAAGATAGATTTTTTTTAATATGAAAGTTTTGTTATGAATGGATAGAGAAGTTAATGGGTCCGGGGAAACTTTTCTCTTGGCTATTAGGGTAGCCGCGACGTGGCGCAATGCTCGGCGTTACCTTCTAAAGATATATAGCGTAGCATTTCAAGTTTAAGTGTCAAACTAAATTGAATATCCCAAGTTCATTGTTATATTTCCACCATTTTATAAATCGGACTTTCGGCTCCCATTGTTTTACAATTTTAGGTGTTGGAAATTGGTTCAGATTTAAAATTCTATGGGATAATTTTGTACAACTCTGAATTTATATCTTTGAAGTCAAAAATTTAAACTTACGATTGGCCCAATAGGTCCTCTCTCGCCCGTTTTGCCCATTTCACCTTTTGTGCCCTGAAATATCAAGATGTATGTATTTTTGTTATGAATCATAGTGATGATATACTGAATTTTTTAAAATATAAAAAGAAAACATAGAGTTTCTACTTTTGTTGCTCTTGCCAGATTGTCGCCTTGGTCGTTCATTATTTCTTGAACAACTGTTCCTATCTCTGTTTCTGTTGCACGACTCGAAGAAATGCCAGGCACTCCAGGTACGCCTTGCATACCAGTCTTACCAGGTGGGCCAGGTTTTCCAGGCGCACCAGGCTTCCCCTAAATAGAAAGTACAATTTAATATTTTTCTCGGTTGTAGGGAAATACAATATTGCATATACATCACATAATTTTGGGAAAGTCCAAAAGGAATCGAATTTCCTATGTTCTAAATAAGTGATATTCGATGTACTATTGAGTTATAATATTTTCATATATTTGAACTCAGATAATCAGACAAAAATTGACTCTTTTACATATGACACTATATAAATAGACTATAAAACAAAACAATGTATATCTATTCTAAACAGTTCTGAATTACCAAATTAAATTTCCATCAATTTACAATAATTTGTGCAAATTTTCTATATCGAACATGACCCAATCCAAAATGTATTTTATAATCTATATTCGAAAATACTATTTAAAAATGTATTCGTATAGTAAATATTTCGATTTTTGCACAATCTCTGCAAAACGACCTGAAAATATCCATTATATATCATGAAACCTATACTTACAATTACACCTCTTTCTCCTCTGTCACCTTTTGGTCCCTAAAGATATAAATAGTTGCACTATTAATCGTAACACTAACAAAAATTGACCAACTGAAACTTAGGAATCAGTAATTTTTAATCGTTTCTGATTGGATACAATTCTAATTGTTGATCGTGAATTCCCTTCCCCAGTAAAACCGCGTGTTCACTTTTTCGGGAAATTTTGTATGCGATAGTTTCGTTTTAAAGACTGAAAAATTAAAATTGATCACGACTATGTGAATGCAGGTAACATTTTGTCCAATGGGACTTTCCACCCAATGAAGCAAAAAAAAAAAAAAATCAACGTTGTGAATCCAATAGTAATGTTGTCGTGAAATAAAAATTGACAAATAGCGTGGGATGATGAAAATTCGTGATTGACATATTTCCATATGTGACACCATGCATGTGATGCTAACGAGGGAATTTCAAAAAAGACAATTAACAATAAGTGAATCCTACCAGTCGTCATCTTATTAGAGCCATTTAGAAAAACATATATAACACGACGGCTTTTGTTACAATGAACCATTTCACGAAAATCCTATAACTACCAAACTACACTTAGTATTGATATATTCATTTTGATTCAACTTCAAAAGTTCAAAACGACTTACGGTACGAAGATAACCAACAATGTATTAATGTCCATTACGCTAACATAACATGACCAGTAGTAGACAATGGATCTTATTTTCACGAGAAAGCGTCATATTTTACTGAGTTACCGGCTTTTATGTTATCAAATGACCAGTCAATTGACCAACTGTACACTAGTGAAATTATTTCAGAGTCGACCAAACATGGGATGTTCAAAGACCTGGTCTTCTGATCAGCGACCCAAACCTGGCCGACTGTGAAATTTTCTAATGGAGGGATTAAAGTGGGATAATGTTGTAAATACTGAAGTTAAATGATACGAAAGGGTCCTAAGTGGACACGCTTATAATCGCATAATATTTTCTTTAAATCTCTTAAAATTATTTCAACGAAGAATTTTTTAATACATCAAAAGAATGATATTTCTAAGTAGAATGCTGTAAAAATAGAATTACGGAAACAATGAATATTCTGAGACGCGTGAATTGAAAAAGAGAGAAATCCTCAAATATACGAACCCGAAGGTAGCACATCGGTACTGGTACGGTCTTCGAGAACCGATGTTACTGGAAAGATTTAAGTACAAGCGTGACGGAGGTGGTGAAGCGTGACGAAATATAACGTCTCCGCTTTACTTAAAACAAAACAGCAACCTTTTGGGTGAAATATCGGATCCCATAAGAATTGGAGAATATTCAAAAAATGTAAATGAAAAACCGTTTAGGGGTTCAACCACCCTTAAAGTACTGAAAATTTGTAATCGATTGGTCTGTAAGCGTACCAACAACAACAACAGCAACAACAACAACAAGAAATTAGCAAAACAATCTATTTGTACACTTTTCATACAATAAATGACAAATTTCGAAAAAGGCTTCGCGTGGCCTTTGCGCAAACAAGCACATTTATATTTATTTATTTTGTGACGTCATATGTTCGTTGAAAACCGTGTGTCTAATTTCCAAAATAGGTGAAAGGTTACGAGTAACTTTTTAAGCACATCTAGTTTTCGACTGGACTAGAAACATTAAAAAGGGCCGTTCATTGCCAAAACGCAGTTTACATCGATAAATCTTGATAATCGGCTACTTCGTGAGCTATTATTAGACTTATCCGGGATTTAATATTTGTAGTATTTTAGCAAAGTCCATCAAAACGCATTGGGTGGTAAAAAGCGAGTAACTAGAATTTTCATCAAAATAAATCCAAGGAAAAATACTTTCTTTGAAAGAAATGTTAGACAGTCAAATGATGATACAGTATAATCAGTGGACGTTACTCAATCGGATAGTCCTACGACGATATAATCGACAGAATGAAAACACGTTATTGCTTTTGTGAAAGATACCGACACTTTTTGTGTTATCGCACACGAAGTGGACCTACGAATCGTTTAGCGAAATTGTCTGTAGAAGGCTATTATTTCTATGTTTAGTCTTACACGTTTGATATTTCACTGCAATTTTGTAGTACTTGGGAACATTTACATTTGCTATTCGGTGTGTAATTTTCTTCAAAATTCGCCTGAAATTTCTTTTGACATTGTGGGTGCCATATTAGCCAAAGACTTTTGTGTCCGTATATTCGAGGATTGCTCGTTTTTTTACATCAGTATTGCATTGTTCCTTAGGTTTGTTCCTCACGTCAAATTAAAATATAGCATTGAATCTTATTTTATACCTAGTTGGCATCTGACTCTACCTCAGCGACAAAAATTGTTTAAAGTTAGTAACTTATCATATATACACGAGAAATATTATTGAACTGTATTTTACCCCAGTACTGACTTGTATTCTTAGATGAGAGGCAAATATATAATGTTGTCATATAATAGAATTTGTTTCTTACTTTGAACCCTGTTCTGCCTGGTAAACCATCTTTTCCGTCTTCACAGCTGCATTTTCTTGGATTCTTGCGTCCTGTAATATTATAGCATTGAATTGGATGCCCTGCTGAACGTTATTACCTGCCTCGTATGTCGATTAGGGCTGGGCATTTTCGAATACCTTGTGATTTCAGAATCGAATCGAATAATATTTTTCGAATCGAATCGAATCTCGAATACTTGAAAATATATAATTGTAAGCGATTTTATTATAGTAATTGGTCCTCTCAACAAATGAATTACCTAAGACATAGAATAAATCACCCAGATAGATTACTGAGCGCTCACACAGAATAATAAACACGTTTTATCGATAACTCACTACAGAAAATAGTCATATGTTAGAATTTCGTTGAAAAAATATGACTCCAATGAAAATAAAATTGGGGAATTCCCCTCGACCATTAGCGGAAAGACAAAAACAAGATGGCGGCGATTCGAAATTTATCTCTGAACCGATTCGAATAATTTACTATTCGATTCGATTCGAATATTCGATTCGAAATGCCCAGCCCTAATGTCGATATGTTTCGCGATTTTGTCAAGCAGAGTAGGACCCGGAGGCGTAAATGGGTTACTCCAATAATTCCATGATTGTAAGACAACCCAGATCTATGTTTTCTTCCAAAAATATCCTCGAGGCGACAAATAGGCAGTATCAGTTTTACCAAGTGAGACTATGTCCTTTTCCAACATATGTTGGATTATGGGACGAGTCTTTCTTTTTTCTGCTATGTGGTCTGCTTTTTACCAAATTCACCGAGCCAGAATTTTCGTGATAATGATTACATACAGACACGCAAATTTGAACGCAGTACAATTTTGTCAATATTACAAATTTATTGTCTATTTAGGACTTGCCTTTAAATTTATCCTTTTTCTTTCTTGTTTCCCTACAAATTCCCCATTGCAATTTTTTTCTGATATTTTCCAATTCTTCAAAATCATCAGCTCGGAACAGAAATTTTCTGTCTGGCTCCGACGATATTTCCACTAATTCATCTTCTGAAACGTCTCCGATTCCGACAACAAAAACTTTTGCTCCTGTATACAAATGAAGTCTAATTTGGTGATTTGTTCTTGGTTTGTCTGTAGACTACGTCGACTGTCTCGAGCAGTGCTTCAACTGTCTGTCGCTTGTAGCACCATGGCGTATTGGATTTTAATGGATATTAGACACACGCTAAACCTTGGAAACCTTTTGGGTGCAGAACATAGCCGAAGAATTTCTATCAATTCTTTTACAGTTTTCCACGTACATTTGCGAAGAGTTTTTTTTTAACACCGACTAATCTGAAATCAATACACAGTGGGAACTTAAAAACGTCTGATGACAAATTGCGACTCTGTGCCAAATATTAAAATAATGTGTCTATCCGATTAATCTCATATACCTTATTGAAACTAGAAATTCCTCAGATTAAATTAAAACTTGTCTCGAATTTATTTGTCGTTTAAAAGTTATCACTTACACGAAAAGTTAGCGCTGGTCTAAACGACTTTTTGCTTGTCAATCAGTCGCATATTTTAGATGTCTACCAATCCATTCTAAAGATCGATGATAGGGAATGGATTATTCAATGTATGTTTAAACTTAAATATGTATTTCTCCCTTGCATCTTGTTAATTTTAACATTGTGCTTGGAGTATTGGTTAGGCATTTTTATTTGGGTTCTATATTACGCTTTGCTTCGGGGATTATTTGATTACCATATCATCAAGCATGTCATTTAACCACGTCTAAAACCGCAGAAAATCTCGTTCAAACAGTATTTCATATATTGAATGTTGGCAATCATCACGTATATCTCCCACGAACAAGGCCATTGAATTAAATTGACTGGGAGTGGCCTCGTGCATATTAGCATTAGATGGATAGTTTGAATTTGCAAATTTGTGTAATTTACGGCGAAACGATCCATCCATTGTGTCTCGGGGCACGTCTCTGGGTAAATACGTCTTGAAACGTATGCGTGTTTGCTTTACATGACGCACTGTGTCTTGCAAGATTGCCAATATATTTATGACAAACCACTTTTAAGTATGGACTTTAAACTTCTTGCCAAATCAAAATAACTCCATTTTCTTCTTGACTGAGCCACACTTAATTCGAGTAACTATTTAATAAAATACCAATTGTAAATTTTGCACAAAAAATCCTTCACATCCGTTTTTATTACTTGACATTCATATGATAAATAATGTGAAGGTGAATTACCGATTGAAATACTTTTTTAGAGGCTTACTCGTAAATTTTAAAGACAATATAATCCCATAGGTCACTAGATCTAAATAATTTCACGTTCAGCACACTTTTTCTGTCCAATCGATGTCGGTATAAGTAAAATGAAACGTGTCCTAGAAAACCAAGCTGTATATTATGATGCGTGATGAGACATTGATGGACGACAGTCTAGACTTAAAAAGGCTCCATTTAATTTAATTTCACCATGTTTGTGCTACCGCATATCAGATCGAGTAAAAGTGTTTGATCTGAACCGATATGCACTGGAATGCGATGATTTACTTAAGCATCGGTAAACACGATAAAGGAGCATTATTTGCCGAAATCACCGTCGACAATTATGAGCAGTATGGTTAACTGTGTTTTTAGCCTTGATGTGAAATGCACAGAAGGCCGTCATCGTGGGAGACACCGGAGAAACGTTCCTACAGGTGGCGCCGTCTCTAAATTGCACGAATCTCAATCAATTCATCATGGTATTCACGTCAACGATACCAATTTATTCTTCTGTCAGGGTCTGCATTTTATTTACATATTGTCTGTTTACAGCAAATTAAAGATATACCTAGTGCTTTTATCAGAGTTGCGGAAGCCTCTACATCGTCCTCGGACTCTCCGTCTGTTATTAAAACGACTATTTTCTTTGCTCCTTTTCTTCCCTGAGTTTCAAATACTTGTGTTTGAACATAATCGAGTGCTTTACCAGTATAAGGTTCTCCACCTGCAATAACAAATGCATGTGAATCAGAGTGGCAACAGGATTGGCGAGGCATCTTTGGGGAAAGTTCGGGTAACGACCAAAAAAATCTTGACCTTTGAAGTATGACGTCACATACAAATTTTACTCATTGTTTACTCACCCATTTGTTCAAGGGAGCCTAATGTTATAAATAGGTCGTCTCTGGAGCCATATCCTCCGATTGAAACATCTGTTTTTGAATTATTTGTGTATTGAACAACTCCGATCATTGTCTTTTCATCGTTGCTATAAAAATTGCCATAAGAAATGACGAATTAGCAAATAATAAAATTATTGGTCTCAAAATCGGGTCAAACCTGATTTACTACGTTTCAAAAGTTATAGGTCAAACGGTCTTCACCGGTTAGATACTGATTTTCTACTCAATATCAAAGTATTTCTGGCACCGCTGCTTGTGATGTTTTTGCATATAGGAATGACTTTTATCTCCCTCCGCGCAAACTCATTATTGGTCTCTTTTACACTCACCCATCCCTAGGTGTGACGTCAAAAGCTTCCACCAGTCTTATCATCCATTCACCGAGAAGTAAATATTCATCGGATCTTATGCTAGTTGAGCTATCGAGGACAAAAACGAGGTCGGTTTTCCCAGAGTTGCAGGAAGGTTCTGTTAAAATGAACGAGGGTGATGGGTATTATTTAAACATGTACGAAGTATTTCTAACCAATCAGCAGTCGGACCGGAAAATACTCGTTTCGGCGATAACCGCCTTCAGCCTATAAATATGTTGTTGATTAGGAGAATTGTGGAGTCGCGTGCCGGTGTTAACGACTCGTTTGAGTTTTGTTTTGCCTATAAATGTTGAAGAGAGCATCAAAAGACATTGTTTTACATTCTAAATAAACGACCGTGCAGATGGTACCCAGAAGAAGCATGTGCCAAAATGTGTCTTGAGCGGCATTTTTCCATCATGTTTATTCAAGTGGGCGTCCAAATTGCGGCGGAGAGTACAATGTCATATGTTTCTTTGATTTTTTACCATTATAGGTACAAATTACCGGTACTTCAGTTAAATTGAATCATTTTGAGTGTTTTCCAAACATAGCGGTGTTAATTGTACCCTGTTTGCAAACATTGCGCGATAAAAAGTAATCCAGATGTAGTACCAATGACGATGAATATTAGGAAAATACGTATGTTATTTGAAGATAGCGTGCGACTGGATAGGACTGTGGTTGGGTGAGCTGTACGAAGACAGAAAACTCTATGGAAAATTTTACATGAATTTCTTAGTCATGGTTGAATTGTTAATATTCTGCGTATCTCTTTTTATTTATTAATCATTTGACAATTCGCAAATTATCTGGGTGATATTAAAATTTTTATTTGAGCCTTGCCAGAATAATATTTGGCTAGCTTGCCCAGTAAGGATCGCAAAATTGCAAATAAAGTCGAACGTGAAATTTTTTGAAAACTTATAATATGAATACCCTTGTCATAAGTTAATTAAAGAATAATCATACAATGAGATGAGTTTGTCGTGCATAAAATTCATATAATAAATGTTTGAAGTCCCGGCCTCAACCACAAATGAAATTTTAGGTGGACCTCAAGTCAAAGGCTGTCTAGTTTTAGCTAATTATAATAATGCGATTTAGTAGTATATAAAATTTTAAATGTGCGCTCGAAACTGTTGGTGGGTGGTATATTTACGCTCATAATCTTTTCCAAAAAATTGCGATTCTTTTTATAATCTATGATGTGACTAATGCTCGTTGGAATGTAAAATAGTGATTGAATACTTGAGTTCAAATCAATCAGAATTTTGCTACATTCCAAAATCAAGGAAGAATTAACTGATCATAAAATTAACTTCGGCACACGAAGATAATTCAGAGGTAAATCAGATACGAATGTGATGTATTTGGTATGGTCATGTCGGTGAAGTTTTTGTAAATGCTTTGTACATTTAGACATTCTGTATTGTATTTCATTTATATATAAAACAAAGGCTCCGTCACCTGAAGACTTTGGGTGATAATGTGTAGTAAATCGCTAGAATTTTGTTGTAAAGGTAATATATTGATAAATTTAAAACCATTCATCCCCCAATCAGTAAACCTTGCCATTGTACTTCATGCCCCCTTTGCGGTTAGAAGTACGTATTTGGGTATAATTCCTTTGTTTTGGGTAAAAGTTAATTTTGAGATCCAACCCACGCGCTCCATTTATTTTATACAAGCGGTTGTTGCCTAAACTGTTCCTCGCCCACAAGTTCAAGTATTTGTCGCCCCCACTAATTCGAAAGAAAACGGTCAATGATACAAAAAAAAAATGGAAATTTTTACTGACAATCATGTGTGAAAAGTAAATATTAAATTTAACAATTTATCAACCCGAAAAGAAGGCTGACCTTTGAATTTTCGATCTATCAAAATAAGAGTCATAGTTAGGGGCTTTAGAGAGTAATTTGGATTTGGTTGTCAAATTAGAATCGAATTATAAGTACTACAGTTAGTGTTATCGGCCGCAGTAACCGCCTCACACAGGATAAGAGAAAATGGCATATAGCAAAAACATGATTGTTGGAGACTGAACCAAAATACCCATACATACATATATATCGTGAGGTCCCCTCATTTAACACATATAAATGGATTTTGTGATAATTAGAGATAGATTTTGAAATGTTGTATTTTTTCTTTTGCATATATTATACTAACGCTCATATTTTAACTTTTTTGGACAACTTTTGTGGAAACAGAGACGAAAATATTGGGCTCTTATTGATGCTGGTCATTTATGTATATTGGAGATGAAATTCAACGCATGGTCAAAGTGAATAAACAACCAACCATGCAATTCAGCTTACTATCAATACAGACCAGTCACATGGGATGATTTGTTAAAGTAGCATTCAATGTTATATTTCGGTTTGGAAGGTTTTTGACGTTGCTTTTACAAACTGTCATTTTCCGTAGTTTCAAAACTCATGAACATGGCCGAACTTTGATCACTTATCGTGCCACCCAAGCCGTTGACTATTACAGATGGGACATTTTTTTCTCGGCATGGTATGCGTGATATTAAACAAATCTTACTCTAAATTAGAAATATCGTTAAGTATTTCATGCGCGAAATACTACATTTATTCAATTTGTCTGTTGACACCCGCAAAACGCTAGCAAAAATAATAAGTGCAGTATCATACAATCAAACAATGGCCAAAGTGTTGTTTTAGCAAAGTACCATGCAGCAATACAAGCAGATGCACATTTCAATGAAGGTCGGGATCTTTCTTAAATTAGCATATGCCTTATAGATCTCAAATTTTGTGGTGTTTTCAATTTCCACGCTTTTAACCTTGTTTACCCTCCTCGCATACCACTTTTAGCTATTTGTTTCTGATATGAATTCAGTCATTATGAGGGCCAATTGGGATGTAAAGCTTATGAATTAAAATTGTATGAAAACGTCAACAATTCGTAATAGATCCCGGGTTGAATAACCTCTCCCGCCTCTACGGGTGTATGGCAAAGGCCTTTCCGGGGTCGAAGGTAAAAGCATACAGGTACCAGATTACCGTTTGAAGTGATGAAATAATAATTGGGTCAAAAATAAAGAGTTTTCACCGCATTAACATAATATATTGTGCCATTTCATGACGATTCACTTTTCCTATTGTGCGCTAGAAAAAATAGACATCGCTTGTGTAAAAAAAGCAGCAACATCTGTGAGGATTACCTGAAACCGGTCGATCTTGCAATATATTTGATTTGAAGATGGCTAGGTAAAAACGTAATATTTAAATGAACAAATAGCCCAATTTTTACTGAATCACAAGCACTTGTTCAATACCAAAATTACAAGCATTCGGGTATCAGAATTTCAATTGTGGCGGAATTGGTCTCTCGTGTTGCATATTTTCTACTTTGTAAGGGTGTGAATATGGCAATTCTTAACAAAATGCTCCAAAATATACAGATGTGATATACATTTGTATACACTTGTTCAAATAATCTTTAACAACATGACGAAATGTCTAACGTTTGTCCTTCAAACAACCTTGGCATCATAACACGTAAGATTATCCCTAGTTAGCCACAAAATCTGCCCTAATTCCTCGTAGGCACTTTAAGAAACAAGACACGCGCGAAATTACCACCTGGTTTCCTAGCAGGAGATCCCAATCAGGGCGTATACCCAGACAGGCATGGGGCGAGGATTAACATCGTTTACAATCAGAATTTATTTTATATGAAAACAGCTCTGAAGTTTTTTTAAATGATTTGGACTTGTACAAAGTGAAAATTTTTTTAAAATATAATTTGAATTCGTAATTTACACTCCTAATCTGTTCTGCAAATACGTTTGACGAGTGAAAAAGTAACTTTGGCCAAACATGTAACTAACATCATTACCGTGCGTCCGATATATTTGATAAATGTGTTGCTTGCGTCGAATATGACTGTATTATGTAGTTTGAAATATGTAACATAACTTTTATCACATATATCACATGTTTCTCCCATTTGTAAATATTCACAGCGTTGAATTGCTAACATAACACGATTTTTATTGACAAATTATGATAAAACATAACTTACAGTTTACCTATCTCCTTACTACCAATTTCTAAATAAATCTTACCCCTGGTTTCCGGTGGGGAAATTACCACTTCTTCCATGAGATCAAAATCATAGTCCCCAAGCTGTTCAGGACTAAGTATCTCGGTTAATATATTTCCATCTTGTGCCATTGCTAGGGCAAATAGTAATGACGTCATCAGTATGACGTAATCCACCAACATCGTGTCAAATATTCTTAGTACCATACAAAACTTGCGGATTTTTGTTGAATGAACTAATACACATGAACTAGTTTACATATTTCAATCGTACACTAACTAGCTAAATAAATGTTAAAAGAATGAGAATTCCACGTTTACAAAATGGAACATATTTGCTTTTTTCCTATTTAACAATGTCATATGCCAGTTCAAAGAATCATGCCCTGGCCTGTATATTATCTCCTCACTTGCACTTCAAAAAGTTTTTTGAAAGATTAGGAGATAACATTCACAAAGAACAAAATTGGATCTAAATGTCGTTTTAAAGTAAAGAAATGCCATAAGTTTTCATCGTCTTAACATTTGAGTCTTTAATCTTTAATGTAAGATCACGTAAATCATTACTGGCAGAAAGTTTGCCATTGACCACTGAAGTGCAAATTGCTACGTATAGATAATATGTTGATCCATGATATACGTCAGACGTTAATTGGGGCAATAAGTGAATGTGAATAATTTTAAACCTACATATGTCAAATATAGGCGCGTATTATTTACATACGAACAAAGAAATGAATGAGCCCTTATACATTTAACCACAAAACAAAATGTACTAGAGGTATTTTTCTGCTTTCATATAATTTGGTTTCGAGGCCAGGAAATGTAGTATCTCAATTTAGTACTTAGGCTTGGACGTTGGCAAAACTGATTACTAAAATAAATGAAACAGATAAGTAGGACAATAAAGAATTGATGTAGAATATGAATAGTTTTTCGAGAACTAGATGTCAAATACACTCACTCAGTCCTTATTATAATCTGAACCCGAACTTTGAACCCTCTTTCAGACCAGTATTAAACGGCAGTTTGGCCCAAA